TTACCGTGCGGTCCCACATGCCTGGTAGCGTGGCAAAGCGGACGTGCTCCTTTCCGTCAAAGACGAGGCAGTCATACTGGAAGGCGATTAATTGTTGCACAAAACTTCTAGCAACACGAACAGGAAACATACCACTTCATCTGCCATCACTAGAAGATTGAATTCTTCTGCGAGAGCAGCTATCTTCTCCAACTCTTCTCTCGTAAAGACTTTGCCAACGGGGTTATGAGGGGTATTGATGATAATAATTTTTGCTTTTGGAGTGATAGCACGGCTGTAAGGTTTTAAATAGAATTCTTGATCCAAGAGATCGGTCTACATACCGCAGTTCATCAAAGTCGATCTTCCAGTTATTATTATTTGGTGTCACACCGTCTGTTTGAGGATGAAGGGGGACGTAGACGGGCGTTCCACCGTTAAAGGTGACGGATGGCAGATATTGATCAAAGAAGGGCTCGAACATGATCACTTCGTCTCCATGCTCAAGGAAGGCGGTGAAAACGGAATACTGTCCTGTAAAAACCCTAAACGACAGATTGATAGAATGAAAGTAGACGAACCTTGGTTTGCTCCACTTGTTACGAGAATCTCAGTCTCGACATCGAGATCTCTATTAAAGGACTTCTCATAAAAGTTTTTAATGGCGTTCCGCAGACGAATGCGCCCCTTTGGGTGCGAGTAATGGTTAGGCAAAACGGAGCTGAGAGCTTCATCTGCGGCATCTGTGACCCATTTTGGGGGCGGGAAGTTCATATACCCTTGGCCAAGATTGATACAGTCTGCGGGGAGGTTCGCCACACTAAAGAGGATCGATGAACTAGTACCCAATCATTATTACAAGATATAGATGTTACTTGTAGATTGACCACACGTCTTGCGCTAGCGCCCGACCACCACGAAGTCGTGAGGAGAAGGAAATGAGGTTGGAGCGATCGCCATCGAGGGCCCCCTTGCCACTGCTCTGAACCAAACTTCCACTGACGGATGTCATGAAACGGTATTGAGTGATGATATTAGGAGAACGTGAAGAAAGTCGGCGTTGAATGGTACGAAAAGTTGAGAGTTTCAACGGAGTCATACTATCTTTTCTATTCACTTTATTAGATCACGGCGGGTGCAATATATATCCCCTCCTAATTAAAAACGCCATTATAAGCACATCATGTTGAAACTGAGTGATGGAAACGAAACATTTCCACAATATTGAAACACACCTCCAAACTTCCAGTGAAGATGTATTTTTAGAGAACTACGTTTGGACCGTCAATCGCACTGGCAAGTATTGGCAACTATCTCGACGTTAACGACCAACCGTTACTGGTAAATGGATAGTCTACACGTGCACGTCAGATACACTCACTCCTTCAGTTGTCCCCAAATATGGCAATTAATTCCCACAGTAGTGCCATCGGAAACATCGAGCATTAGTGGTACGGGCAGAAACGCGTTACTTTGATCCATCATGGCCACTACAGAACTGGGAAAGCCTCATTTAGGGACTATCGAGGAGTGCGCATTTTTTATTGCCTTTTGAACGCGTCCTTGAATATTGACAATTGTCAGGTCTTGCTTGTCTGATACACAGTTATCCCGAACTGCCAGCGACGTTTCTGACCAGAGTGACGAAGAAGGATTTACATACCCTGAATCAGACTCGGAAGAGGAGGAATTTGTTTACCCTGGTATCACTGAAGAGACTGCTGCTGTCGCTAGTGGAGGGAGGCCACCTTCCTCAGAAGAAGTGGCAACTTCCAATACGGATCCGGAAGCAGAGGAAGAACAAGTGCCCGTCTCACTTCCTATGGTGCCGGTGGATGTAATTACATCTCCAGTATCTCCACCAGCTGCACCAACCCAACCTCATCCATCTCCTGCTCAGTTGGAGGCTTTGTCTGCGGCCGCTTCTTCTGGGGACCTATCTCTTTTGAAGAAGCTCTTTCAGACGGCTTCGCAAGGCGGTCAAGTTGAGGCCTTTTCACTGTCAAATGATGCGTCCTCTCGAACAGGCTTCACTGTTTTGCATACCGCAGCTAGTCGAGGTTACTTGGACATTGTCAAGTGGTGTAAGCGATGATTTTCATTACTCTTTATATGTACTCAAGTCACTGTCGCCTCAGTGGTTGAAGATTGCGGTGCAATTCCAGATCTAGAGGACCGCGAAGGAGAAGTAGGTGAAGATATTTAGTCCACACACACCGACGCTGACATGGTCACAAGACTGCTTTACACAAAGCCGCTCTTCATGGCCACCTACCAATCATTGCATATTTACTACCAGATAGAGCAGACGTAAATGCTCGCGATGCTGATGGCTGGACAGCTCTCCACAACGCCTGTTCAAAAGTATGTCCTACTGATACCATCATCGTCGGGTTTCCTGCGAAGAATCTTACGTTTATTGTATCTTAGGGTTATCTTGATATTGTGAGATGGTTATGCGAGCATGGAGGTATTTCTAGTGTGGACGTTCAGAGTAAAGGTGGATGGACTCCTCTCAGTATGCGTTCAAAAATTTTGTTCCCTACTTTCTCAAACGCTTTGCCAGTGAATGCGGCGTCAAAAGGACACTCGCCTATCGTGATATATCTACTTACAAAGCAAGAAGCAAATCCCCTTGTCCGGAATATTTGGGGTGAGACTGCATATGACGCTGCTGCTGCCGTGTTCGAGGTATGGATATGTGGGGTGCGTTCACTTTCTTAATTATTGTAAGCGTTTCCTCAAGTCTCCCAGATCCTGCAAAAATCAGAAGCAGAGCGATGGCGCGGAACAACTGTCCCATACAACCCTCTCGCGGTGCACACGACCGTTCCCTTGATCCTTTACGAGAACCAGTGCCTGGATGTACGGCTGAAAACGTTGGCAGTGTCTGGTGGGAAGCCAAAGTGGTCACACTCTGGCCTTGGTAAGCCCGGCCGGCGTGCACTCTTCGAGTTGAAACTGCCTTCCCCAAATGACGCGGGCGCCAAACTAGTTACTGCCTGGCGTAGTGGTGTCCAGCTTCCACTGACTGAAGATCCTTGGACATTACCAGAACCAAGCTCCAGGGACAGGCCCTCCACTGAAGACACCGAAAGAAGTCACTTCTGGCTGTGAGGACCAGCAGGTTATTTTTATGAGCATATTTGTTAATCCGTCTTTTAGGTCTGATTGGACATTGGATTACCCTGGGGTTGATGTGGAGGCAGCCTGGCAATATGCACAGGACTTTTCCTCACCCGATGAAACCTGGACTGCCGAACCGCCTCCTCAGCTTCAGCGTTTACTGAACGGGAGTGGACTCATGACAGCTAGCTTGGGTACTTCTTCCAGAAGCCACAGCCGTACAAGCAGTAGTAGCTCGGTGACCTCTGTATCTGCGGCCGCACGCGCTCCGACGTGGGTCAGACGCAGACGCTGGGTCCGCGTGATGCGTCGTAGGCTTGACGTCCCGCCTCTACCGTTCCAGGAGCCAGATGGTGTCATGTACCATCTTGCACTTGACGGCTCTCTCGTCCCGTTCACCCAGGACGACCAGAGCGATTTTGGAGAAGGCGAAGGACAGGAACTCGGGACGATGACGTCCACGAGACTGACATCCGCCCAGGACTATGTCTCTCGTGCCCGGTATCTGGTCGGAACTCAACGGGATGCTGTCGTCGGCGGGGAGACTTTATCTGCTGTCGAAGCAAGGCGTGCCATTGCCAAACTTGAGCGTGCAACTACTGAACTGCGACAGGGCATTCTTAGTAAGCCTTTTAATACAGTCTCTTGATGCATCATTTAATCAGATGTTATCCAAGGCGATGATGATACGGAACGAAAAACTCAGGCCGAAGTCCTACTCAATGCTTACAGCAGAGAGCTCGAGCGTCGCCGACTCGCAGCTGGTAATCAAAGATTGCTCATCTCAGGTCCAGATGACGATTATATGGAAGATGACGACGACGACGAAGAGGAGTTCCGCTATCCTGGTTATACGCCTCCAGGCGCGTCTGCCAACCCAGCTTCTACGGAATGCATTTCCCGTCCTTCCGTTTCTCGTCCACCTACAGATTTGACTTCTCACCTCTCTCAAGCACCTGACTTCCGCGTGCCCACCCATGAAGCACCTCAGAAAGTTTTAAGTCCCAGGTGGACTGCCCCGACGCCTTACCAAGTCCATGCGCAATGGGAAAGAGACGATATGGTTTCCAATTGTAATGATTGTCGTCGGCGGTTTGGATTTCTTTTAAGAAGAGTGAGTCTTACTACGTCGAGTTTTTTTCAATGATTGATTTGTAATCCTTCCCAGCATGTAAGATTAACCGCTGCCCCACTTATTCTTCCGTTGTCTGACCTTTTGTTAGCATTGTCGCAAGTGTGGTCGGATTTTTTGTGACCGTTGCTCTTCTCATCGAGCACTCCTCGATCCTTCCGTCATTGTTCGTGACCCTGTGTTCCCGGAATCTGCGGCATCCTCTTCAACTCAGCGTGTCTGTCAAGGATGTAACGATGAGATCAATGCCAGTCTCCCCACCAGATTCTCAGGCTCCACCTCGTCCACCATGGAAAGAATCGTAGTCGATCAAAGAAGACTCATGACCCCTGGACAGCTCCACAGGCAGGAGTCTAGTTCACAACTAAGCGACCTTGCAGAGTAAGTCCGGGTCCTTGTTGGCACCATAACTTGTTGGTGATGATGGCGACGATCCCAGGTGCCCTGTGTGCAGCACTAGTCTTGCAGATCTCGGACTACCGGCAGAACAAGAAGCCCACGTGAAGATTTGTCTAGAAGGAGACGCTGGGACAACACCTCAAGCTGCTAAATATCTGGTGTATAAGTTGCCTGGCGAAAGCGCACTTCTGGGTGTCGAATGTAAGTTTTGTTTTATTGCTCTTGTGCGACCATGATGCGAGCAGTTATGGTTCCACAGGTGTCATTTGCCTAGAGGAGTTTACAGAGGGTATGCAGATTTTATATCTCACAAGAGTCAAACAACTGACGTTGTAAATGCAGGCGCTGTTGTAGCGAGGCTCAGCTGCTTCTGTAGTTTCCACAATGGTCCGTGAGCACTTGCTTTCCGTAAGCAACAGACATGCTGATCAATGCTCAATCTAGCTTGTTTGTCCTCGTGGCTGAAGAAAGGTAGAAGCTGCCCCATTCACGCGCGGTAGAGGAAAGACGCGCAGAATATCTGTTGTCATACCCAGTTCTGCTGTTTGGTTGATCGAACGCTCTTGAATCGCATGTACACTCATGCACACTTTCTCTAACGACACATAATACGACTACAAGTAAAATAGTGCATATCTCACATATTATATGGATTATGCTATACATGTCAATCACCATCCCTGGGTTCGAAGAACGTGCTGTATCGCGCTCTGCTCTCATCAACTCGAATAATGCTAGAGAGTTCTTCATGGTCCGGTTCGATAATGTCTTGACCTTTGACACCATCATCCTGGTCGTCTTCAAACCATGTTGACGGGTCTTCATCGTCATCATCATCATCATCCATATCGTCTTCGAGGTCAGAGTCCGTCGGCTTATAGCTACTGTTCATTTGATTTAGAACTATCGTGAAGATTGGTGAGTAAGAAAACGCTCACATGAAGGCCCGCATCCGTGCATCCATTTCTGCTCTGGAAAGGACTTCCCCTCTGATTGGGAGCCCAATGCGCCTCTTACGTTCATCTGATCGTTGTTGTCTCGCTGCGTCTTGGACATGGGCGCGTTGCTCCAGCTCTATTGCTTCTTGTAAACTCAGGGAGCTAACCTGTTGAGCACCATTGGGCGCGATGGGCGCCTGGAGTGTCCCAAGGACTTATGAGCGATCGAAACTAATACATGTATTTACACTTACGTAGCGGGACAATGCCCTATGCTTGGCATCGATTACACGAGGCATGCGTGGTTGGTCGACAATCATGATCTCGTCGGCATTGATATTGGTCTTCTTAAGACCGTTGCGAATTTCCTCGACGCCCTCGAGTTCGAGCAGGCGAGATTCGATAGCTGCTTGCTCGGCCGAAAGGCGTTGTCCGAGGGCAGACGTACAGGCTGATCTAAAAGCATATGTGCACGAGGTTAATAGTGGAGCCACAGAGGCTACCATCATCACGAATTACCTGGGGGCAAAAATCCACGTACGACGAGTTTAACAATCTTGCATTCCGATCGTGCTGGTCGTGTAGCTCTCGCGCAGTCATTTGAGTGATGGGTTTGGGCTTGGGCTTGGGAGGTGCGCGAAAGCCTGGGAGCACCACGGTCTTCTTGGGACGCATTGGAGATGTAGGAGATTGCGGTTGGGGGCTGTGTGCGCGAAGGGGGGGCATGGTGTGCTAGTGAGGATGATACTTATTACTGCTCTTAGGCTATGAGCGACCGGCTTTATAGCCCGCTTAATCTAGCACGTTGCCATTTCGGGAATACCGGTGATACACAGCGAGTTACGACGTTGTACTAGCGGCTAACTAAGAGAGAGAACACATATGGCATATCCTGACAATCGTAGTTATTGTATTGCCCTCAAAGTTCATTACAATTCATCAGTCACACAAAATTTACAGCTTCTTGCATCGTTCTCACATAAACATATCTCCCTGTCTCAAGGTAAGCATCTACAATGGTTTTACTGCAGCATATACTCACGGCTCCAGGGGGCATAAACTCATCATTATCAGGATCTCTTGAATTCCCGCTTCCTGGAGGTCCACGTCGGGGTCTCCCGTTGAAACTTGGGTTGAAGGGGCCAGGATTTGGTCCTATCGGATCAAAACGAGCACCCGGTGGGGCTCCCATAGGAGGGAGATAGCCGTCTCCACCCCATGGTCCTCTCATCTCCTGTCCCCGGTTACCTCTCATACCAAATATTGGGTGATCTGGACCAACAAACATCCCGTCTCCTCCATTGCCGGGGAATAGTGAAGGAGGCTGGAAAGGGTTGATACCACCAAAGGGATCAAGGTCTCGACGACCGATCTCCAGCGGATTACGGGGTCGTAAACCGGGCGGTAAGTGGTATGGCTCATCTGGATAAGGTGGCGACTCTGGTCGTGGACGAGCAGGAGGGGGATTCTCCGCGCGTGGAGCAGGCCCAGCATTGCTAGATGAATCCTCAGTTTCTTCGATATACCCTTCTTTGCGCAGTCCCGGAATAAGTTTCTGTATTATTTTGAGCTTGAGCTGAGATATGAAATCCGTGATACGGTTGGACGAAATGAAGCCGTGGACCAGCGGCGGAGCGTCTGACTTGGCTGCGTCATAGGGGTAAAACGACGGTGAGACAAAATCGTTGGTTGCAACATCCAGAGACGCAGACTTGTCACTCTAAAATTCTAAATTTAATATTACTATTCGAATCCATAGAAGCTGACGCACTTCGACAGCAATTGCGCTGATCAACGTACGCTGGCCGAGCTTGATGACCTTCACAACAAACTCAAGACCGCTTTGGTCATGCCTGTAACGGAAGGTACGATCTACCAGTCCTTTGGTGTTCCAATCATCAGGGAAAACGTTGTTAGGGTGCTCCTTCGCAGAAGATGTGTCATCTGTTGCAATTAAACGAAACGAAAGTGCAGAAAAGGCTGAGTGGACAAGCGCTGCCAAACCATCATGAGGAGACGTCAAGGTCCTGTTTGTCGATGGTAGTAAGTTAAGAAGAAGTCCAACAAGTGCTGAAGGGTCCAATACGTTGTTAGCCATGAATTAAGTCTTGCAGGTAGTGTGAGCAAGCAAGATAATCTTGGGATGATCGCGGCTTACCTATTAGTCAAGACCTTCCAGAGCTAACAAGACCAAACAACACTTACTTCAAGACCACCACCACCAAGTCGTTGTATACAAGCATGGTGCGCAGGGATAGATCATATTCCCCGGACACATCAAACAAAAGGGTAAGACCATCTCATCGTTCACCCCGGTCTCCTTCGCCGACCAGGCGGAATACCCAAAGACCTAGCAGGAGATACGACGACGAACGTGACAATAGAGAACGTGATCGCCCGAGAGACCGGGATAGGGAACGTGATAAAGACCGTTATCGTGACGACAGGTACCGCGATGATAGACACAGAGACGACAGGCGCCGCGACAGTTACAGAGATGACAGAAGAGATGACCGTCGGCGCTCTCGTTCAACAGACCGCAAAGACCGGGACAGGCGTCCGCTTTCTCCTCCTCTAAAACCTCAAGCAGCCGTAGGTGCTACGCAAACTCCCCCACCTGAAGATGAGAAACTCAAGGCGAAGAGGGCAAAGCTGGAGGCTTGGAAGAAGGACCGCGAAGCTAAGAAGGCTCTTGACGAGGCTAAAGTCAAAGCCATGGCTCTTGCAGGCAAATCTGCACCAGGTGAGCACAGTTTAATTTGAGTGGCACTTCATGATTTCACACCACTTGATCCACGCCTTACTAGTTCCTGCCCCGACCACAACGCCCGCCAAACCTGGGACTTCTCTGAACCGTGCAGCCCTAACAGGTCTTGGGCTCAAGGGTCTTCCTCTCAAACCTGAAGTTCTAAAAGTATCAAAGGGTGCTGCGGCCATGGACGATTCAGACGAGACCAAGCAGCGGAAACTTGAGACCCTTGGCGAAATGCCTGCCGTCGACATGACAATGGCTGATGGAGAAGCTAGTGTTGGCGACCTGGAAGTTGACGACGACGACGAAGAGGCGAACAGGATGGACCAGGCGATTAAAAGCAAGGCTGCAGACGCCATGGAAGAGGACGAGGACGCGATCGACCCCCTCGATGCCTTCATGTCGAATGTATCGGTTGAAGTGAAGAAAGTCGACGAGGAAGACTTGAAGAAGATGAATGGTGGCAAAGGCATATCTTCTAAACCTCTCGCCGAACGTATGGGTGATGATGGAGAGGATGAAGTCGTAGAGGCCGTTATTGTGGAAGACGAGCTTGACACCACTGACCTTAATCCTGAAGACATACTTGCCCTTGCGGCAAAGAAGGCAAAGAAGAAGGATATCGCCGCTGTCGATCATTCTCGTGTCAAATATGAGCTCTTCCGGAAGGAATTTTATGTTCCTCCTCCAGACATTGCTGCTATGACAGACGAGGAAGCTGACCTCTTGCGACTAGAACTTGACGGCATTAAAATCCGTGGCATTGACTGCCCGCGGCCAGTGACCAAGTGGAGTCATTTTGGCCTTCCAGCCAGCTGGTACGTATCAACTACTTTTCCATGTTCAGTCCTTGGCTGACGTATTTCAAAGTTTGGACGTCATCAAACGCCTTAATTATATGGCACCAACCGCCATTCAAGCTCAAGCTATCCCTGCAATTATGTCTGGTCGCGACGTCATTGGTGTGGCAAAGACAGGTTCAGGGAAGACCATAGCATTTCTCCTTCCTTTGTTCCGTCATATCAAGGATCAGCGGCCCCTGGAGCAGATGGAAGGCCCTCTTGCCATTGTCATGACTCCTACCCGCGAGCTGGCAGTGCAAATACATCGAGAATGCAAGCCATTCTTGCGGGTGATGAATCTTCGCGTATGTTTCTCGTGTTTTTGATCTATCTATAATATCTTATCCTGCATCATTAGGCTGTGTGCGCATATGGTGGTTCCCCGATCAAGGACCAGATTGCTGAGCTGAAGAAGGGTGCAGAGATCATCGTATGCACACCTGGTCGCATGATCGATCTCCTCACTGCCAATTCTGGCCGGGTGACAAACCTTAAGCGTGTCACTTATGTGGTTCTGGACGAAGCTGATCGGATGTTTGACATGGGTTTCGAACCTCAAGTCATGAAGATCATCAACAACATTCGACCTGACCGCCAAACAGTGCTCTTCTCTGCGACGTTCCCAAAACAAATGGACTCTCTCGCAAGGAAAATCCTACAGAAACCTCTTGAAATCACTGTTGGCGGGCGTTCTGTAGTCGCTGCGGAGATCGAGCAGATTGTCGAAGTGCGTCCCGAGGAGTCCAAGTTCAATCGACTCTTGGATATCCTGGGGCAGATGTACAACGAAGACCCTGAGTGTCGCACTCTCATCTTTGTCGACAGACAGGAAGCTGCCGATAACCTGCTACGCGACCTTATGCGCAAAGGGTACTTGTGCATGTCCCTGCATGGAGGCAAGGATCAGGTTGATCGTGACTCTACCATTGCCGACTTTAAATCCGGAGTTGTTCCCATCGTCATTGCCACTTCTGTCGCTGCCCGTGGTTTGGATGTCAAACAGCTTAAGCTTGTTATCAACTTCGACGCACCTAATCATATGGAAGACTATGTTCACCGTGCTGGTCGTACGGGGAGAGCGGGCAATAAAGGCACATGTGTTACATTCATAACTCCTGAACAAGAAAGATACTCTGTTGATATCTACCGTGCGCTCAAGGCAAGTAATGCAGCTGTTCCGGGTGAGCTTGAGGAACTGGCCAACGGTATGTTTCGCTTTATTGTATTCGTGATCTATGCTTATCACGTCGTCAGGCTTCTTGGAAAAGGTCAAGTCTGGGAAGGCGCAAGTCGCCGGCTCAGGATTTGGTGGAAAAGGTCTTGATAGGCTCGACAAAGAGCGTGAGGCTAAAGATCGAGCAGAACGAAAAGCCTACGGTGAACCCGAAGAAGAGAAGGTAGATGAAGCTGCTGTCAAGACCCCTACCGCTGCTGGCGATGATATGACATTCGGCAACTTCAAAGTCGAAATCAAGCGCGGCCCCGCTCCCGATTCTTCGAAGGGCTTACTTGGAGTGGCCGGAGCAGCTGCAGCTGCCAGGCGACTCGCACATGCAAAGGAAGAAGAGAAACTTCAGGCGTCACTTAAGGCTGCTCAAGACGCTGCTGCGCGTGCAGGGAAAGACACAGCCGCGCACAAGCAAGCCCTCAGTGTCATGGCAAAGCTGAACGCACAGATGAAGGCAACGAGGCTGGTCTTGCAGTCTCAGATCCAGGCAGACGAAAGTGGTCTCAGGAAAGCAAACGTCGACTCTACAGACTTCCACGCGATCATACCCATCAATGACTACCCACAGAAGGCCAGATGGAGGGTTACCAACAAGGAAACCATGGTTCAGGTGTGTTGTTCCCAGCTACGTGTTTGGTTTCCGGCCATATGCTCACATTTTTTCCCCTTCATCAGCTTATCGATATGACAGGCGCATCAGTTACCAACAAAGGTTTGTCCAGAAACATCACTGTTCAGTATCTGGATTTAACCTGATTGTAACAGGTATATATTACGAATCTGGGAAAGAGCCTCCTCTGGAAGGACCACCCAAACTCCATCTCCTGATCGAGTCCAACGAGGAATACAGAGTGAGCACGTTTCATCGCGCGTTACTTGGTGTGGTCAATTGATTTGACTCCCTTTTAGGTGGAACAAGCTGTGCGAGAGATCAAACGTTTACTCATCGAAGCGTCTGCTGCAGCACTGCAAGCAGAAATGCGGAATCCCACCGCAGTCGCGGGGAGATACAGCGTTGTGTAAAGTTCCGGGCGTTAATTTGGTCGCTGCTTCGATGTATGGTGTTATACAGCCCCGACAGTTGCCTGTTAAGTAGCACTTGGACTATGTAGATATATTCATGGCTAACGTGCTGCTGGCGAGTTTTTTCGGTGATATGCACTTAAAGAACAGATAGCAAGCGAGGAATTACCTGTGTTCAGGTTTCATAAGAACCTTCGCCTCCATGTTGATGTCGACACCTTAATTTAGCCTTTGTACTATTAATAAACTCTACCACGGACTAAACCTTTCATATCGCGACATCGAAAAAGTGCTCCAACTCAATCAAACTCGAGTTCAACAGAGGGATACATGTGGCCTGATACAATTTTAAAAGGACGAGCCAATATCTTTGGCTCATCTGATGTAGCTTCCTTAGAAAGTCCTACGGCTGCATGCGGCTGGTGTGGCTAATCGAAGTGAGTAAGAGGTACATGCGATATGATTAAAACATTGCACGTCGAAGATTTGGAACTTCGAAGTACTGAGCAATCGTGGACCGAGATCATAATACTAGCGGTATCCTACAGCGATTATTTATGCTCTCAGACAGACGAAAATACAACAGATCAAAGATAGAAAAGTGCTGACTAGTCGTCCTAGGGGCTTTCCCGCAGCGATGGCGGGCGAGTCAACGAAAGTTCCAAGTTCGATGCCATTTTCACGATCTCTTCCTCCAGCTCGGCTATCTTGGTGCGCCTATAATAATCATATTAGCTTAGAAGCCGCTAGTTCAACTCGAAGTACATACTCTTGGTTTGATCGCTCTCCAAACTGGAAAGCCTGGGATAATCCCAGTCCACTCTCACTCAAATGCTTCTTGCGCTCTGTCTCCTTCGCAGCCATGTCATTCAAGCTGGGCAATATTCGATCGTACTCGCGTTTGAGCTACACAATAGTCAGCTAAGATCCAAACCCACGGTAAGAATAATTACCAGTGATGTCCGCGCAGCCAGCGATTGCTCGTCGTACCTGCCCGCCCCAACGATCTCCGCCTTCATCCTCCGTAATTCTTCAAACCACTTTGTCTCATATTCACTAAGCTTCGGCGATGCTTGCTGCATAAGCGTCTGCAGTCTGTGATCCAGCCTCGATGCCAGCGCCCTGTATGCTTCCCGTATTCTCTCAAGCCGCTCTTTGACTGCGCTTTTCCGCGAGGTGCTCAGCTGTTCAATGATATCAAGCATCGCACTACACTTCTGTTGTTGCCGTTCAAATTCCTTCGCCTGCAGTTCGGCTCGTACTTCTGTGGCTTTGTATGCGAGGATAATTTCGTGGATCTGTGACGTCAAGCCTTCAATTGTTGAACCCAGATATCGCAATGTTTCAGGGGTGAGCACGAATTCTGTTTTGATGTTTGGGATCCCGACCGCGATGCGAGGATTACTAGGCAGTCCAGAGGGACGCGAAAGCACTGGAGGTGGCACGAAGGGCTCCGTGCCTAAAAGCGAGATATATGACGATGGCCCTTCAATGGGCACAAGAAAATCCTCCGCTTCAGAAGTTTTATCTTTGTCAGGAAGATCAGGAGCTGTCCGAGAGAGAGAAAGATCGGTACGAAGGTTGAGGGGGAAGGATGTGAAACGGAAGACGGAGGTAAGGATTAGAATACTGTATGAGAGATAGACGTCGTTTGGCACAGATATAGCAATAATCGGATTGGAGCATCTATTGACTGGTGAGTCATTAAGATCGTGGAAGCTTGCTCATTCGCATACCTTCGGTCCACTGAATAGGTATTCAGCAAAGGCACGACATGCGTGCCTGCCGACTTTTGCAATGCTTGATTCAATGCAACACCGTCGTCATCATCTGCACGGAGTCCGCTGGTGAGACATTGCAGTAGGTCTCCAAAATCAAGGACATGGACGCCAAAAGCATGGTAGACGTAGACAGTATCGTCATGTATCGGATCCATCAATAAGACAGGGTAGTTTGCTTGAAGGAGGTCGAGAATGGATGTGCCCAATGAACAAGGATATGTCTGTTTCAGCATCGAAATCAAGCCCAAGTCTATGCACTCGTAAACTGCTAGCATAGGCAAGTCCTGAGATTTATCCTGGAGTCGCATGCATAAGCAGCAATGATACAACAAATTCGACAACAAACCTGTTTGCTCTCCCACCGTGCTTCAACTTTCTCTACGTCTAGACACACATCAACTTGACCGTCTTGATGAGTGATAATGACAACCCCAAGACGCTCAGTCTCGCCTGCATCTTCATCGTCATCATCACGAATGAAAGCAATATACGCGATGTCCGTTGCATCACCGCCTTCACTGTCTTCCAATGATCGAGGCGAAGGTTGGAGGAGGAAAGGCCCCTGACGCATCGGTTGGCTTTTGATGCTCATGGGAGGGTGCATAGAGAAGGAGCGAGAGATTGCCGGGTACACAGTCCCCGGTGGAAGTTGCTTCAGTAAGGCTGTAACATATTTCCGCTGGTAGTCGTAGAGCGTCGAAAGGGCTGATATCCCACTAGATGTTCCCTGAGATAGAAACTCCTGTTTGGCGGAAATGAAACACTCCAGGGCGTGGACGTAAGACGATGGTACAGATCTTAGAATCGATTAAGAAGCAGTGTTACACGAGAGATGATAAAACTTACGCGTTTTGGGGCATGTAGGGGCATATAGCATAGATGTCCCCTGACCTCATAACGGCATAGACGGTGAGCGGGCCCCAATCTGCTTTTCCCTTTCCTAGAGTGAATGATGCGACCTCGCGTTCGGCTGGATCTTCAGCCAGATATGACTTCGAGGTCTTCTTCTCGGGAACAAAGGACAGAACTTGTTGGGGCTCTTCAGTATCAACCGAAATGTCATACTCTCTGAAAAAGGTGAGTGATATACTAAACTGATCGTTGTAAACCCGACCTTAGTTTCCCATCGACAGTCATGACCATAAGAGTGGATCCTGCTTCGCCCCATGGGTGCCATTCGATCTTGGCTATGGGGGCAGATGAATGCGAATGATGATAGAAAAATCCTACTTGGATTGACCTTTGCAAATGGATTAGGTTGACATTCATACAAAAATCGCTCGCTTACTTGCAGTCCACAGAAGAAGGCACAAGCTTGGAATAGCCAGCGCGAGGGAGGACCACAACTGCAACCTGGTATGCTCCTGCCACAGCTATGAGCTTCCCGCTTGGATTTAGTGCGAGTTGGTGGATCCCAAATTGGATATTTGGTGTGTTCAAGACCTTCTCTGGCGGTGAGTCGCGACGAGGATTGTCAGAATTGGCACGTACTTTGAACGACTTGTTCGTACTCCTCCCAAGCTTAGAGTCAGAAAGAGAAGTTATCCTCAGTTCGCATCCAGCAGCTACGATTAGATCAGAGTCCTTGAGGACCATAACCTGACGACGTCCTGACAGGGGAAGTTCATCGTCCGAAGACCCCTCCAGCATAGATTTCTTCAGTGTATTCGTAGAAAGTTCCAGCGACTCCTCTGACTGTCCTGTTGGTCCTCCATAGCCTTTTGGAAGCGTAAATATCGGATGTCCTTCCAGCATTGTGCTCCAATCATCTTGGGTCATAGTTAATACTAGTCGCGTCGGTGAAGAGGGAGTGAAGACGAACCGGCTCAGAAACGCGCCTGACCTGGTTCGGTTGTTCTTTCCCACGGGCTGACGCGCTCAAGCTTGCGCGTACGAAGACAGCTCACTTGCATACTTACTACCATGACTTCCATCGGGACAGGCTACGATCTTTCAGCTAGTACATATTCACCAGATGGCCGTATATTTCAGGTGAAATCGTTGAAACCCGTCGAACAGTGCGATGTTCTCAATCTTATCACCCTAGGTCGAATACGCCAACAAGGCGGTAGAGAACTCAGGGTATCTAAGCTTTCTTTCAGTACTTTAATTGATACTAATGATCTGCTCCGTTAAATCAGCACTGCTGTCGGTCTACGCGTCAAGGATGGTGTCGTCCTTGCTGTGGAGAAGCTTATACACTCCAAGCTCCTTGTCCCAGGAGCTAACCGACGCATTCAAACAGTAGACAAACATATAGGCATGGTGAGTGCCCTGTCAAATTTCTCAATGGGCTCATGTACGATGTCTGCTTAAGGCATCTGCTGGTCTTCTTGCCGATGGCAGGAAAATATCACAGCTGGCTCGTGACGCAGGGGCTCAGACTCGAAAACAGTGGAGAGAGCCTTTAACTGTGAAGGTGATCAGATTACGCTGGAACGTCAGCATGTTATACTCATCCACTATCGCCAGGCCCTGTCAGATTCTGTAAGCTGGAATGCCCAAACCTATACGTTGTACTCGTCTGTCCGCCCGTTCGGCGTCAGTACGATCTTTGGTGGCGTCGACAAGAGTGGTCCTTCACTGTATATTGTTGAGCCTAGTGGTGTTTGCCTAGTGAGCGCATTGCAAGTCAAACCATCTCGATACTGATAATATGCCAGGGATATCACGGTGCAGCAGTCGGTAAAGGCCGTCAGCTGGCCAAAACCGAGCTGGAGAAGCTTAAACTATCAGAACTGTCGATGCGTGAAGCTGTTATGGAAGCTGCAAGGATGTACGCTGTCCGTCACCTGTGTTCGCATTTCTCACCTAAATACTTCACCGCAGAATATACCTCGTCCATGACGACAACAAAGAGAAGGAATTTGAACTAGAGATGACTTGGGTTGGTGTTGAGTCAAACAACCTTCATTTACCTGTACCAGACGACCTCCTCGAAGAGGCAAAGAGGAAAGCTAAGGAGACATTAGAGACCTTTGAGTAATTCGGACAATAGTACGCTTGATATCATCGTTCCTCAACTCGCTCAGAAAGTTTTGTGTGAAGGAGCCAAACATTGAGTGGTGTCTATACAATTTGCTCTAGCTCGCGAGCGTATGCCAGGTTTGCTGCAATGAGCTTCTGCGTTGGAATCTCTACTTGTTCATCATTCTTCTTTGCAAATGTTATCATGCCAGCCGTCAGATCTACCTGCCAACCGCGCTGTAAATAATATCAGCAAGGAGAGTTCCGGGGACTTTAAAGTGGCTACCTGTTGGGCAAACACCAATAACCCAGACTGTGAGGGAAAGAATAGCAGGGTTGCAGCGTCCTTCAACGGGAGGCTATCATACGCCGACTCCTCGCAACTGGCAATCTCATTCCTGGCAATAACCCTCAGTGACGTTGATCAGACCAGCAGAAAACAGCTCACCGAATGGTGCCCATAAGACTGTCTACAAAGAATTTATACTCTTCAGCCGGTGCTTCCTCACGGGCATTCCACACTTTGCTGTAGCTACCCTCCATGAGCCAGCGCTCGAGATTCACTGGATGTCTGATATATGGATTTGTGTTGATCTCATCAGCAGGAAGTGGAAGTGATTCGAGGGTGGTGTGGAAATCAGCAATGCGATTTTGTGTGAGCAGACGGATGAGGTTCAAGCCCCGGACTGCGAATTCACGCTTCGATGGAGGGAGGCTTGATCTGATGCCTGTGAGGAAAAGCTAATCTGGGTAGAAGATTTATACATGCCTGAAGTCCGTGTAGAAAGTGTGCAGCTGGGAGAAATATCTATCAAACGAAGGGACGTCTTTCGCTCTTATACTCCAGAAGACACCGATTTCGAGGATATCACCTGTCCCGCTGTCATCATATAGCACATCACAGAGCGTTCTGACGTACGAGCAACGACCAAGTCATGGAGATTTGTTTCTCCTTGGGGGATCAATAGACCTGCTTCTATCAAACCAACCTAGCATGAAGTCAGTCATGCATGCACAAAGCTTTGGATCAACTTGGTCACACCTTTAGCTGAGCTAGCAGCGTCCCGCATTTCTTCAGATCTGACGGTCGCGCATCAAATGCACGCTGTAGCTCGTTGTATAGTGTAGCCAATTTCTGAGAAGCCATTGTGAATATAACAAAAGTTACGAGTTCGATGAATGGAAATCAGAAACAAGTAAGTAGAGAACACGCGTCCAGACGCGTCAGCGCTACTTAGCCACTCAGCCACAACTCAAGATTGTCATTACACTTCTTCATAACACACGACGACAACGACAGCAGCATGGATCGCATCGACATGAACAGGCTCAAGAGTGGAGAGGTCAATCTCGGGGTATAAGCGTTCAAATTATCATTCTATTATCGTTAATGTATGCCATTGGCAGACCTCTATCATGGCAGTTCAGTTCGACAAGGGCGTCGTTATCGGCGCCGACAGTCGTACAACGACTGGAAGCTACATCGTGCGCACTCTTACCCGCTCACTGTTCATTTACTCATCTCTACAAACCAAAGGCCAACCGTGTAACAGACAAGCTCACGCATGTCCACGATCGGATATACTGCTGTCGCTCAGGATCTGCAGCTGATACGCAAGCAGTCGCAGACATAGTACATAACTACCTGCAGCTATATACGTACGTCTTCATATCTCAACAGTGTCGAATTTGCTTGTACTGAACACTATTAGACAAATCCACGGCGCCCACCCTCCAGTTTCATCGGCTGCGGGCATGTTCCAGGATATTTGTTATGATAATAAGGATGCTCTCAGCGCGGGTATCATCGTTGCTGGATGGGACAAGGAGGTTGGTCCAAGTGTATATAACATTCCTCTAGGCGGAGGGCTTTTCCGCCAGCCGTGGGCCATTGGAGGTGCGTCTTGCATGTTTCATGTTCGACACCGAGCCAGTTATATCATGTTTTCAGGCTCTGGCTCAACATATGTATACGGTTACTGTGATGCTACATACCAAGATGGGTGGGGACGGGATGAGACCGTCGAATTCGTGAGAAACAGTGCGTGCTCGAAAACATCACTTTTCTGCCTTTTGTTTAATTGTTTCGCATAGCCCTTGCACTTGCGATGGCAAGAGACGGTTCATCAGGAGGTGTCATCCGCATGTGCGTGATCACGGAGGACGGTGTCGAGCGGCTCTTTGTTCCCGGCGACAAACTCCCTAAGTTCTGGGAAGGTCGTGAGGTGTTGTCAGGGCCGGTGAAAAAGAGCGTGGAACAGACCGCAATGGCTATCGAGTAGATGTGTAGATTTATGCAAAATCACAACACCTTCTTCCCACAAGTGGGCATTCTGATTAATATTGCTCGTAATTAAATGTCATGGCTGAGTATTATACACACTCGGTATGGCTGTTCAGTACATCCGTTCTGCCCAGGATAACCTCCATCCTGCATCAACCTCCCAGTGACTCGTCTCAACAGGGGAACCGTAAGCTTGCCCCTCCCACATCCGCAATCTCCAGAGAGCTATCGCCAAAGACACAACATCCGCTCGTTTGGCAGTATGCTGATTTGAACACAGCAGGAACGCGTGGCTTCCCTTGGCATCACCACGGACTCGCGAAGACTTTTCATGTTTAGAAGAACCAGGGGCCGGAAGTGAGCGCGACCGTGCTCTACGCTCTACCTCAAGGAGCTTGCAGAGTGCTTTATGCAGTGCTGCTCGCTGTGGTCGGGCAGGAAATAAGGACAACCCGTGGTAGAGAGGAGCTTGCGCATTTGGAAGAAGAGGAGAACCTGGATCATCACCCGTGATTGGATGGAGAATGGAGAGGGAGGGAAGACGCCGCGATGATGTTTCTGAGCTGTCAGTATCGATTTGCACAATATCAGCGATGTCCAACTGTGCGGAGGATTGTGGCTTCTCCTTTGTTTCTGGGTTCCGGTTGACTGGGGGTACTACCATCAGGGCCACTGCATCTTTGTGGGGTATCGAGTTAGTTTGCCGAACTATGTTCCATTCAGAACGAGTGAGTCTTCGGAGCACCGTCGCCGCGGGGTCGTCCAAAGGGCTCGCAGCAAGCCTTTTAGTAAGAAGTTCCAGTTCCTGCAGGACTCGTAAACGGAGCTGATAACCGATGCGCACCGATAGCAAAGGCGCCACAGTCAAGTTTTGTGAGATTTTGCGCAGCGGGACTGAGAAGAGCTCAGTTGTGGCTGGAATAAAGATAAAGTTGAGACTCGTCACGCACTTCTAGAATTTGCATATGGAACGGCATCTTTCCAGCATACAATATAGCACGCAGGTGTGGATCGACGAGGCTTGAATTTAGGATGTTCGACACCATCTGGAACTAGTATCTGTTGTTCGCGTACTCCCTGAGAGGCCGGGAGACGCACAGGTGCTAGACGAATGAGAAAGTCTGGGAATGGGATTAAGGAGGTGTAACATGAGCCTTTGCTATTCACTCACCACAGGGTAGCTTTTTACGCGTTATTTGACATTCTCGCAATGGTGAAGCGAGCATCCTGACTGCATCAGAACGATAAGTAGACAAACAGAAACGGTGCACCCAACGCACGGTAAGGGCTGGACCACCATTCGCGTTCCTCGTCCGTCATTTCCCGCGGATGATCATGCTCCCCGGTATATTGTAGTGGCTTCACAAGACGAACCCTGGGTGGTAGTGACTTGTGTCTGTTATAAAGATGTCCTTCGATGATTGGGTTCTCGTCGTCCAACAAAATTGAGTGAGTCCTGCCTTCTGAAGCGAAAGTAGGCGTCTCTGGAATCGTATTTTTCATAGAAACACGCTTTTTGTAGCGCGTATATCCATTGCTCAGCGTGTTGGGCTCTGGGGCATCTTGCAAGATTTTGAGCAGACGTGGAAGTAAGCGAGGCATGCACTAAAGCCCGACTGTGACAACCCTGGGTAAACTCGCCAAAATCACTGTAGATTCCCTTTACACGACTGCGACGCACAGCAGAATGCTGATACCATTCATGGTACAGTGATAAGGTCCTGCGCTTAATTCTGTTCAGATATAGCATTCGGTATCGGATCATCAAGTGGCACATGTCACGTTTGCACCCTATAAAGTCACTTTGGTCTCGCTCGAGCGTCAGGTCCAACGAATCCCCTTCTACGATCATGGCATCCCTGCCAAATGAGCCTGTCACGTTGGCCGTCATCGGCTGTGGTCAGAGAGGGACTGTATGAAGTCAATCGTGTACTTTCTCCTCACGGTGCATTGACGGTTGTACGCAGAACTATGCTGAATATGCCCTCGGTCACCCGAAGCAGTGCAAGGTCGTTGCTATTGCAGAACCGAGGCCAAAGACCCGCGATATTTTTGCCCGTAATCATAAGCTCGATCGGACCCTTGTGTTCAATGACTGGCAGGAACTCTTAAAGGCTTCCACTGATACCATTCAAACTATTGGGAAGCGTCTTGTGGACGCAGTAATTGTTGCGGTGCAAGACCACATGCATTGTGAAGTGGTGTCGGCATTCGCAGCCCAGGGGTACCATATACTTTGCGAGAAACCCATGGCTACAAGCCTGCAAGACTGCCTCGAAATGGAGAAGGCAGTCAAGAACGCTGGTATCATTTACGGAGTTGGTCACGGTAAGCTATATCACCTGTCGTGCTGCAAACTTTAAACCTCACGTGCGGCAGTCTTGCGCTACTCTCCTTACAGCAAGGCCGTTACCGAAGTGGTCCGTTCAGGACAGTTGGGTGAGCTAATCAACGTGGTTCACATCGAGCCCGTTGGTTACTTTCACTTTGCTCACTCTTTCGTTCGGGGTCATTGGAAGAAAGAATCTGAAAGTTCTTTTTCTCTCATGACCAAGTGCTGCCAGTAAGTAAGTCTTGGTTCACCACGTATGACATCTTAATAGATCGGGAATGCAAGTGACATAGACATCCTCTGCCACTGGCTTTACCCTGCGACTCCGACGCGAATCTCTTCGTTTGGCTCTTTACAGCATTTTCGTAAGGAGAAGAAGCCCCCTGCAGCAGGCACTGCAACTCGCTGCCTAGAATGTTCAATAGAACAAGATTGCCCATACAGTGCAAAGAAAAGTAGATCACCTCTAAATTTACTCCATATAAACTGAGTGGAACCACACAGTATACCTGGAACCTGTTTCTCGCGGAAATACTCACTGGCCAGCCAGCACTATTGTGGACGGAATACCAGACATAGAGAATATCACCGGTGCTCTACGCAATGGACCTTACGGACAATGCGTGTATGAAAGTGATAATGATGTCTGTGATCATCAGGTAGAAGCCGATTCTCTCTTGCAAAGCGGCGTTTTAATGCTGCATTTCTAGGTTGTAAATATCGAATATTCATCAGGAGCCACCGTCTCGTTTACGATGGTGGCATACACCTCCTTGATTTGCGAACGTCAGACACGGTTGCATTTCACGCACGGCGAGATAGTCGGCGATATGAATAATTTTACTGTCGCCGACTTCCGCACGGGTCATAAGACGACGCACCACCCGAAAAATGAAGGTGGTGGCCACGGAGGCGGAGACCTGGGTCTTATCCGTACTTTTGTCGAGGCCGTGCGCACGAACAATCAAGAACTACTGGGGACTGATGTCTCTGAGGTGCTCAAGAGTCATCTCACCGTATTTGCTGCTGAGACAAGCAGGAGGGAAGGCACAGTGGTTGATTGTGCGAAGTTCGAGAAAGCTATCAGAGCAGAATTAGAAATGAAATAAGTTCCTTATCACCGCTACTACATCATCCACCTTGTAGCATAAGCTGGCGAAGTACTACAACCCTCTGGTTGCATATAATCCAATTTCCGATCATCCACACCGCTATTAGAGTCTTGATAAACATAGGGTACCAGATCTCGCAAATTCGCCTAGAAACTTTGAATACAGGATCGAAGAAATCAAACAGGTACGATGATTCAATTCGACTTTCCCCGGGGCTGCCGTCCTGTGGGTCGGACAAATGCAATTTCTTTGCTTGTTAGTTTACGTCGTGTCCTAGTATCATTATGATTGGTTGTATTTGTCCGCGCTGATCTGGAAGTGGCGAGTGGGTGGAAAAAGACTGAGATCTGATAGCTAAGACTTGGAGAGTGAGATCTTGAGAGACGACTGCAAGATGGCAGCGCCAGCGAAGCAAGAAGCGCTGCGCCACCTCGCTTAAATATCTGCTCGCCTTCAGCTAGCTTACAAAGCCATCGCGGTACGGTACGGATACTTATAAGTTGTCACCTAATTCAAAGTTTCGCACTGATGCTTTCTTTGGACGGTCTCGCAAGAGTCGTGTCCCAAATATGAGTGTGTCATCTTGTATCAAGACGGTACGCTCAACTTTGTGACGTACAGCTCGTGGCTAGTAGAACTCGAGCCGACTTTTACCACGATGGCTTGTAACTACTTTGCTTTGCTTGACGCAGATAAAGTTTGTTCCTTCGCGAGGCCGCGACAATTTCAGAACGACTTTGTTACTTCATTGATTTAAAATTTGTGACTCGCAGCTAGCGCTGAAAACCGTTTCGTTTCCCTAGAAATGGCTAACCGCGACCCACGAGAAGGACATGTGCAGCTCTGCTCTATACGTTCGCTGCGTATCGACTCTACGAGTCATCGAAATATCCGGGCCTGGCGCCTGTGCTGCGGGGAGGAGTGTTTCCTTTTCCGATTTACACCAGCGGCCTGCTGATAGGCATAAATACTGGTTGTCAGGCTGCGATGTCCGTCAGCACCACCATCTTTAATTCATGTCCCCAGAGATAAGCTCTGAGGAGAGATTTCTTCCTCTGCCCGATGGGCGTACCTTGGCATACGAAGAAGCAGGAAATCTATCCAGCAAGATAGTCGTTCTTTACATGCATGGCTTTTTCACTGTCGGGGATGCGTCCCAGACATCTGATGTCTTTCTGAGCAAGAATGTTCATTTCATTACGCCCACCCTGCCTGGATGGGGCAACACGTCACCTCCTCCCCCGTCGATACCATACCGCGACTGCCTCACAAGCGACATGACCGCGCTATTGTCCCACATACATCCGGATTCCAACGGCCGTGACATCAAACTATACCTTGCAGGGGGCTCGCTCGGTACAGCACCTGCACAGATATTGTATGGTGCACCGTATGACAAGTTCCCATTCGGCCGGTGCATATCAGGCATGTTGTTATTGGGCGCTTTCAGCCCGTTTCGGTACCACAAAGATTACGCCAAACACATGACGTGGACGCTATATATCCTACCTGGCCCCATCGGGTATTACATACCATTCAATCTTCTCACTCATCTGATGAAATTCGTGCTGGCGAGAAAGTTGGCAACCATAGAAGGCGTAGAGGCATCGTTGCGGGAAACTGTTTTTGATATCATGGATCAGGCGGAGCAGGAGGAGTTTGCGAAGTGGAGTGAGGAACGCGGGATGGTACCAGAGGATACGGTGCGGAAAATGGCTAAGAATGCCATGAAGAGCATCTCCAAGTCTTGGGCAGGCTTTATGCTAATGCCACCCCTTCTGCACTCGGATTGGGGTTTCCGGCCTGACGCATTGGACGAGGAACACTCTCGTCCGCCTATCCTGCTTACAGCAAGCAAGGACGATCACATGTCACCGGTGGCTTACGCATACTATCTTGCTGCTAATTATAAGAATGCGCGGATCAAACACGTTGATGGGGGGCATATGAGTATTTCATACCACATGGATGAGGTATGGGCAGAGTTTCTAGTTGACGAGCAATAGTCAATTGTACCACAACACTGTTCACGAGACATCTTCGAGAGGTTCTTCCAGAGGGGATGGAGCCTCATCGAGAAGTTATCTACATACATATGTGAGCTAACGTGATCTTGACTGAAGCTGGTATGTAAGTTACTATGACACCTCTTAACGTACATCATTTTATAGCCTCATGTTACCCATGAACCTGCCTCGTCTGTCGCTATATCTCTCACGGGTTCCTTTGGATATAGAGCTTCATTTTGTTGCAGGTTCAGCGTGAAATCAACTTCCGGTGAACCAGGATCTGTAAGTTTGATTGGAACGCGGAAACGAAACCATTGAATATTGACTGCGCTGATGAGTCAGACTTGCGTAGTAGATCATCATCTATGTATCGATTCGACTAGCTTGCGCTGATATGAACATTGAACGTAACTCTACGTTGACTCTACGTAACTCTTATCTACCGCTTTCAAGTTGTATCGCTGGCACATCCTCCCTCGTACGACCATGATAAGTTTAACTCGCCGACTTTCCACTCTCGCGCGCCAGTTCTCCACTGCAACCCCCAGAATGTCCTATCCATTAACAGTTCAAGCCATCACGATCTCAAAGACGGGAGGACCCGAGGTCATTGAGAAACACGAGATCCCTTTCCAAGTAGCCCCGAATCATCTGGTCGTAAAGGTAGAATAATTGCCTATGCGAGTGTTAACACTTAATTTGTGCCGCACTGAGTAGGTCCAATATCTCGGTGTTAATTTCATCGACACATATTACAGGCAAGTGTCCAAATGCCCCAAGCATCCCGAGGGGCGCAGTTAAGTTTATGACAGAGAAGGAATATACAAGGCCCCTGCATTTCCATTCGTGATTGGGGAGGAAGCTAGCGGTGTAATCGTTGCACTTCCTACAGACAAGTCCGTCTTGAACGACCCGGATTACAAGAAGCGTGGGTACAAGATAGGTTCCCGCGTCGCGCTCGTACGGTGTGCTGTCTATGCATTTCCTTGCAATGACTCACGAGCCTACAGAATTGCCTGAGTTCACATGCGGAATACGTTTCTGCACCTTGGAAGTCGCTATATATAATTCCGGAGTCGGTGTCGACATTGACGGCCGTCTCGGCCCTTGCGCAAGGGTTGACGGCTGTGACCTTCATGGAAGAAGCGTACAACGTGCAAAAGGGTGATGTCATCTTCATTCACACCGTGGCAGGTGGTCTTGGACTGTTGATGACCCAGCTGGCTAAGTCGCGGGGAGCGACTGTGATAGGCACGACTTCGACCCCAGAAAAGGCCGCCCTTGCAAAAGCTAACGGAACGGACCATGTGATCTTGTATAAGAGCGAGGACACGGTTGCACGTGTCCTCGAACTCACGAACGGGGAGGGTGTTCACGCAATTTTTGATGGCGTGGGTAGAGATACGTGAGAATCGAATCGGACTTATGTTTTTTTGACTTGGCTTGAACTTTGATGCAGGTTCGAGTCCGACTTCATAATGATCAGGCGGAAAGGCACCATTGTCACACTGGGTAATGCTTCGGGGGCCGTTCTACCATTCCCTCCCATCCAACTCGCGCAAAAGAACGTGAAGCTTCTCCGGCCCACGTGGGTTTCACCACTGCATTATTCAATTTTATGCTAACAGTTAGGTATCCTAGCATTGCAAACTATACATACACCCCAGCAGAAGCACTCTACTATGGAAATGCATTGTTCTCCCTTCTTGCCAATGGCACCTTAAAGGCGCGGATCTTCAAGGAATATCCATTCACTGCGGAGGGGGTAAGACAGGCGCAAATCGACCTGACAAGCGGAAAATCTACAGGCAAACTTGTAGTTAAAGTCAGTGATTGATGGGACGTCGTACGATTGGCAATCAAGTTGGAAGCTACTTATCTGTGACAGTGTAAGTTATGTATTGAAGGGGCGAATTTTGTAAGGATATGATAGTATTAGATGATATTGCCCTCGAACAAAGACCCGGTGGTTTCGCCTGAACCGATGAAGATTAACAGCGAATTTGATAATTCGAAAGTTCCACTAGCTATCATTATTGCCAACAGCGTTAGCGCCCAGATGCATTATGATAGTGGAGGTGGAGTCTGGGCGCCTCAAGTTCGAGGAGTCGGACACACGTGCACCGTGGCTGTGTATTGATACAACAGAAATGACGATCACTTCAGGTTGCAAACAAACCATGGACAGAGCAAGTACTATCACAATATCCGAGTCCAAATGATATTGAATTCAAGTATACATAAACCTACCACGAGAAGCAGTGTGAAAACGAAAGTTGTGATATATGAGTACGAAAACTATTTACAATAATTCGACAAAAAAAGCTTGCGAATACTGTCCTTCTTGATTGCGAGGTACGAATCAGCAATAGCAACGTCAAATTGGAAGTGCATAATGATGGCAACCACTTCATGGTCTTCTAGGCCCTCCTCTTGCACCTGACGGATAGCTTTCGTCTTGCGCAGAGGGATCGGATCCACGAAGTGTGTGATGAAGTGCGTTGTGCGCTCTTGCAAGGCGCTTGCTGCACGATCAAAGGACATGTTAAGACTCTGAATCTCCGAGCTCATTTGCTGGATGGTTTTAACGACTCGCAAGCGTGACTCATCCGAGTCAGCGCTTGACCGCCACTAGTTGCGTCTTTCGGCTTCCTGGCCCGCCGATCCAGTACTCATCTTCTCATCTGTCCCGCTTTCCTTCGCCATGGAGGTACAAGATGGTAATAAGAGGATGCCGCCGAGTTTTGAACGAATTTTAATCAAAGATCAAGTCTGAGTTCGAGTTGCTTGGATATTCTTTATCTGTCGATTATCGATTGTCACGCAGATACCACACTGAGTTCGTGATTACAAATCAAAGTGTTAAATTGGGTGACGCTAGACAAGCAATGTTATAGATGTTGGAGGGGAGGTATCGCACTGATAGGGTTAGAAATAGAGTAAAATGAGCACTGATCTGGAGCTAATCCTGTAGCTCCAGCTCTCTTCGAATAATTTCCCTCACTTCTCTGAGGCCGCCCATTTCACGTTTAACTCGCCTGGGACTTCGCGTGAGCATTTCGGCACTGTCGAGTCTCGCACGAGAGCCGGGACTGGGCGGTGGACCTATAGTAGAAGTAGATCGAGCACCTGGACTGGGTGGTGGGATGAATTTGCTGCCAGCGGGCTTCTTGGTTGGACTAGGGGGCATCGACTTGTTGACAGTGCTACTATCAGAGTCCTGGGCCGATGACGTGGATGGCATCTCAAGCCATTCTTTTCCGGCGATATCCAGAGGTCGCAGGAAGAATGGACAAAGCGTCGTGAGTAGTCTGAGCGACTCATTTGCTTCTAGAGTTGACATCGGCACGGGGGAAGATTTGATGATTGCAGCCGCGACCTCAGAGGTCGGAAGAGCTTTGCGTTTGCGAATAGTTGGCGCGGAACTCGGTCCGACAGGAGCCGAGAAGAGCCTGTCAAATAAGGAATCAATAAAAGAAGAGGTCAGGCTCATGGTACTAACATCCAGGCACTCTCGGCAACACCACCTAAGCGACCGAGTAGGCAGCGCCGTCGGATCTCTTCCTGGCCCATTTTCTGGATCTGTTCCCTAGAGAGTTTTCCTCCCACAACTTCCGCGCTCTTTGCTTTGGTTGGACTGGTGGTGACAGACTTCTGACGAATTCGGTCATATAAAGCTTGACGACGAGATGTACTCGGAGTTGAAGGTGCGGTCTCCGCGTTGGCACCGCGTTGATGGACAGGTGTCATAGGTAGAGAGTCTGATGCATCGCTATCGCATCTATGACGCGCAGGAGTCTTGGGGGTTAGAAGACCAACCAAAAGATCTGCACGCCTCTGACGCGATGATGGTGTCTGAGGAAATGCAATGGAAGATTTTGAGGATGATGCCAGGGCTGATTTTGAGGGACTAATCGCAGGAAAGGGGACTGCAAACTGATTTGCGGCGATAGAACGCTTCACAGGCGACTTCACTGGTGAGGTCGGACTGGACGGAACCATATTCTTAAGAATTGAAGCACCCTTAGGCGAGGCAGAAGCAAGCACTCGAGTTAGCGAGGACGCCTTGACTGTAGTCACAAGCTCCGAGAGATCTGCCAAAGGGACATTTGGCACATCTGGGATATCAGGGTGAAGCTACAAGTGGAGTTAGCATTTATATAATAATAGCATAGATCTGGGGGACAAACCTTGACCCAGCGCTCGAGTTTATTTCGAAACTCAGTTCGTCGCTTCTCTGCATCGGCGGTCCATCGAGCTACCGCGGCCATGCCACCCCCCATATCTTTGTCAATATCGATTTCGACCTCGATACCAATACCATATACAGGTACGCGTTTGCCCGCGCTCTTGGAATAATGAGTAGTTGGGCTGATAACCAATCCCATCGCGCCTCGCGTCCAGTCCTTGGCAGGAGGCTGTGCAGGGGCATCTAAGAAGGGGTTCTCATCATCGATCGCCTTGTATTTGCTTGTAAGGTCAGGAAGTGACTTTGCATCCCACTCCCATACCCAGCAAAGCCGTTTAAGATCATCGGTGTCGAATTTGGTTGTGAGTCCAGAGTAAGTCATGATGGACATATGATTGAGCACATTTCGCACTATGCCCGTGTCAGAAGATGGAGACACGGCGCACGTTGCTAGTGCATGTGATAATGCATGTTGCAAGGCTGTTTGAACTGTGTTGAGTCTTGAAAGGTGGTGTGGTAACGAGGTAAGATTTGGTTTGCTGCCCTTGTGAGCAGAGGAGGGCGGTGTAGGTGGCCTTGATACATGTCGTCTGTAAGCATAATGGCACAGTGGCAATAGATTTAATAAACATGCTCACGCAGTTCGAAGCTTCTTTGGAGTGAAAGTGGTCTCGTCGTCTGAACTAATGAGTTGACGTTTCTTCCTGGGAGAGACTCCGAGGGATGTGTATAGGTCGGTCATGGAGACAGAGAATGTAAGTACAACAAGTAGAGTTAATGTATCAGCTGCCGGAGCAATGAAGGATGTCGTAAATGAAACAGAAGCTTAAGGATGAACACAACTTGAAGATGAACAAGAGACGCGAACCAAATGATCGACGACGCGTCCACGTAAACAGTTCCCACGAACGCGTCTTTGCCGTGTAGTGCCAGGTTACATGATGGTGTTTCGACATTTTTGCCACTAGTGAAATCACATTCAAAATGCAATCTAGAGCGATCCAGGCTAGGTCTAGATCTGCTTTTGATTGAAATTTTGCAAGACGTAAAATGTCCAAACCTCCGATGCCTGTCAATGTAGGTCCGTTACTATACTGGTTCTCGTTTGCTCATTTGAATCCTCAGCGTCCTAGTGCATCTAGTTGGCTGCCGTGTAATACTCAACGCGAGTATTGTTAATGAGTCCAACAGTAAACAATTTTCTTCCTGGTCAACTACCTCTCATTCTCCAACAAGCTTGCTCGAAACTTCTCATTGTCCGCGTACATTCTTTGGATTCTGCGCCCAATGCTAGATGTATTTTAACCCAAAGAATGTGATTGAACCAATCCACAATCAAGCCTCAAGGTCGCATAGGCTAGGTACGTATCTATTATCCATGCAAAACCGTTACAAAGAGTTCCATATGACAGGTCTCGAGAAAAGCAGTTCCAGGGCTTCAAAATACAATTTACAGGTCAGCTCAGTGTACGCCAGTATGGAGGAAAAGAACAGGACTTTGGAACAAGAACTTTAGAAGGTTACAGCCTCACGACCTAATCAGCTCTAACATTGCAAATGGAGCTGATATCAACGAATCGTGCGCCTCCTCGACTTCTCTCATGATCTGATGGAACAAAGGGTGCCATCTTCAGCTAGCAACAGCTAGAATCCCCGCGGAGAATTTCTGCATTCAATCATGGTACAACGCAGTGCCGATTCTAGGAATTCCTTTTTACGGCGCAGTTTGCTCTCCACACTCGAAAAACCGGATCTCGCCATAATCATTCGATGATTCTTGATGGGGTTTAGTTAGGCAGCTAAATGATTACAGAATGGTTGATATTTGATGCACCAAGGAGGCTGCAGACACTTCGATGTCGGTAATTGCTAATTATCGAGCAGCAGGTATAGTCGTGTTGTCGCAAGGCTGATGATTTACATAATCCATCTTGAGGACTTGTCGCAGACATGTGATCTCCCCAATTTCGTCATCGTGGTTTTCGTGCGATGTCACGACAACGGCGCCCACATGAACATTCGAACAAAGCCAGCGATTAGAGATACGGAAATGAAGAAGAGTGCTGTGCTGAAGTACCTGACTGTTTCTCAGGCTGACCTTGCAAACGAATTCAGCTTTAGGTTTTGTGCGCCTGTTTGCCGTTACCTTGCACACAAATCAAGCTGGGTCACCACCTAGACCTTCTTTATAAATTATCATTGATCGCCAACGAACTCATGGCAATCTTTCACAGTGCTAGTGTACGATATATCAATCAGAGTACTGCATTTCTGGCTGTTCGCGTTAAGTATGGCTCATTTTTGTCGATGCCCATGATCACTAGTAATCTTGCTTCGTTGTGGTCACATCTTCGAATGCATGACTTGCGTGTGTTGGCCCAGACGTACGTGTGAACAAGAAGCAAGTTCATGAATGCCTGCATGCAAAGGCGCAAAATGCCACGAGTGAACCGTTTGAGCTGTTTGCTCCTCAACTTTGGAAGCAAATCTTGATGGCACACAGCACATGCATCGCCTTGAACAACATACTACAAAGGTGAGGATCACGTCAAAGGGGTTGAGTTTATAAACTGTGGCGCAGGACTTCTCTCCTGCCTCCGAGTCACCAGCATGATGAACGCAAACGAAAATCATGGAGTCATCCAGCAGCATGCAATGTCTGTACTCGGTTACCTTGCTACGTGGAGTACTGAATGACAGCCATGCAGACAAAACACCCTCGAGCACCTTTCTGGTATGCATCACCTTTGATGCGAAATAGTATTCATCCAGGACTTCAACATGTTCGACAGGTGAAATACAGATATTACTGCAAAACGAAAACCTCTACGAGAATCGTATTCGAGAGCTTTCAACAAATTTGGGTGTTTTCCAAACAGCATACTCTGCTATGGAAGACCGCCTTCGAAGACAAGCGGAAGAGAAAAATGAATTGTTACACGAGTTGAACGCCTTAAAAGTGCGTTTACCTTTCACCCAGACGACTGTCGTGACTAGAAACCGCGTTATAGGGACTGGAAAAACGAGTTATATGTTTGCTTGACGGCGATGGAATGATCTTCACGCAGGAATTGATGAGCCAAGGCCAGGAAGGTGGCCTAGCTGCTGCGAGAAAACTGACCGAACGCGTTCGCCAATTCATATCTACCAATGAAGGATTTGAGCAATACCAACTTTGGGTGTATCTCTTCTACAACAAACGCGGCCTTCTAGAGACATTCGGCCGAGTGGGTCTGACGACGGTTAGAGCCAAGTTTGATGACTTCATGATGGGCTTCAATCAAGCTGCTGAGCGATTTATCATGGTCGACGTAGGAGGTAGCAAAGAAGCTGCTGATGCAAAGCTTAAAGGTGAGCTAACTCGCGTGATATGATTTGCACGGAGTCATTGAAGTTATTTCTGGATATCTAGTCCATCTTGAAGATAATATCCGTCTTCCACAAACTTACAAAATATTCTTTGGCGGTAAGTTCTACCTCCACCCTCTAAGCGGTTTACTGATTTTCGCCAAACAGGATGCCATGACAATGGCTATGTGCATAACCTTCGTTCTGTCGTTACCTCAAGCCTTGGTCATAAGCTTGTTCTCATGCCTGGTTATTCTGACGTAGCGATTGATATCAGGGCGCTTCAGCTACCCGAGCTCAGAATATCCGAGCTGTTTATCACAACTAAACTCGTGGCACCGTCTTATAATGTCATTGCGACTGGCCCCCCGCCCGGGCTGGCGCCTACTACTCCAAAATTGACCGCAGCGCAACCTGTTTGTCCTCCCACTACTCCGCCTGGTATCAGCCCTTTTTCTGGAGAAGGCCCGGGAGCAGTGGCTCGGCGCGGGAGTCTCCCAAGTTATAAATCAGTCTTGCAGACACCGCTAACAATGTCGACGCGGTTTAACTGCCCAACAATGGAACCAAGTGAGGGTAGTAGCGAGTCCAGCGAAGCAAGCGAGATTCCGTTTCGCTTGCCGCGATTGACCCCTCCTTCTCCACCGAAGCAGCGACGTATCAATCATCAACTGGTGGGTCGTATTGCCCTTCCATGTTTCTTGCCGCTGTCCTGACTAAATTTCTGCTAGCCATTGTCTAAGCGTATGTTCACTAAGCGTCCATCGTAGCGATCTAATGTTAACCTTTTCACAGATGTTCCACCTCCGTGCACTTTATTCTACTTGGCACAATGCAGACACGGTCCGAGTTGCAAATATTCGCACGAGTATATCTTGGAAGCGGAACACTATCAAGAACTCGGAGAGAATGCAAAGAAGACGCCTTGTAAAGTTACAAACGAAGGTGTGTCTTCCCCACTGGCAATTCATTAAGCATAATACTAACTGTTCGTCAGGCGGAGACTGTCCATTTGGAGATGAATGCGTTTATGGACATTCGTGCCCGAATGGAACAACTTGTTATTACCTGAAGTTAGGAAAATGCAAATTCATCGCTGGTGAGACATCCCGTTTCCACACGAAACCAACTCTCATCTTCGCTTAAGCTGGTATGCACCGCCAACCGAACAACTGAATTAACGTGCACCTTCGATTTTATTATGATAAAGTTTCTTGTTATGACCATTCGAGGCTGTCCTGCCGGAGATGGGTTCGGCCTCGGCAACGTCTATTTGTACATATATGCATGCAGTCACGTCTTGACATCAAGGTTCAGTTTTTCTAACCTCTTAGATCACCATCGCGGAGGAAAATTAACAACGTAATGCTGATGGAATTTTTCCATTGACGTACTTGAGCACGTACAAGTGATTCTCAACGAAAAACGCGGCACATTCACTTGGTTCGCGTGACTTAGCCAAATCAGTCCTGACTTCTTCGAATGACAATATGACCTTCGAGCTGCTCACATCAATGATATAATTGCCTTATCTGCGGACTTCTCCCATTGCACGAATCCCGCGATCTAGCCTGATTAACGGCCTAGCCCCTTTACAGGTAAGCATCGTGGCTTCGATGGTTTAAAAGGCTGCCGATTTTTGTTGGTATTCCTGTGTCTCCCTAATATCTAATATCCACTCTGTATCCATCGTTCGCCAACCCATATGGCAACGTCTCCGGTAGCAGAGGTCAGTCAGCACCTCTGGTAAGTCATTTAGTGCACCGACTGAAAACCTGATGCGAAAATTTTCATAAGGGATGAGACGCTGGGTAGACTTCTGAGTAAGTACCTTTCTCATGTCAGGAATCAACTTGTAATCTAATGCTGTTTTGCAGACCTGTCATCGGCCACAATTAAACGGAATGCTGACCTCGAGAATCGCTTAGCTGAACTCGAGGTCGAGCTTGCGGTCTGGAAACAAGCCCATGCGACTGCTATTGAAGGTGCAGACAGGGAGGCTAAGGCTCTCAAGGGGCGGTTGGCTTCTCTTAATTCTCAGGTGGCATCAATGGAAACCTTCATGGTCAGTCTATTTCCTGCTGGTTGTCTAAATTTATCCGCAATTTCATACAGAGTCAGAGTCTACTTGTCCTCTGCGTCATTGATGGGGATGCATGTATATTTAATGACTTGCTCCTTAGGCAAGGTCACGAAGGTGGCCGCCAGGCCGCACAACAATTGACGAGGGCAGTCGCGGATTATTTAACCAACGAGGACGTTCACGTTCTCGGTCGACTGTCATTTTGGGTAACAATTTACTTTAACAAGGCCATACTGGCGAGTGTTCTCGAGCGACATAAATTATGTAGCCCGGAGCAACTTGATGCCTTCATTATGGGCTTCAGCCAGTCTTCACCTAGGTTTGTTTTGGTTGATGTCGGATACGGCAAAGACGCCACCTTCACGAAAATTACAGGTCGGCGTGTGTTGATCAATGTCATCGGTCGCTTACCTCCATTTAGAGTATCTACAAACCTACCTGCGCTTCCCCCAAACCCAGAGAATTTTCTTTGCCGGCAAGTCTCGTCAACGCTCATCGCCGCTTACAGAAGTTGACGTAACGCAGGTGGTCAGGAAAATACTTACGCTTCAACTATTGCTGCCCTGCAAAATGACGGACTTTTGGGCAAAGTCGCTTTCTTGGAAGCCTGCCGCGCAAGCCCTAACTACGCGCAGAAACACCGTTTGCCAATTCTGACTGTGGACACATTGTTCATCAACCAGAGACTCTCGCCACCGTTGAGGACACCTCCACCATTGAATATGAATGGACTTAGTCCTACACTGACATCTGGTGGATTACCGACACCGCACTCGCCGCCCAGTATCAGTGCTTCCTCGACGGGCAGGCTGGTGGACCCGACGTTAGTGAGTTCACCCTCTTGTGGTTTATTGATGATGCTGATGGCTCCCAGCCCCTTCATAAGCGTGAGTTAAGATTGTGTTGATTAGCTGTGGTCAGTGCCTAGACACTCGACATTTTACCGCTTACACAGATTCTCCCCCACCTTGTAATGAATTCTATCTCATGTCCTGCACTAAAGGCGTGAGTGTGGACCGCGAGTCTTCTTCACTTTGCTGATGAACGTTTCGGTATTAGGGGGCTTGTAAATATTCGCATGACTATATCCTGACGCCAGATCAGCTGGCCACTCTTGCTGCTAACGCCAAAAAAGCTCCTTGTAATTTCTTGAAAAATGGTACGTTTATTCAACTTGACCTCGATTCCTCATTAATTTTTTGGTCATTATAGGTCTCCAGTGCCCATACGGCGAGCGGTGCTGCTGGGGTCATGTATGCCCTAACGGTCCGAAGTGTTTCCACCTGAGTAAGGGCAAATGCTGGTTCAAAGGCGGTTCGTGTCAGAACGTCAGATAACGACCGAGTACTAACTGGAACGTTTTATCTCCAGAAAGCATGCATAATGTTTCGCCTCATCTATCACCTTAGTCTTCCTCGACCCATGTTTGCATGTTATTGGTTTATCTTATGTGCCGCATGGCATGTACGAAGGTTTTAGCTTGACGTTTTATCGCGTTATCCTCTGCTCTTTATGTGCTTACAACATTGTAGTTCATGTGTGGTTTTTTACATGTTATTGTATGGATCGGATATGGATTATTATTTATGGATGTAATCTAGAACACGGATCTGTGGAATAGTCAGCACTCTCTAGCTCCGCATGTTCTAGAGCACATACATACAGGGACACTGGTCCGAGGATGGTGTGACCCCAAAACCATGCCGAGACCCCTAGCATTCATTTGCCTTTATATCTTCACCCAATACTTTTGTGTTTTGGCTGCCACCAAATGGGGGCCTTGACCCTCCGCCATCCATTAATAATTGGTCTCGTTCAAACCGCAATGAAAGTCCTTGAAAGCCCTGCTGAGACTCAAAGCTCGAGCCTATCTGGCATGTACAAAATGTCAATGTCCAAACTTACTTTGGATCATGATCAAGTTGAATTTCGAGCCCAGGCAACAGGCGTGTGAAATCGGATCAGTAGATAAGTGTCTGAACAGGATGGCACTGCCAATCGCAAAAGGCCCTTGGAAACTGCAACATATCTGCCACTCATCAACCTATTCATCTCTTTCTAAACCTCGAGTTTCACGTTTGAGATGTCTTCTGTATGTTTCGAACATATACATTAATTGCGATCGCTGACTGATTGGCGTGTTACTGTAGAACGACGATCAGGATGATTTGAAGCCCTCTGCCACCCCAGGTAGGCCAGCATTGAATGTAGGGCAAACAAAATGAGCAGCTTATTGATATTATCCAAGGCTACAAGCCAACTGGCGCTACCAAAACAGCAGACGAATACGCCAAGCTTGACGCGGAAGATGAGAGTTTGGCACGGTGGAAAGCCAGTCTTGGTATCACGCCTGGAGTATCAACTGGGGACACCTCAGGACCAAGAGTAAGTCACTCCCAGTACTGTCTGTACTGAATTTAACCATTGGGTCATATAGGTGACAGTTCTGACCCTAGAACTCGATTCACCCACACTACCTCCTGGCAAGAAGCTTATCTTTAACCTCAAGGACACCGCCAAGTTAGCCGATACCAAGAAGAACCCAATCACCATCAAGGAGGGCGTAGAATATAAGTTAGTGCTGTGAAGTTGTTCTCCGATAGGCTATCAGGCTGATATTGTCACAGCGTTCGGATCACGTTCAAGGTGAATCACTCAATTATTTCTGTGAGTGGCCCGTTTTCGTTTTGACTTGACAGGTCCTAAAAACTTGTTGCGAAGGGTGTACGATACATCCAGCTAGTCAAACGTGCCGGTATCAAAGGTATTAGTACATTCTCATCATGGTTCAGGACTTTGATTTTGATCACCTCTATAGTGGACAAGCTTGAGCAAATGCTTGGGTCATACGGTCCCCATCCCCAGGGAGAACCATACACGAAGAATTTTGATGTAGAAGAATCGCCGTCGGGGCTTATGGCACGTTCAGGATCGTACAATGTCAGAAGCCGTGTTGTGGACGATGATGGAGAAGTATACGCAGGTTTGTATTCGCAGAAGCTGTAATCAAGATCTCTTGAAACTGACCTACCATCTTTTCAGACTGGGACTGGTCGTTTAAACTTGCCAAGGAGTGGTGAATGAAGACTTCTCGCCTTGTCATTTTATGACCTTTATTGCATTACCCTATGGCATCATTTTGCATATCAGCTCTCAAGTGGCTGCCGAAGAAAAGTTCTTCAGGCTGACTGAAGTTTTCCGCTGAAGAAAATGTTTTAGATATAACTGCGAGCTATGGAAAATTTGACCGGTCAGGTCGTACTAGTAGCGGACTGTGGTGCTTTGTTAAATAGGCTAAAGCACGCAGGAGATTTGACCTAGCTCACAGCAATGCAACTAGTGCAGACGTATGGAAAACAGCGCCGCGGTCCTGAGCGCTGAGCGAGAGAATGAAAGCGTCATATCAGGCTTGTGGGCAAGCACTACTTGTGACTAGCATTGTCCATTCGGTAGCCACCCCTCCAAGTTGGTCGTCAGCTGGAGCAAGGACAAACATGCCGGCATGCTTCGAGCGAGTATAATTTATACGTACATACAAATTACGTGTTCCTGAGGAACTTACTATGTACTGTGGTGCAGCATGACTATCATAACACTAATGCGGTTCTCCAGGTTGTGTGCAGGACGCCGTTTGACGAGGAATCCGGCACGCAATATACCATGGGTTGGTAGGCACACGTCCCAAACAGCCGGTCAAATAGCTGGCATCTTGTCTTCATCCACAAAGTTGCCGAGCCGTCATGCATCTGGGACAGCAAGTGCTTCAACTGCACCAACAACCTGGGTCGACAGTCTCCCACCAAAAATTCGACCTTACCTCTACTTGACAAGAATCGATAAGCCAATTGGGACCTTATTGCTGTTTTACCCTTGTGGTGCGTCGAGCGGATTTGAAGTTGTGCGCTCTTCCAGCTCATTCTTCTTCAATCTAGCATGGTCCATAACCATGGCCTCGTATGCCTCAGAGGCACCATTAACGACACCTCTGACATATCTCGGCCTATTTGGACTTGGAGCAATGGTCATGCGCGGTGCAGGTTGCACCATCAACGACATGTGGGATAAAAATTTAGACAAAGCCGTAGGTAAGTAGAACACGCGCCATCGTCGCACCTTCTTTGCGCTGACGCGTCATCGCAGAGAGAACACAAAGTAGACCACTTGCGAGAGGTGACATCAGCCAGAGACAGGCACTGGTGTTCTTAGCTGGACAGTTGACAGTGGGACTGGGAGTTTTGTTACAGCTGAATTGGTACAGGTACGCATCATACTTACTTTCGCTCCACTGTCGCAAGCACTGACCTTTTCAATCATAAGCATTCTCCTTGGAGCTTCATCTCTGTCTTTGGTGACCGTATACCCGTTCATGAAAAGAATCACCTACTGGCCGCAAGCCGTACTAGGTACGTGTTAGTAGTTTCCGTCGGACTTCAGGACTGAATCGATGGTGCCGCAGGACTCACTTTCAATTGGGGGGCTTTGCTCGGCTGGTCTGCCGTTGCCGGGGCAGTCGACTGGAGTGTTTGTCTCCCTCTATACGCAGGTGGAGTATGCTGGACTCTTGTGTACGACAGCGTATATGCACATCAAGTGGGTGCTGCTACACAATAAGCAAATTCTACCTTCTAACTATCGCAGGACAAAGTAGACGACATAAATGTTGGTATCCACTCCACCGCCCTGCTTTTTGGAGAGCAGACCCGCCCCATCCTCGGCGCGTTCTCGGCATCAACCGTCTCTTTGATTGGTCTCGCAGGCGTTCTCAACGCTCATGGGGTGCCATTCTATCTCGGCCTCGGTCTCGGAGCTGCCCAGCTCGCACGCGTTCTTTGGAAAACAGACTTTGAGAGTCGTCCCAGTTGCTGGCAGGGATTCGTAGGATGTGGTTGGTCTGGATTTTGGATATGGATGGGAGCTTTGGCAGATTACGCAGTCCTGATTTCAGGTCTTACATGACGGTCGTCTGCTCGAATGACAAAATTTCTTGTAGTGGTTAGGAATATGCCAGAGGCGCCACTATGCAAGTGACTGTTGGTTTGGCTTTCTGCAGTCGACATTTGCGCCTCGCTTCTCGTCATTTATATTGTTGCTTTATCCAAGTTGTTGAGATAGAGATCGAATTAGCCATAGCCTATAGGGGATTGCATACTTTTTTGGAAATTTTCAGAGTCGGAGATGGACGATCCAAGTCCGTGATCTTAGTAACTACGCTCTCTCTTCACTGTTAGCCATGGCTTCCACCTCATCTAGCATTGTGTTCGACGACATCTTTACGATTAATGCCATCGACAAGGATGGCAAAAAATTCGACCGAGGTCCGGACTTGCCTATGCGCATCACTTTTTACCCGTGATTGACATGCGCTATGTAAACCCAGTATCTCGGTTATACGCTCGTTCAAAGAACTATGACATGGACTTGACGCTTGATTATAATATCGAGCTCTTCCCTCTAGTCAATGGGGACAGTTTCGCGATGGCCCTTGCTTCGTCGCTGTCACGGGACGGCGGTGCGCCCAACGCAGACGGAGAAGATGGGGAGGACAAAGACAGAGATGTATGGAGACCAGATGGTAAAGGAAAGAGAGGCTTGGAAGAAGATTATGACTATGTGATGTATGGGAAGGTATGCCTATGTTTTTCCATCGCACAAGGGTTTGAATTCACTCGTTGGTTCGACAGGTATATAAGTTTGATACTGGATCATCCGACATCGTGTAAGTTGCTTGCATGTTTGCAGTTTACTGGCCCGCGCTCATATCCTGCAGCACGGCCTACGCGTCATTCGGTGGACTGTTGCTCTCAATAACTGGTTCATATCGACACTTGACCAATGTCGTGCTTGGCGATCCAGTGTATGTGCTACTTAGGAAATGATCGTTGCAGATTTTGGTTCTGCAAAGTACTGCAGCACTCATCGTGACGCATGTACTCAACCATCAAATTCGTAGTCAGCGAACTACATGATTGCGTGGTTTAGTCGTGCACCTACATGGAGAGGGAACGTCCTGTTGGAAGTCACCGTTTCAGTTCTGAAATTTGAGCGTATTCACAGTTCCCACTAAGGGTGCAATCAAGACAAACATCAATATTTCGTTATTATACAAATAGGTGTGAAATCGTGTAAGTGATCCTATGGATTATTGTTGTAAGAGCCGTAAGTAGAGCAGGTTTGTCAAATACTACAGATGTGACCGAAGATGCCGATGAAAAGGAAAATTGAAAGCACTCGTGAATTATAGCGTTTACGTCTAAGCATGAACAAGGACAAGGGAATCTTCTGATCATGGAGCTGAGAGTGGGTAGCGAGGACTGCTTCGGGATTTGAGCCATCCTTTCATCGCAACGATGCAGAAGGTCCAGCAAAACGCGAAGCATGTAATAGCAACGGCGAGGTTGAGGAACATCATCATGTCTATAGCAAGTTTGTTGGTCAGTACGGAGGTACGTCGGGGTAGAAAATTGCATACCATCACGCCCTTTCCGCATAGCGGCAATAGTTACTTCTTCTGTGCTGAATATAAAGACCAAACCACCGCATGCGAGGAAGAAGCTTGCAAGAGCTTCTGTCGGCGGTCGAGAAGGAAGGATAGAGCGGGGCGGGCCAAGCCAGACAAAGAAATAGGTGAAGCACCTTAAAACCGAGAATCCCAAAAGGAGCCTTCCCCATAGTTCATGTATCTGTACCTGTTTCCGAAACCAGTTTAGCTAGAAATAGAGTGGACGAATTCCCAAAGTACCTGGAAGAGATAAGTTTGGGCGTGAGCGCTCATTGCAGCACCGGTGACGCCAATGACGAGAGCAGGGAAAGGGTTGAAGCTACCACGGTAGCTTGGGGGCTCAGAAGCCTCAGCTGAGCCGACAGCGGCTACAGCAGACGCTGCAAGCCAGCGGCGAACACGCTTGGACTCGATTCCCATCCCAATGAGTCCGGCAAACCAAAACATGACCTGGATAATTGTGAGATACGAATAGGTAGGGAAGAAAAGTGACGTACAGCAATGCTTATATGCTGTACTTGCTTGGTGGTGTAAGGGTCACCAGAGTGAACGCCAAAGCGTTCCATCCAAGTGTTGGTGATGCCGTAGAGGAAAATGACCAAGGACTCCACGAATTCAGCAGAAACATGTTCGCCAGTTGGTGAGATATTCCAAGCCCATCCCAACTCAGAGAAAGATCCAAGGTACCGAGCAAAGGTAACCAAGCCATAACACCAGAAGATGCCGCCCTCTGCAGATCTAGTAAGTGTCGAGGCCTCCCGCATAGAACAAGAGCTACATACTGATTAAATGTGCAAGACAGCCGTTTACATAGCTTTCGCGACAGCCACCGGTATAAACGACAATACCTGACAACGTCATACCAAAAGCTGCGAAAACCAATGCTCTCTCGAGCGTAGCAAATGCTCCTTGACAAATGCGGATAGTAAGGGGAGCTTGCGGCTCGATAGGACCGGGAAGCTTGAAATCATGCAAGGTTTCATCAGAGTGTCTAGAATCTCGCGGTGAATTAGCTTGAAACACGGTCCTTTCCGATTGCGTATAATGGATTGCGCCCTGACTACTTCGAGAGTTGTTGACCCATGGTTCTGTTTCATCGTCTTCGGCATCATCCAAATCCTGGGTCTGGATAATTGCAATGGGTTGATTCCGTCGCACATGAAGAGGTTCCCTGGTTTCAGGGAGTCTCAGAGGTTTCATTTCAGCTACATCGAATTCTGAGGGATCCTCCGCGTCCAAGCCAGTATACTTGGTTGTGACATCGTAGACCTCATTACGTCCCAGAACAATATTCTGCCAGAATGGCTTTAAGGCGAACCTGCTTCTGCTCTTTATGAACACATATAGACGAACGAGAAAGCGAGTGATGTCGACCGCAGAGAGGCATAAACTTAGGATCAGGACCAAGTAACCGTGGGATGCATGGGTTGATCCTTCATACCTGCGATTGAGATGTCAGGAAAATGCCGAAGGAAGATTGGTCGGCGCTTACATATCTGGTGTCAACTTCGTATACAATGTACCAGAGGCACACCCAAGTGCGCATAAGCTGTAGAATGCGACTACAGCGAGACCATGCCATGAATGCTTTAGAGCACGCATTGCTATGCCTATGTAGCCCATTTGAAGTTAGCGCGAAGATGATGCAGGTATGTGATACTTTCTCACCGACAGGCAAGGCAACAAAGAAGGCAAGGGTCATGAAAATCACGTGTAAGGCCATGAGTCCAGGGTAACGGACTACGGATGGGTCACGATCCTCGATATCGATAGACCAGTAAGAGGGGGGAGTGGGATCATGCCATTGAATGATTGCGGTCTCGTTCAGCTCAGTCAGAGGTGCGCCGTGATGCATATGCATGTGATCATTGTCACGTCTGACAAGAAGGAAATCTCCTGACGATGTTACACCATGACGAGTTGTGTGTGCTTCCGCCACAGGAACTGCCGATACTGATAGGGGTCCGATGAAGCTGATGGCGAGAAGAGGTGCAGTGACAACAAGAGACAGCCAACGTGAGTGCATCACTGGACTGAACTACTGTGGGCAATGAAAGGAATGAGTTCGGCTGGAAGACGTGAAGGTGATTATAACATTACGAATAATCCTCCTATAATTGACGTTCTTACGCCGATCGGAAGTTTTGTCAGCAAACTACGGGGAGCATCCGAGTCAGGAAAGTTCCCAAGACACGGCTCCGAATCACTGGCCATCGGGACCCGGACTGCTCAACGGAAAGCTGGGTCTTCACGACGAGCTGATATGTTATCTGTAGGAAGATTCTAAGCTCCGAGGCTTAGGCTTGAGCTTGCCACTTAGCTGGCAAACTTCCATAACCTTTCGAAACAACAACTGAGTGCTGGCATTGAAAGCTTCCGATGAGCATCAGGCTATCCCAGCATGTCCCCCTGATAACTGTCAGCCGTGGATTATCGTCACCATCTCGGCAATCTAGTTTGAACACAGTACCCATACAACCCATACCAGGCTAACGGCAGAACCGAACCTCTCGGAATCCCATAATTTCACTGCCCTTTACTGATTTTCTATGCGTTTCCGTGAGATTCGATCGCATACTGGATGAGTCCTAGTGACTTCCCGCAGCGTTTAGAACACTAGTACTGTCCTAGTTCTAAATGACCGTTCTAAACGTCTCGTGCCGACGCGCCGCAGTCCGCACGTCAAACTGAGTTCTAATAAATCCACATTGCTTTCAAACTCCGTGACAATGTAGCAAACCTTTGGTATGACCGAGATTCGACACTTGTATAGAAAGCTCGATCATTGGGAGCCAAGTACAGAGCTTGCTAATGAGTATTGGCGCGGGGATTAGGAGTAGGTCACCTCGAACAAGGTGTATTGCTCTTTTTACTTGTCGGCGTGCGAGGTGCTCACGGCGCGATTCTTCGGCTCCTGAAAAAATGACTGCACCAACTTGAAGTACAGCTATTATGTGCCTTCGTAATTCATCTTCGTCATCTATGTAGGTCCGTGTTTAGAACATGTTGACTTATTGTAAATCGAATCTCCGACGAATAAGATTTGGTTCGGCATTCGCGTCTGGTGCGTCTTCCCAAAACGTCGGTTCGAGACTACATCGCTTGTATCGAGTAGCTCATGCGCTCCAATTCAGCTCTTATCTGTAATGGCTTAGACTGGCAGCCAAAGACTCCTAAATCCATTTTGAAAATGTGAAGACGCATCTGATTGGGACGCCACACATGGTGACCGGTGACAGCATGCTTAGCCTGGAGGCTGGCGGCCTACAGAGTTTAGTTGAGCTCCCATTAACATCATTTTGCCGGTGCCTGCTCGGATCACCAGTAATTGGCGCGAATGCCGCCCTAGGCTAAGTTGCGAGTCCCATGCCATGACTTCGGTTTGCTCCCTTCTTCCCTCTCTCTCTCGCGGCAACCATCAGATACGGCGGAACTGCCCCGCCGTGGGCGGACGACCTGGCTATCCGATGCGCTGTGGGAGTTCTGATTTATGCATCCATAGCTCAGGTTTTCTATGACACCATGATGATGTCGTAGGTAAGTTTGTGAGGGCAGCCTATCGGTCAATATTTCAATGCCGAGGTACGGGCAGCTGAGTTAGGTTGAAACAATGAGGTGGGCGCTGGCATGTGATGCCATCAGGTTTGCGCTCAGTGCCTTTTGCCCGTCTGACTCATCCTGTTTACTTGTTGTACAGCATTCAATGCAGGGGTGGAAAACTTACCGAAATGACCTCATGTGACGAGGCATGTGCTCTTGGCAGTCCCTTGAGGTGGATGAGCCGCTTTCCCAGAACTGAGGCATGCCGTCGCTCAAGGTGTGGTGTTTGCGCAATCCGTAGCGACGTCATATGGCAATTTTTCGTAGCCTGGCGCTTCTCATCGGTAACTTTATTGTTGATCGCTAAAAAGGTTGGTATCTATCCTTTCTTCGTGAGACCTTAGATTTCAATAAGATCGGTTACTTTTGATGTTTCTAAGACATTCCAAGACTCGGTGGTGTCTGTCACGTTGATGCGTTATGTATACATTTCATGCTAGATGATCACTAGTCGTCGATCCTGGTCATCGGTCTAGCACTAAAACTCCTCAATATTTCCCACAACTCTTATCTCTTTCGATTTGTCAAGTAATGATTAAATCGACAGCTAATTATAGTATTCCCATTCTCATCTCAGCCAAGTCAAGTGGTTCTGAAGCTAGTCGAGCCCATGCGCCTATCTAGCGTGTTCAACTTATTGGTTTGTTGTTGACGCGGACGTTGAAAGGCTGACTTCAAAAGCCGACGCGACAAAATGCGTTGGCAAACAGTCAGGCAGTTCCTCTGGGGGGAGGTACCCTCTTCAAAATTGGAGCGAAGGCTGCTCTTGAAATTGGACTGGTTCATTTTATCTTACTGCTGTCTTATGGTATGTTGCATTGACTGATCTTGAAAACACTGACTGCATACATGTCATTGCGGTGGTAGTATTTCACGAACTGTGAGTTTTACGTTGTTTACTTTGACACTGGGCATTTTGCAAGCACTAGTGCAGTTTCAAATGGAAGAAACCGTTACGAACGCGCTAACCTTCGATGTGATCACAGCGAAGCTTTCTCCGATTACCACTTGATAGATCTGGGGAGCTGTTTCTGACATAGTTCTCGTAACCAGACCTTGATCGAGCAAATGTGAATAATGCATATGTATCCGGGATGAAGCAAGAACTCAACATGCAAGGAAATGACTTCAATGTACGTATTCTATATCTGTTTTCAGGGGGGTTTTTCTGAACGCTCTCGCAGATAATCAATACCGTCTTTACGTGCGGCTACATTGTCGGGATGATTCCCAGTAGGCCTTCAGCGATTATATTGCCCGAGGTGCTCTATTCAACTTGTCAGACAATTTGATGCTCCAGGTCGTCCCCCCAAGATTGTGGTTTCCATCGATGCAGATAGTGTGGGGTGTACTCACCTTCTGGTTCGTTTCGATTGTCGAGAATGCAATAAGCACGGCATTGACAAATTTGATGTGACATAGTTCAAGTAGCGTGCATAACGTTCAACAGGTAAGACCTTCCATAACACTGTTTCCCTGCATTGTTTCCCTGCCAACCATTTCTGCAAATAGCTGTACGCTATCAGATTCTTCCAAGGCGTATCAGAAGCATCGACCTTCGTAGGCACGCACTATATTCTTGGATCGTCAGTGTGCTTCATTTTTCCAAGGAATATTCTCTTATTCTCTAATGCGGTTCCTGAAGATGGTATAAACCTGGCGAACTGGGGAAGCGCTCAGGCATTTTCACAAGTTCTGGCCTAGCTGGGACACTGTAAGGCGATCATCCAACATTCGATTATTTCGCTAACACTCGATAGGTTCTCCGGTGTGCTTCAAGCAGCCGTTTACCAGTAAGATATCATGTTTTCCACCAGGACCGAAATTTTCAAACTAAAGTTTTATGAGACATCTCGGAGGTGTCGGCGGAAGAAGTGGATGGCGGTGGTTGTAAGCGTCCCTAGGTAATTACTGTTCGGAGCTCAGAAAACCATTTAATTCAGGTTCATCATCGATGGTGTAATTACGCTCCCGATCGCACTTTACGGCTTCCTCGTCTTCCCTGATGTGCCATCGACTACCAAAGCATTTTATCTTAGCGAAGAGGTATGCTTTTGAAGATATGTCAACATCCGTTTCTCAGTTGTACTATCTTCCCCACAGGAACGGGCTCTCTCCCAAGATCGTCTTGACTCGGATGTTGTCCATCATAGTCTCTCTTGGGATCTTGCGAAGAGGGTGCTTAGCCGCTGGCGTTGGTATGGGTGCAGTCTCCTCGTAAGCATCTTCCGTTACTCGACGAATATGAATAAATGCAGTTCGTAATTCTGTACAGTTTGCCATCTCAGGGGAGACTGAAAGTTTCGGCTCCAACAATTTGATGGGTCAATGGCTGTCTGCCATAGGCGGTTACACAGTCGAACAAGTTGGTGGGTACATTGCGTGCCTGCATCTTTCTTTCCCTGATACGTTTTATCAGATTACTATCCGAGTGGAGTCACAGCTTTCGGGATTGCATCCACGCTCGTCTGCGCTACCTGGACAGATTACACGCGAGCAAGATGGCCTGTACTCGTGTACATGTGCTTCTGCTGCACGGTCGCTGCGATCTGTATCCTTGTGTGGAGTAGTCCAACGGGGTTGAAATTCTTCGCATATTGTTCGTGATCTCTACCGAGGCTACTGCTTTGCAAACTTAGCTCGTCCATCTCAGATTTCGCAGGAGCCTCGTATGCCGGTCAAGCTACCACATTTGCGTCAGTCGTGTCTTCGCACTCTCAGATTGACTCGTGCTGATTCGATTACCCTGCAGTTGGGCAAACCAGATATGTGCAGATGATTATCAAGAGCGTGCTGTTGTGCTTGCTTCGATGAAGTGAATTTTCTTATCGCATTCCTGCTGGACCCAAAACTGACTTGGACATTAAGCATGTGGAATAATGCGGTCAACGCTTGGTGGCCACTCCTCTTCTACCCTGCCACGGATGCGCCCCGTTTCAAAAATGGCATGATCGCCATGATTTGCACGTGCGCAGCGACACTGGTGGCGACTTGGCTGGTCTGGTACCTGGAGCGGCGAGAGCAGCGTTTTGCAAAAAGGAAAGCCATGGAGCATATAGATCAGATGAGAGAGGATAGTCCGAGCCCCATCAAAAAGGACGAGCCCTTGAAGGACGAGTAATAGTAAAGTTAGTCAATTATGCGTGTTAGACCTCAATCAAGCAGCCAATATTCTCTAAAACTTTTTAATTCATGCAAACATCAAGAAGAAAAAGTATAGATACAATGACAACAAATGGCGCTCTGGAAGGGGTGACCAGTCACCCTATGCATACATCATGATAGCTCCACAAGAATAAAAAAACAGCATCTGATGAGCACAGCACATCAGGATGGATTAATTGAAATTATAAAAAACGGAAACACGAGCGCTGCTCAAAACAATCTGAAGGTAAGGGAGCATAGTCGGATGGGAAACCAACAAAGCAGCTGCCACTTGCACGGAAAAAGGTATCGGGAAAAAAAAAAGGATATCATCACTAGGGTATATTTAGTGGTCGACAACCTGCTGATACATGTTAAGCATGTTACCAAAGTTCAGCAAGAAGTCAACATGCCTCGAACATTCCTGTGTAAGGGTCGTCCTCCATGTCATCAGGAGGCACAGGAGTCATCAGATCACCGGGAGGTGCAGAAAGGTTCATTGATTGAGAGATTGGTGAGACCGGAGCATCCTGGTTCTGCATGTAATAGTGCGAGGGAAGAACCGGAGATTGAGATGGATCATAGACGGGATTTGGCAGGAGAGGTGGAACAGGTTTTCGGTTTGAATACTTGCGAGTAAGGTTGGCACCACCCGTACTGACTGAACCAACCGTATCGGCCGCTCCACCAGAATCAACGCCGCCACCAGTATTTGCTGCACCACTCGTATTTGCTGCACCATCCGTATTAACTGCACTGTCGAGGTTATAGACGGGGCCTTGAGTGGGAGGAACACGATAAGCAGCTGCCTGCTGTTCATATCCTTGTGAGCCGTAGTAACCGTACTGAGGAACGGCCGGTTGCGCATATGCAAGCTGGGGACCGTATCCAAAGCCATGGCCATGACCTGAGGAACTGCCACTAAGCCTACTTTTGTTAAAGGTGTTCTTTCCCTTCTCCTCATCTCCGTAGTGCTCAGTCACGGCCGGGTCGAACGTGATATTATCGGCGATGTCGTTCTCAAAGCGACTGCGCCGACGACGACGGATGGTGTACGTGATGACAACAAAGATCATGATCATGATCACGATTCCAACTAAGGCGAATACTCCGCCCTCCAGAGGCTTGTTCTGCAAGAATGACTGAGGAGCTGCAGCAGTGGCAGACGCTGAAGTGGACGCGGTACTTGTCAAGTAGACAATGCTGGTGCCAGAAGTTGAAGTAAGAACAATCAGAGATGCGGAAGATGCGGATGTGGGTGTGAGTATGGGTATGGGTATAAATGGGGGTGTAGGCGTAGGTGTGGAGTTCGGTGTGGAGTTCGGTGTGGACACCGACGTAGATGTTGTCAAAGGTGTACTTGTGCTGGTGGTCGAACCGGTTAGTCCGCTGACGCCACTTGCAATATATGTATAACTTACGAGGGGGTGGAAGTACTACTAGAACTGGATGTTAGGCCAGTAGTGACGGAAGAGCTAAAAGAGAGAACGGGTCAGGAGTTGACTCGTGGATGTAGTAGAAGATCCCAACGTAGAAGTGGTAGTTGCCCCGCCATTGAATATGCTGCTGAAAGCGCTACCAACTACACCAAAAGGGTTCTCGTTGGGGTCCGATTCCGAACCAGATGATCCTGTGCTGCCAGAGGTCGGATCATTGTTTCCACCACTGGTGTTACTTTAGCTAGCAGCTTACTGTTGCATAACGAACAATGTCTTACATTAAGTTTCCTACTGCTGAGGGCGTCAAAACATCACTTCAAGATGGCAAGAAAACGCTCACAGTCATCCCTTCGAGTACCGTGTGCATCCATGAGGAGTCGTCGATAATTTAACAGAAATGAGCGGCGATTGAGTGAGTGTGTAGACGAGACAATTTCTTTAAATTTTTGTTAGTTCCTTCGAAGCAAGCTGACAGCAAAAGCTTTGCCCACATGAACAGATGGCAGTCTGTGGCAGTCGACCAATAAAGAAAGAAGAACCAGAAAGGACTGTGGGGGATTAGTTGTTGAAACGATGACGATCAAGTTCAAGGGTGCTTCTCACTCCAGCGCACAATAAGACCATTGTTTACAGAATTTCAAAATTTGATCACTCTTTGCAATTGACCACTGTTGGCATCACAACTCAACAAAAACAATCGTGTCAGCGTCAACTTGGAGGGTCAACGAGACTGGAAAATAATAAGACTGGAGGACTCTATAACACGAATACGTATAAGACAACCCGGACACAGTTAAATGTCTGATATATAACGGTTGAGGATACAATAAATTCACTATAAGACACGGGGTATATAAAGTCAAGAAAGAATAATACACCAAAACCGCTCATCAATGGATTAATCTGGATGAAAGACCATAGCTCTCTCCAGCCTTTCTCTCCATTATCTCCCGAAGAGGTCCAAGTAGTCGTGTGAATCCAGGCGTGTCCAATGCCGCGACCTTCAACTTTGGCTGCGATGCATCCGTCCGATGCACCGCACTCACTGTCGCTGCTCTAGGCTCAAGTCTGAGCAAAGATAGCTCTGTTAAGGTGAACGTCAGCTATTTTAAGAACTAATAGACAACAAAACACTCACCGCCGAAATAGTCACCCTTTTTCAGCCGGCCCACTGTAATCTCGCGGTACTCACCCTCCTCTCCTTGTTGTGTCTTAGTAACAATGGCCTCGCCTTCCTCCACGAAGAAGAAAGTATCTCCCATCTCTCCCTGCCGAAGAACCGCTTCTCCATCGGGGTGTACTTTGCTGACCAGGGCGTCTGCTATTTTGCTACGCTCTTCTGGTTCAAGGGAGGACAAAAGCGGGACACTGGAGAGGAATTGCTCATACATCGTCCTGCGCCTGTGAGCCGCTTTCAAAATGATTGTGCGGAAAGTGATACGGTCAAGAGCCCAAACAGTAGAGGGCTCAATTGCCTGCACGGTCGCAGCACGCGGATGACCATGCATTAACGCAAGCTCGCCGAAAGAAGTTCCAGGTTTGCAGTCTGAAACTTTTCGACCAAAGACGGGATGATATCCTGGCTGGAGGAATTTTTCAGGCTGCGAGGAATGGTTTGCCGTATCCGCTAACCAAGTCGGCGGGTAGCGGCCCAGGATGGACGTAGCAGTAGAAAAGTCCTGATTCGACGACGTAGAAGTATTCTCCTACATCTCCCTGCAGAATAATCACATCATCTGCGGCGACTTCGCGCTCTTGCATTGCATTGAGCACGCCAGTCTCCTGCTCCTCATCGAGATCACGGAAAACTAAATTATCTGCAATGGACGATTTTATGCGGCGAAGTTGGTCGGCTGTCTTTGGGTATACAGGGAGTGTATCGTTGTGACCACTGTCTACCGCGATAGGCTCAGCACTGACTGACACCCGGCGTGCCAGTATGGTAGCCGATGGTGCATGGAGATAATCTCCAAGGCCCAGGGAGAGCGAATTAGACATGGTCGGCGTTGAAGACACATCGTACCGTGCGAATGCATTGGAATCGGTGGTTAGCGGTGAAGTTGGAGGCAGTTCACGTCCATCAAGGGTGAACGTCGGGGCAAGCATGCCATTGGGGGCACCATTTGTGTCTAAAGACAAGAGCGCATTTCCCGGCACATTAAGAGTCCCAAACGGACTGTGCGAGAAACCCGCGTGGAGTGAGGACGCACGACGCTGAGGGACCTGAGAAAACGGAGAAATGGGAGTGGGTGTGGAGTTACGAGGGCCAATATTAACAGGGGAGTCCAAATAGAATTCGGATGGTAGCTCATGAACCGTGGAGAGACCACGTTGTTGCAGGGCGTCTCGCGTTCGCGTCCGCTGTTCTTCCAGCCGAGACTGAAACCAAGTAGCGCAGAACTGGAGGGCGTCTTTAGGTTGCACTCGACATATGTCGCGAGTCAAGTCCTGAATGAGATTGTCGAATGTAGACATTACTCTAGATCCTCGCTGTGCAGGACAGTGATCAATGGGGATTATTGTATATGCGTTATGCTGGTTGTGTGAGTTGGTTTTATAGTCGTGAGCCACTTGGTAAAGTTTTGGTAAGGCACCGAAGGAAACAAAAGACGCGTGACCACGTGTCATTGCCTTTCTTGTGAGTCCATAGCTTGTGCATTTGTTGTGCAATAATCCTCATAAATTTCTCAATCAAGTCGCCGGAAACATATAATCTCAAAGCCCTTTCAATAAAATGTCGCATGTTGTTCTTCTCGGATCAGTTAAACGTGTGCTCCGCCTGACACTTAAGGGGGGGCATATTCATTTCAAGGGTCGTATCTAGATTAATTTCAATGATCCTCCAGAGTCCGCAGTAGCCTACGGCTGCCTAGTACCAAGACAAGGGTGTTCAAGATGCTGTGAATTACAAAGGGCAACTCTCTTTGGGAACCTCTCCTTATGGGGCCACCTCGCACACTGCTCCTCTATTTCAACCGTCCCAATCAACACCAATAAAACGTAGACTCCTCCCCGTGGACGAAACGTAAAGGTGCCATCTGTGCTACAAGACTAGTGATTACAACATCCTTCTATCCCCGAGGTGACAATACATATGACAGGAACAATGCGTAAGAAAAAGGGGTGAAACTCAAATACATAACAATTTTTCTACATCACCAGAAATTTTTGCATCACTACCGTGCATGTTGCTGATACTGCGCAGGAAACCCTCCAGGGTACCCAGGCGCGACCTGTTGATTCATATGAGCTTGTGCGTGGGCATGTGCCTGAGCCTGAGCCTGAGCCATTGCCTGAACCTGCGCCTGGGCTTGAACTTGTGCTTGCATCCTTGCAGCGTCCTGGCTGCTGTACATGGGCTGCTGCTGGCCATGTGGATAGACTGACGACGAAGTTATTGGGATTTGAGATGACGACCCTGGTGGAGGGATTGGATTGTGAGATTGCTGCTGCTGAGGCTGCTGTTGCTGTTGTTGCTGTGCGTGAGGATGAGGATGAGGAAAATTGAATTGAGGGGGTGGCATCGACCCTGGAGTCGAACTCGGGCCGTAGGTAGGGGCCACGGTGGAGGTAAAGTAGGGGTGCGAAAGGGCTTCAGTGGCCGTCATGCGCTTGGCGGGATCAAATTGGAGTAGACGTTCAAGTAAGTCGAGGGCTGCATTGCACTCAGTCTAGGCCCCACAAATCATCAGGTTCGAATAATTACCTGGTGGAGAGGCCTTAGGAAGCACTTGGGCAAAGGAAATCTTTGGGTATCTTGGGTATTGCTTTAGGGTAATTTCGGGCTGGAAGAAAAATGAGCATTCTCTACTTCTCGTCGTAATCAAGGGATCACACCGATTCAGTCGCTATCTTCCTCAGAACTCGATCGTCCGGCGTACCGACAATGCGCATAATATGAAGTAACTGATCCTGGTTGTCACGGCCACGGAAAAGAGGCACTCCAGAGATCATCTCCGCGAAGATGCAACCGCAGGACCACACATCAATCGACGTATTGTACGTGCGTGATCCAAGAAGTACATCTGGTGCACGATACCAAAGTGTGACGACCTAATTCCACACTTCAGCTGTGCTGCAGGGAGACTTACGATACATAAACGTACCTCGTTGGAAAATGTATTCACCGGCACGCCAAATGCGCGTGCTAGACCAAAGTCACCAAGCTTCAGCTCGCCCTTGCGATTAATAAGAAGGTTCTGGGGCTTCAGGTCCCGATGTAAGACCCTGTTCTCATGGCAAAACGATGTGCCCTTGAGGAGCTGGTACATAAAACTTCGCACGGTCATAGGGTCAAGCGCTCCGCGATCGCCGTGCTGGTCCATATACTTCTTAAGGTCCTGATCACAGTACTCGAAGATAAGGACAAGCTTTGTCTCCGTATGTATGACATCGTGCAGGCGGACGATGTTGACATGCTTGAGTTCCTTCATGAGGGAAATCTCACGGATGGCGGTAGAGGGTGTCCCTTCCTCTGCGTCGAGATGTATCTCCTTGAGCGCGACGATCTCATTAGTCGTTCGCGAACGACCCTAGTACCCATATAAATTTCGAAGCAATAATAAGGAGAAGCTGTTGTGACGTACTTTGTAGACGGTGGCGTATGTACCTTCGCCTGCATAAGCAATGGTTAGGGTACAATCCTCAATATCGTGCATCATAGATCATACCAAGTTTCTCTAACTATACTTTATGTTAGCTTGTATGTTAAAAGCGCAACGAAGAGTTTACCTGAATGTAATTCATCGTTGGTCCCGCCACTTTGGCTGATTACCCGGGGTGTTAAGATATCGAATTCGTGGAACGTAACAGATAGAAAGATCGTGAGCAGGCCCTTCCTGTCCCTTTTGTACACAATGATAGACAGCGGATACCAGAAAACGGACGGTTTTATCAGGCGAGCGTGAGTGCCGACTTCCTAGTATGAGGAGCTCCAAGTCACTTTAAGGAATCTAAGACTGAATTCCATTTCCAGGACCAGAATCCAGGAGTTTTCTCTCATATTAACTAGCACGTGACTTGCAGAATATTTGTTTCTCCCCGTCCATCGACTCCAGGTAAGTATATGCCTGGGTTCATTGTTGTCCTGCATTGTCCTAAACTTGTTTGAACAGGTAAAAAGGCATACGGCCATGTCCAGTGTCCCCCCATTAAAAAAAGCGCGCACTAAATCATCTTCGCGCAAAGCCAAGCCATCGATATCACAGACCGCCCAAGATGAAGTCCTCATAGACTCGGAACCTGCATCTACTGTGCGTATCTAGCACCACGACCAAAACAAACGAAAACTTGATATATATATTCGTTATAGTCCGCATCCAAAAATGCCCGGTACGCCGAGCCCTCATCCCTCGCGGTACACTCTGGCGTCGAGCTTGGGGAAGATCAAACCATGGAAGACCTTGCTGCATCTCAGATCGAGGGCGCACTAGACGTTGATCTTGCAGAACTCTCCCTAGGCCAGCGTCTCGCTGCAATGTCGGGTGACGCACGCCCCTCCTCATCAGACTCTGAAGAGGAGCAAAACCAATCACCCCGAAAACAAAAGCAGGACACGCCGAACATTATACCTGCACATTCGCTTACCCGGACACTAATACAAGCGCTCCACTCGTCTGATTCGAGACTGCTTGAGACTTGTCTTGCACATTCTGACCCAGCAATGGTACGGAACACCGTGCGGCGGTTACCGCCCCAGCTGGCCGTACCGTTGCTCACGGCATGCGTAGAGCGTCTCGGCCGTGGTCCACGCGCAGCAAGCATGAAAGGCGGTGGCGGAGGTGCCAGTTCGCAACGCGGAACTGGACTTGTTACATGGGTCAAGACCGTACTTGCAGTCCATAGCGGTCACCTTATGACGGTACGTTGAAATAAAGAAAAAACCGCTCCCTGCATACGTTACAAATCAATTTAAATTTCTTGTATAGATGCCCGACCTCGTTTCACGCCTCTCAGGTCTACACGCGACACTGACTTCTCGGCTGGCATTACAAGATTCCCTCCTCTCACTAAATGGCCGACTAGATATGGTGCTGTCACAGATCGAGATGCGTTCTTCCACAGCACCAACACTCCTCGCGCCCCATAAGAATGGGGTATCTACAACATCAAAAGGCGAGAGGCAGCCAACAAGATATGTGGAAGGCGAGAGCGAGGAGGAGGGCATGGAAGTTGGCGTGGAGAGCGGAGAGGATGAAGGAAGTGTAGAGGATATAGAGCTCGGTGGTGAAAGTGAAGCTGAGGAAACGGATGAAGAGGGGAGTGACGAGGAAGACGAAGAAGATTCAGACGGCGAAGGACCTACATTGAATGGGTTCATTGATGATGAAGCAGAGGAGTTCGAGGACGACGAAGAGGATGACGAGAGTGAATAATATACATCAGCTTCGCACCTTGCATGCCTAGATGACCTACTTAGCATCCAATCCAGTACGCACACCCTTCGAATGCAGAGCTGGCCATGCAAAGTCAATTCAAAACAGAATAAATATCCGACCATTATAATTTACTATAAATCGTCCACCCACTCTCCCCCTCTGACGCGTTGAATATAAGTTTTCATCCAAGGAGCACGTCTTTCATCCTGCACCCGCAACACAGCTGTCGCTTCCTCCCTCTTTTTGTCTTCCTCACTCAGTTCCTGGCCCTCCAATCTCTCGACCTCTCGTTCCATCACATTCGCTTCTGTTCGCAAACGCCCTTCCCTCGTCCTCAGTGCTGCGCGCCTGCGATTCCATACCTCCGGATGGAGAGTCAGCACAAGCAAACTTACGAAGGTCGTCATCTTGTGCATTAGACTCGGTGGCGAAAATGGGGTGCGCGGTGAAGATGTTGGCCAGAGTAACTTGTTCTCTGTATCGATGCCTATGCGCGCGAGGAGGTCCAGAAGAGAGGTAGAGTTGCTGGGGGGCGGAGGGCCCTGCGCTTCTTGACTTTGTGCAGGCGTTGGTATGTCAGACTGAACAGGGGGTGCAGGAGGTGCCGGAGTAGCTGGGGGACCTCCAGGTTGACCCTGACCTTGAGCCTGTCTTACAGCCTCTGCGGCAGCGGCAACACCAGCTAAACGCTCCCTCTCCCGATTAAGTGGTCCGAGTACAACGTTCCGCACATTCGTCCACATCTCATATATTATCCATGCGATGATGCACAGACCCAGCAATGGCTTGCGTGTTGGGGAGAAAAAGTACAGCAAGAGTAGAGTCCGGAATAATACCATCACCAAGGGGGCCAGTAGCACACGGACCGGGATATCGGGAAGTATCTGGGCTTCACCTCCAGGTGCTGGGATGTTCGCTCCAACGCCCATCTGACCATTAACATCGACGTCGACATTGACGTTCGGGATAGCACGAAGTGTGGGAAGGCCAAGCTGCTGGAGGAGGTCGTTTAATTGATGCGGTACAGTCTCATTGGAGGAAGTGGTCGGTGTTGGCGTCGGTGGTTGAGGTAATGGTTGAAGGAACAATATTGAAAATGTATAGGTCAAGACCTTCAGGGCATGTACTTGCTCAACGGTAGGCCTTGAACCTGGGTTGCGGAGGGAGAGGTATGACTTGCCACTAATGATAATTAATTGAAGCAGGTTTCACTATGCGCAAAATTTGGCTCACTCAGTCGTCATTAATTCGTATTGCAGTCCAGAGCCGTCACCATACTGAGAGGAAGGGTATGGCTCATCCAGGATTGAAGGCCAAATGTATCCCTTCTTCTCAAGGTTCTCCAATGCAACTGTGCGAGATGGAATCACCGAATATTGTGGGTGCTCAATGAGCCCTCTAGTGAGCTTCGATAGAGCAGCCTGATGGATATAAGTAATGAATTGGTGGTCCAGGGGTAAATGTGCGAAAGGATGAGATTGCACCCCGGGAGGCGCAGAGGGAGTGTTGGAAGGGACGTCTCTTTGAAATAAGGGGGATTTCCCTTTGTCGGGTATAGGAATTGTGGTTGTTGTTGTACTAGAAGATGGGGGAGCACCAGACCAACCGGAGGGGTGCACTGATAAATGGACGATGCGTTGCTCATCTACCGTCTAAAACTTGGATCAGATGGTGTTCGCAAAAGTCGTGGATTCCTAGTTACCTTCCATATATCTGAAATTTTCTCCTGGTCCTCGAGGTAGCGCCCCCTCCAGATTATGCGCTGTCCCTCGACACGGGGCTGTCCAGCGCAGGACGCTGAAATCGCATTTTTGACATCGATCACGGTAGCGGAGATAGGAACCTCGATAATAAATGAAAGAGAGTAGGTGGGGAGCTCGACACGAACAGCGACGAGGGAGTCGGTCATCGTTGTGGTGGTGGAATCCTAGCGCTCACGGCTGCACTGGCAAGTGGCGATAGTCTACGTGGAACTCGTCCACGTGACTACCCCACCGCATGTGCGGTCAGGACTCAATTCACCGGTGTCTCTCCGGCCGAGATGATTGAACTCAATGTCTTCCGAATCCCTTCGCCCGGGCCCAAAGTTGTACGAGGTCCTGAACAGTGCACGCTGCAGGTACATATGCTATGCGCGCAACATACCTCGCATGCAGGGAAAGTACTTAAGGTAGATTTTCAACGCGTCCGTGACTCCTCGACTCCGCCGGTGCATGCACTGGTGCGCAACATTGATATTAATGTTCCTTGTTTTTCAGTATCCTCTTCTTCCCCTTACCAGTGAGTAATCCCTTTCGCTCTTTTTCACTCATTCCTACTGGTCATGGGTCTTCATGGGCCCATCAACGAGGTGCTCAGGTGAACTTTCTGAACCATGAGCGGCTAAATATACACCCACATTCACATTCATTAATTACTATCCGGATATCGTAAATATCATCAGGTGTGGGTTTCTTTTCTGTCCACGTACTGCGCCATCAAATGGACTTTCGCCGATTATACCACACCCTGAATTACCGTTTGGCTGTGTAGGCATTCTGATTGTGCAAGCCCCACTAAGCACACATCAGAGACGATCGAAGAACAATTTGAAGGTAATTCGTTGAACCATTTCAAATAGACTAAGGCCACCGAGGCTGCTACTGATCCATTTGCATAGCTATGTGAGAATTTCGAAGCCCTTGAAGCAGGCCCCTATGCGTGGCTTCTGAGCCTACCAATGTCAAGGTCGGGAAGACCGCTTCAACAAACCATCGTTCAGGGGCATAAAAATGAGCGTTGCCGATGTTTCTGATAATCAAGTCCAGACTTTCTTCCACCTTTTGGACTTGTCGCGATGCCCTGCAAGGCAAGAGCGTTGTTCGAGCCACCAGACTCCACTGGTTCCCAGCGGGGGCTCGGGAGCCACTTCATACTTTCAAGTTGGTCCTTCGGTTACACAGAATATCGTGATGCGGCGTACTCGCTCGTTGATTATAACTATATTATACCTAGCTTGGGGCTTCCTGTCGGCAGCCTATCGCATGGCATTGCCGATGAATGAAGTCGCAAGAAATCATTTTGTTCTATGCATTGTCGAGCATATTCATACATTGTGCAGGGTGTGTCATAAATGACATACTTGACCGAGATTTCAACCGCAAAGTTGGTACGTCTTGATTCTGTCCTGCCAATAGCTGTCACTAGTCTCTTGACTGTTCAATGCGAAAAAGAACGTTTGAAAGGCTGACCGATTACGTCGGTAGCTGTCACTATGGCAGAGGCTTCAATCCTTCTGGCTGTTCTCGTCGCTGTCATATTTTATTTGTTTTCGACTGCTGGTACTGCGCCTTGAGTAGATCATTCAGAAATTGCTAAAGCTTTTTTGACACCCTGTCTTAGTCTCATGCTCGGCGTTATTGAGCTGCGTGTGGCGGGACCCACCTGCTGATGAAGCGCTAGATATACTGGCCTTCTTTGTTTTAAGGTATGGCTTTCCATATCATGGATACGAATGTATTCTTATCTGTTTCTAAGGCTTTGCTGCTGGCTGGGGCGTCCCATTCGCTTGGAATGCAACGACGGGTTGATCCTGAATGTCGCAATTGCACCGTAGTATCAGGCGACTCGCCTGGGAAGTCGGGAACTTGTGTTGATGGTATCACCTCAGGACAAGGACGGCGAGAAGGGCGAGAAGGCCGGAGTCAAGTCCGTGGCTGTCCGTCTGGGCGAAGGCATTTGTCCCGCATTTCGGTGCAGCATTCTTTGCGTGCCTCCTGTGGGCTGGATACTTGAACAGACAGCGTCCCCCGTTCTACTTGATTGGTGCCATCACATCGTCCCTCCTGTCTCCGGTACATTTGGACCTTTAATCATAATGATCCACAAGACAGTTGGAAGGAAACACGGTGCGTCTGATGATCTGTTGATATATTTAATTATGCTCCACTAGGTCGATATGGCCATCTTGTGTATCTCTATTGGCACCCTTGAAATGAAAACTCATCCCTGCTACTTGCTTCGAGATAAGTTGCGTGATCATACTAACGTCTTTCATCGGAGACAAACGGCTTCGCACAAAGTCCACACGACATCAGGCTCCAATTGTTTGTTCAAGGCTCTATGTTAATTTACTACATAGTAGATTTGTATCGTCCTAGTGTTGAACCGAGGCATTCTGCGCTGTGCCAGTCCCGTACAAGTAGCTCCTCTCTCAGCCAATTATACTTGTCATGGTCCGTAGGAGGGGAAGAAAGCCTACAAAAAAGTACGTGAAAAGGGTAAGAATGTTCCCTAGCCATTAAAACCTTGAAATCTCCAACCACCCGGAAGCTCAAGATAGGAATGTCGTCTCAGGTGCGAAGCAGATGCACGTTCGTCAGGATCGCTGCAAGATATAAGGTGAATGGTATCATCTGAACGAACTCGAATAACTTGCATTGCAAAACATAAATCCTGGAAATCCATTGCAAGATCCGACAAGGTGACGTCAGGAGGGATGGGTGGGCGCTTATTCTGTTTCACCTGCATACGGAAGATCAGTTATGCTTCTGTCATACAAAGGTACAAGACAGACTTTGATCGTGACCATGATTAATTCATCATCATACCAGGGTCGCTTTCCTGTCAGCATTTCCAACAAAACACATCCCAAACTCCAAATATCGGCCTTGACACTGTACCCTTGCATCTGATGGCAGATGACTTCTGGTGCCATCCAAGGTAATATCCGTTGCACGCTGGTGAACGGAAGTTTATGTATTTTATCCGCCTTGGTGGAAAACTCTAGATCAGAAAGCTTGCAACTCCCATCTCTCTCAAGTAGGACGCTATCGGCTTTCAGATTCTGACCGGAGTTGATAAGAATTCTTCAAGAATTTCAGATAGGCTGAGTCGATCACATACCCGGTATATTATTTGTCGCGAATGGAGGTATCTCAAACCTCGAAGTATTTGGAGCATGAAAAATTTCGAGACATCCTCGCTGAATCTGCCCTTTTCGCGAAGACAATAGCCTAATGCACTGCCCGACACGTACTCCATAAAGCTACGTCACATGTTCGAGTCAACACTGCCAGGTGGTATTGCTAGAGACTCACATATTCATAACCCTTGAATAATCTACAAAGCACTCTTCAAACCCGAGATATTGGACGATATGACGATGGTTCAGATCCACCAGTAGCTTGCTTACTCTTTCGACAGAATGTACGAAAGTAGCCTGACACTGGTCACTCTCGTCTCGGATAACTTGAGGACTATCAACTTGTTTGACGGCAACCAGTTGCGATTTGCTTGTGGTCATACTAAGAGCCAGGTAGACCCGGCCGTAAGTTCCTCTACCAATAAGCTCACCGCGAATCCATTTGGCTGCGGCTGTTGGTGAAAACAAAGAGCCATTATTTTCTGACACTGTCTCAAGAGCTTTTGAACCATACCATTGACACAATGAGCCCGAGTGTCTGAAGTATTTCCTGCATGCCTTGGACTCATAACACGACAGCTGGGAATTAGATAAGACGTTTGCTTGTTCGGCATCGCAGCTAAGGGATGCGAAGATTCGTTCTGACGCCATGAACCCGCTTAAGGTACTTATAATAGCGACAACGTTCCAGTGAATTTTGGGCCGGCAGGAACCAGACCGTTTTCTAGACTCTCTGCGCATTCGAAGCACTGCTCTATGAGGTTCTATGGCTGTGTCATGGGAGAGATTTGGAGTTGAGTACCGAGCCTGGCAGCTGGCAGCTGCTGGATTACATCCACATGCTGTAGCGATACTTAATGACAACGGTTCTGCCCGCTTTGTGCCCGACAGAGCTTCACAGCTTTTGATGGGAAGAGGCGGCTATGCCCGAGATATGTCACCCGGCGATTCAACGCAGTTGATCAAATAAGTCTTCAACCTTCAAGTCATAACGCGTAACGCCTGAGAGTGCGTCCCAGCTGCTCGTATATGTGTCATAAGTGCTCCTTGGAAGTTTATTTCATTCCAGTGATGCCAGATTCCAGACCATCTAAACCGGACAGTCAACCCCTTCGAATCAAACATTAATATTGTTCGAGACTTTCATCAGCGGTCGTTGCCGAGAGTCAAAGCCTCCCACAGTCATTGAACTGCTCACTACTCTCCATCTTTGTTGGGGTCCTCGGGGATGCTCTTATTTACCATGCGCACGTCCATCGGGATCATCGATCAGGACCGTCTGTACAGATTTGCAGTATCTTATCAGGCATTCCTTGTAGTATTATTGTCAATGTATCAGACGGGTGCCTGTCATCGCTCTCTCCCTTGGTCCTTGGGAGACCATCATTTTGCAAAACATGATACTTCAAGTCAGTGGTTCTGACAACGTCATTTGTACAGCGTGACGCCACAGTATACTACTGTGTAATTAAACTGCGATCAAACTGTGATTGCCCAATGCTAGGTGTTGTTCACAGTAGAAGGACCAAGAGTATGTTGTAGCATTGCTCCGAAGAAATATTTGACCGCACTAGTGCCATTCTATGATACATTCTTGAATATACACTGCAACGACGTGAATGTCAATATCGGCTAAAGCTTCGACACCTCCAAAGTGCGGCCTGCAGCAGAGCTTTTATAGGCCAATTCGATCATCTCGATCACTTGCGTCGTTTCTGCCCACTTCACCTCAAGTTCCTCGTTATTACGGATAGCACCGGCAAGGTTCTTGAAGAGGCCAATATACTGGCCCGGAGCATCCGAAGGCCAACTACAGAAAATCATCAGCACCACAAGGAAATATGAGGTAAACGAACGATTACGTCGTCTTTGTGATCGTCACGCCGTCATCAGCAATATTTTCGACGACGCCGTAGATGGACTCAGGCTCCTGTCCGTAACTTGGTTCAAGGATACTGCTGACAGCGGGCATCGCTTTCAACTGATCCTCTTGCGTATCGAGGCCATACTTGGTGAACATTCCCTTTGTGCCGCGGATTGCGTAGCGTAGCTGAGGGGATTTCACTGATAGGATGTGCGAGCGGAGAAGCACGGTGAACTGGTTAGAGAACGGAGTTCCAGGATTGTAGTGCAAGTATATAGTGAACTGAATAGTCGGGTACGCGCTGAGAATACTGCTAGAATAAAAGCGATGGTATCGGACTTACCATATCGTCGACTTCTGGTTTCGTGACACCACGGATATTTTGAATGAACGCAGTGATTCGTGCGGGTCGACCAAAGAGTTTGAGGGCTTGGTCTAGGAGATGTGAACCGAGGTCATATACTGCGCCCGCACTATCCTTCCAAGAGGACCGGATTCCTGTTCGGTAACGATCGTAGCTAAAGAAAGGTGAGGAAATTGATTTTGGTTTAAACGACGAACTTCCTCACTGAGATTCAAATTCCAGTAGATTACCAAGAGAGAGAGGCGAAGAGGAAGGAAGTGAAAGCAGGCGCTTCAGCGCGAGGTGATCTGAGTCCCAGCGTCGATTTTGATAGCCATAGAGAACAAGGCCTTTGGCTTTGGCAATGGCAGCAAGCTCATTTGCTTCTTTGACTGTCTCAGTCACAGGTTTATCGACGAGAACTGAAGTGATTGAGAGCAGTTTCTGCGCAGAAGAATTTTGCTCACCATGTTTACCAGCTTCGAGAGCAGCTTTGGCAAGTGGGAAATGTGTATCATTTGGGGTTCCTACAATAACAAGCTCAACTTCTGTGTCGTTCACGACTTCTTCAATTGTCCTGTGTATTTTTGTGGTAACTCCAAAGCGCTGCTGCACCTTTCCTCCGGGAGTCTGTGGGTTGCGCTCTAGGACAGCAGTGAGAGTGAAGAGTTCTGGCAAAGCGAGTACGAATGGAACATGAAACGTGAGCCCAGCAAGACCCACGCCGAGTACACAGGTCTTAATCGGACTGAGTGCCATGAGGAGAGCAGTTAAGGTATAATAGCCTTGAAATCATGTCCTGTTGTAATTTATATAGAACGTTTTGGACGGCCCGAGTCTGGAGCAAGTCTGGAGTGTGACCATGATGTGAGAGTGAGTACTGGAGTTGGTGCAGTCTGCGGCCCGGAACGTCATAGTCACGTGGTTTTGTTTTGAAGTCACGTGATTTTGGTTGAACGCGGCTGGTCAGTGGTGACTGACTCTTTGTCAAATTCACGGTTGTACATTCCGGAAGACAATATTGGTGCGTATATCTCATCTCACGACTCCTCATGTGGACGCCTCTTGTTCTCGTTCTCCTCACTTCCTGGCGGGTATTTGCCCAAGTTCCTCTTCCTGAACCCCCTTTCCTGCCTCAAAACGCTTCAGCTGGCGCGACTCCGTCCTCTGCTGGTATCCCCAATTCGCAATGGTCTTCGTTGCTTGGAAATCTACTTTATTTCTATGAAGCACAGCGCAGTGGCACGTTGCCTAGCACAAATCGAGTCAAGTGGCGAAACAACAGTGCCCTCACCGATGGGCAGGACGTCAAGCTGGATTTGACTGGCGGGCTTTATGATGCGGGTAGTGCGTGTCGCGTGCACCATTCCGTTACACTATATTGACAATTACGTTAGACTACCTCAAATGTACTTTCCCCCTGGTAAGTTTCCTCGGCTTGTGCTAAATATTACACTTTCAACTTAGCTCCAGTCATTCACCGTGATGTCAATTTGCTGGGGTGCAACGGATTTTGGAAAAGGTTCGTGCAAAATTGGGGAAGTGCTCACTCGTCAATAATCATGTTGTGTAGGATACGATCTAGCAAACCAAACCCCTTACCTTGATGACATGCTCCGATGGAGTCTTGACTGGCTCATTAAAGTCAGTCTTATGTTTAAGCATCAAGCAATCGAGTCATCAACTCAAGATAATTGTCATAGGCACACGCTGCTAATAATACCTTGTTCGTCCAGGTAGCTAATGGTAAGCGTTCGATCTTTATGTCCATTCTCCACTCACACATGACCGCAGAAGAGGTTGACGATGCCTACTGGGGAGGCGATCGCAACATTCCTTTGCCACGTCCTTCATATCAAATCAACGACACCAGGTGCACTTCCACCGTTTATTATCGAATCATTCGTTAACACAGTTTCAGCCCTGGAACGGATGCTGCTGCAGGAACTGCTGCAGCTTTCGCGGCTTGCTCCAATCTCTACGCCAACCGCGTCTTCTCGAATTCTTACTCTGGCCCAGCTACACTTCAAAACGCAACATACGCTGCAACCCTTCTCGAACATGCCCAACAGCTTTTTACCTTTGCCACTAGCGCCTCTGGTGGACAGAGAGTATACCAACAATCCGTGCCTGAGGTAGGCAATGCGTACGCTTCATCTGGATATGGAGATGAGCTTGCCATTGCTTCACTCTTCTTGTCTTGGGCAACCAACTCCTCTTCGTTGTATCACCAAGCTCAAGGTTACTGGCAGCAATATAGTCTCGGCAGCTATGATGGAGTATTCAACTGGGATAACAAGACACCTGGCCTACCTGTTCTTTTTGCACAGATTGCGCAAGCAAACCCAAGCTTTGGCGGCAATGCATCCACCTGGCAAACCGTGGCCGAGAAGTACTTCGACGGAATAGTTTACGGCAGTGGACCAGGATATCAAACCTATGGTACTACAATAAAATTGTTGCTCATTTTCCGGCTAACATAATTCAAAGGCGGACTACTATACTACAAGGGCGACTCGGATGATGCTAGTTTAAACCCGTCGTTGAACGCCGCTATGCTGTTAACGCGATATGTACCACTGGCATCGACTCAAAGCAGGAGAAATGATTATTGGGTGAGATCTTAGTTCGATCGCTAGTAATCAGCATGGGACTCAACCATTACCTTTGACAGAACTACGCCAAAGCACAAGTCAACTATGCTTTGGGTAACAATCCAATGCAAGGTGAGCATGGATAAGATAACCCTATCATTCTTGCTCACTTTGTCATAGCACCCTATATCGTCGGTGCCAATCCAAACTCGCCTCAAAATCCCCACTCCGCCATGGCAAGCGGTGGCAATAACATAAGCAATATTAATACTTCCCCGCCACAGGAAGCCTACGTCATTTATGGGGCCGTTGTCGGTGGTCCAGACAAGTACGATCGTTTCTTCGACATCCGTGCCGACTGGCCAGAAACTGAAGTCGCACTGGACTACAATGCACCGATGCTCACACTCGCCGCAATGCACGTGCTCAACGACACTGCCGACCCATTCTACACATCGCTGAAAGCGGGCGCTTATGACTCCAAGAAACCACAAGGCATGCCCTGCGATGATGCATACACAGATGGATGCGATGGCCCACAGCTAAGCCAGGGTGGCAAAATCGTTCTCGGGGTCATTCCTGGCCTCACTGGGATCTCCATCTTTTCTCTTCTTGGATGGTGGGCTATGATCTCTTTTAGAAGAGAACACGATCCCCTTTATTGATTCTTGACTTGCTAATCTGCCTGTAGATGAGGCGACTTCTATTCTTGCATTATCTTCCCGATTTTGTGACCCGATCTACTATTCCTTTGGATCAGAACATGACTTTACGACAGATATCGATGAGCGGCGTTCAGACGTAGTAACCGATCCGCATTCATGTAGATATATCGCATAATTATACCCTGATGACTTTAATGACAACAACAATATATTGTGTAGAACAATACCTTTTATCAGACCCCGAGAATGTAATCTTCTTGTCGTTCTTGACCGGCGCACCCCCAAGCGCTTGGTGGACGTTAAGTTGGGACCTTTCATGTCCCTACTCGGGTCTCGGTAAAACTTTGCGTATGTACAGACTCGAGGTTCACTCCATGAAGAACAGGTAGCAAGAAGTTGCACAGGCCGGGACGGTGCCCTATGATATGCAATACATGCGCGAGCATGCTTTAAACCAGTGGGTGGATGGATGACCGACTACTGACATACGAAATTTCATTATGAACCAGATCCAGTCACCGCGCCACTCTCTGCAGAACCTGCGCTAGAACTCCCCGCGACACCATATGAAATTTTGGACAGAGGAATGAGCGTGAGGGTATCAGAGCCATGCAGGTGCCGGTCCATATGCCAAAGATAGAGATGCATGTGTGTGGCGAGGATCGCGAGGATGATGAATTGGAAACTGTATAAGGTGTATTGTTAGTAGGAATTCGCAGTAGGATTTGAAAGTTGCCCACTCTTGGAACATGGCCTTGTACGCGTGCTAAGTGTGCAGAATCTCAACGGCTCATTCTCAGGGCAGGAAAGGGGTGCACGCACATGGAGAAGCAGTGATGCAAGGACATTTAACACCGAACAAACTTTCGAAACGAAAATGATCATCTATGAGCACAGGAAAACTAGTCTGGCATGGCAAGTATTGACTCACACAGACCGCATGCATAATAAAATATATTATGTTTGAACAGGACAGCAAATAAATGGGTGTTAGCCGTCCGCCAGGCCTGCAGGGCGCGTACGAGAGTGAGGGAGATGAGTCCTTGGAAGAGCCTAGTCAGCGCGTGTCTGTGGTATATGTATGTTACTACCCAGTGACACACCTAGTTCAAGCGCAGATAGGAGAACATATGGTACGAAAAACCCGATACTGTCTGAAGGCTGGTAGCAGCCCGTAATGCCTGGGATTGGGCTGGTCCGAACTGGTAAAGTGGACAGTGTGAGTGGTAGTGGAATGGGATGGATAAGAGAAAGGTAAGAATGCGTACATGGTACGGTTCCACTTGAGCCAAATAACAGACCGACGGATGCTACGCCAGCAGCCTGACTGATGCGTCTACGATGAACTTAGGGTGCAACGAGCGCATAAGACTTACCAGGAAGGCAGTCAGCAAGGCTGCGAGTACGATTCTACTATTGTTCCAAAGCGCATACGTTCTGAGGATAAAAAATGCTGGATGAATCAGATCAAGAATGCGCATGTGTCACAGGGGAAGAGATACTTTCGGAACAAATGACTAATAACAAGCTAAAACCTATGAAAGGGAAGCGCTCGGTAAGCCTGTAGTGTACACGTATGTATCGTGCACGCACATGAGCAAACGTGGTTGAGCACCAGGCATCTCTGGGATGACAGTAAGCGTCATTCATCAGTCAGTAAGTCCACCAAACGTTCACACACATTGGGGTTCTCGTCCGGGGTGAAGTTCACTAAAACACATGTCAATTCATCACCGAAGAGATGGGTGCTGAATATAAACGTACTGTAGAGATGACTGGTGAAGAGGAAAAGCGGCACATATCGTGCAATAACGTAGAGGTATTTTACCTTGGTCCAGCGCGATAGAAGCAAGAACGTCCACTTTGGACAGCATATTATCGTTGATATTTAAAACACTAAACATGTGAATGGACCTTACCTCCTCGTGAAGAGAACAAATATAGCCATAGGTCTGGACAAACAAACTTAACAGCGGGCGGAGATACGTCGGTACAAGCCCACCCAGAATGTAGCCATTGATGCTGAGCTGCTTTTAGATAAAGAAGAGGTAGATCAGACAGGACGCACTATATATGTACTGTGAGAGGTGGAAATGGATTATGCCAGATTATTATCAATGACACTTGAATCAAAGAAAAAGACGCACCGAGGAAATCTGCAGACTCATCGCCGCTGCGATATCATCAGCCGAATACTTGGCCTCCATTGAGAGGCAGAAAACAAAGGGTTTTGCGCACGAAGGTGCATGTCATGTCATCTTATTTATGAGCGGAGAAAGATCTGGGCGTCGCTAAAGCAATTGCCAAGGCTGTGTTGGAGTCTGCAATGATGATATCGTCCACAATAAGTACTATTGGCAAACTTCGGACGTAAACTCTGCAAACACAGATTAGTCAGGCTCAGCGCTCAATTCCAAAATGTCATCAAGTCGTTTGGGACCCTAACCCTCTCGCTAAACCTGCAGTGCCCTAAACGGAACCAACATGAATCATGAGGTCATGAGGTTAAGGAGCACTACTGAGGCTTAGGATGTGTTTTAAGACTGCAGGTGTTGGCGCTGCGCGCCGTAAGGTTTAGGTACGAGTTCCGTTTAGGATGGGTTTAGCGAGAACGACATATATCATTGTAGAATTGCATGCAGGCAGCTGGCAGCCGTGGCATTTTGAGGGCTATAGAGGGGATTCAATTACATAATTATCAGTGGCTGTAACCGATTGACGTAAACACTCGTAGACTCAACGGCCTCAAAGGATACTACTAGCTGGTTTTGAGGTTCGGTCACCGCCAGTACTTAGTCGTTCCAGCGGAGTTAGAGAAAATTCGGGGACTCCAGAAAGTGGGAGTCGGGGACACAAGGGGCCCACTGCTATATCATACGATTTTCTCGTGCTCCCCAACTGGTCTTGGAGTACTACATAGTACATACGGTCCAGACTAGTTCTGCATCAGCGCACCTAAAAACGAAATTTCTTACACTTCCAGCACTGGGCCACAGGAGAAGAGCACACCCCCCATTGATTAAATCCTCCGAATCGTTTGATACACTAACTCTGCCGCCCCTTACGGTGGAGGCTTAACACAACGCGATATTTGTGACAGACCAACTCTATCCCAATGCACCTTGGCCCACGGTCTAAATCTGTATTCCCCCTTAAGCGCGCAGATCCTGAATCCGACTAAGCTTAATTTTTCCATACTGAGGTCCTTGCGCTCGCCGATCAAGGTCAAACCTCCCGTCACGTATGGAGACGAGTCACCTTACACCTCCATGAAGAAGGTCGAACAAGCCAAGCGACAAGATATTGGACACAATGTGATTCCCCGCGGGATGGACAGGCTAATTCGACGGTAAGAATCGATGTATAGATACGGACTACTGATGCGGAGACACCTGAACCAGGACCTCCGGCACCGTCTGGACCCACATTAAACCTCCCCGCACGCTGTACTACGGCCCACAGATGACATTTAAGACATAGGAATAAGCGTGACAGCATTAGAGCTATGCTGGTGCCGATCTTTATGCCAAAGATGGAGGTGCATGTCTGTGGCGAGGATCGCGAGGATGATGAACTGAAAACTGTATATTGTTGTGGTAGGGTTTTGTTAGTCGTAGTGCGCAACAAGGTTTGGTGGTTGCCTACTCTTGGAACATGGCCTTGTAGGCATCCTGAGTTGTACGAGAAATTCACGACTCAGTCTGAGGACAGGGGAAGGATGCACGCACATGAAGAAGCATCGACGCGAGGACGTTCATCATCGAGCACACTTTCGGAACGAAATGATCAGCTATAAGCACACAAAGTCTGGCATGTGCGTGCATTGACTCACAAAAACCGCATGCATAGTAAAATATATTATGTTTCAGCAGGACGGCAGATAGATAGTTGTTGGACACCCGCCAGGTCCGCAGGGCGCGTATGAGCGTGAGGGAGATGAGTCCTGGGAAGTGCATCGGTCAACATCCATCGCTACCAGCTTCCGGTGACTTACCCAGTTGGAGCACAGATAAGAGAATAAATGGTAGAAAGAACCCGATGCTGCCTGACGGCTGGTAGCAACCTGTAATACCCGGGATCGGGCTAGTCTCAACTAGCAATGTGAAAGGTGTGAGTGCTGGTAGAATAGTAAGGAGAAGAGGAGAGCGAGAGCATACATGGTGCAGTATCGAGAAATGCAAAGAACAGGCCAGCGGATGCTGCGCCGACAGCCTAACAGACGCGTCTATCATGAGCTTACGGTTTGGTTGGGGCAGAAGACTCACAAGAAAGGCGGCCAGCATGGCTGCAAGAACGAACCTATTTTTGTTCCACAGTGCATATGTTCTGAGGACAAAAAAAGCTAGATGAATTTTATCAGGAATGCGCGTATGTTACAGGGGAAGTGGAAACACATTCAGAACAAATGATTGATATTAGGCTGAAACCTGTAAAAGAGAAGGGGCAGCGCTCGACAGGGATCTGGATGGATGGATGCTGTACATACATGAGCAGACGTTGTCGAGCATCTGGCATTTCTGGTGATGCGTTGTAAGCATCCAGTACATCAGTCATAAAATCAATCGCACATTCACATACATTGGGGTCCCCGTCGGGAATAAAATTCACTGAAGCACAACATGTCAATTCAAATCACCGGAAAGACGCTGAACGCACTATAAAGGTGACCCGTGAATAGGAGAAAGGGCGCATATCGTGCAACGATATAAAGGCCCTTTATCTTAGTCCAGCGGGATTGAAGCAGAAACGTCCACTTTAAACAACACGTTATCATTGATATCAAAAACCTTGAACAAGTATATTGACGTTACCTCCTCATGAAGTGAACAAGCATAGCCGTAGGTCTGTGCAAGTTATTTCAACGGCGGACGGAAATCCATCAAGGCAAGCCCACCCAAAATGTAGCCATCGACGCTGAGCAACGTTAGGACAAGGAAGAGACAGTTCAGACAGCACGCACTGTATATGTACTGGTAGCACATTGAAGATGCACTATTATCAACGGCCCTTGTATTGAGTAGAAAAAGACGCACAGTGGAGGTCCGGAGACTACTCGCCGCTACAAAAGCGTCAGCCGAATACTCAGACTCCATTGACTCCAGAAGTAGAAAACAGGTTTTGTGGACGAGGGATGAACGATATCATGTACCTTATACACACACAGTGCATAATATATGATGGCTAGCAAGGCAATGCCAGCGGGCAGTACCAAGTGTCGAAAGTCACCGGGCATCGCGTGTATCATCATTGGCTGAGAATACATGTCTCACTTAGATGGATACTGTACGTACTGTCCAGCATAGGGCTCCGCCTCACCGCACAATAAACAATGATTAAAAAACCAGCTGGATGCCGCATCTCTGCCGCAGATGTCTCCAGTGATGTGTGAAATAGTCATGATGCAAGTCTTCTCTTTATGATGATACCCAGAAGCATTTTGAATACCCATTATGCCATGGAAAGAATAAGATGAAGACACGATGAAAGGAAAAGGAAAATACATCAAGAGTCGAGGGGCGCACCATTACATTGCACGAAAGTCACATGGCGGAGTGGGATCGCCGTTTATGCATATGACAGATCTGAGATGGCACCTGATGAGGCTCAATATGGCGATCACTTGATGATCATACTTGTGCTGTGTATAACGTAGCCTTCTAATACACTTCCAGAACATACCGCTCTTCTTCCTTAAGACTCATCAAGAATTCTCCACCGCTCTCCAGGGTATGTCCCTCGTTCTTGACCAGTGCACCCACAAGTGCTTCGTACACGTCAGGTACTGGCCACGTTGGGCCACAGAGGTAGAACACCCCCGCCTGATTCTTCAACAGGGATGCGAGAACGGCAGCGTCCTCGAGCATGAGGTGCTGTATGTACACCTTCTTGGGTCCATCTCGAGAGAATGCAAGTCCAGCTTTTGTGATCGTGCCGTCCAGAATATACGCTTCTATCTCTTCACCGTAGAGATATTCTTGATGTTGATGCCGCGAACCGAAGTAATAGTAGGTGGGTCCTACAGGGATGCCTTGTTGAGCGAGTAGAGCGCGATGCTGTAGAAAGGCGCGGAATGGAGCAGCTCCAGTGCCAAGACCTGCCATGATGATGGGCTGCATATTGTCTGGTGGAAGCTAAAGAAGAGTGCGTCAATGGCGGAATCGCGGTTGACAAGTCAGTCCACGCATACCTTCATAACACTGGGCTTGATGGAAACGGTAACCTTCTGTCCAACCTTGAGATCGGCTAGATATCTAGTACACTGCCCATAACGAGGGGTGCCTAAAGATCCGCTTGTTAACATGAGAAACCGATTCAAAAATTGCATACCATTTGGCGCGGTCCATTCCACGGTGACCACTAGCAAATCGACTCGATTGCCCACCACACTCTGCGCGCTTGCAATACTGTAGTGCCTGGGCTTGATGTCTCCAATCATCTCGCATAGAGTCTCAATTCCTGGCCTCGCGCTAGGATATCGTTGCAAGACCTCTGCAAATGTGACAGTGTCTTTCTCTCCCAGCTTCTTGAAAGTAGACGACCCTTCAGGTGCGCCGATAAATTGAAGCGCCAGCCTATCGGCAGGGCTAGTAGCATATGCAGCTAGCTCAGCGTAAAACGACTTCGGCGGCCGGCCAAAGAGGTCGGTTTGTTGCTGAAGCGCCTGGAAGATAGTGCGAGTGTACATCTTCCCTTCGTTTGCAGCCACTGGGATGGTGATCAATCGCTGGGAATCGACACCATACCATTTGCAGAAATCAAGAACTTCTTGTTCATCATTCCACCCATGCACGCCCAAGGCCTCTCCAATAGCGTACTTGAGGCCAGTGCCCACCGTGTCGAACTCCAGGTGGAAGACGTTCCTGTCGTAATCCAGAGGCGTTAAGCGGCGATTGACCGTGCAAGTCACCAGATAGGTATGCTCAGGTACCTCTGGTCGCAGAGAGGGATCTTGAATGTACTCTTCAGCTTCCTCTGAGGGAGGTGTTGGAGGTGTGAAGACGGATGGGAACAGAAGGTGCTTGGCAGCATCATGCCACGAAGAAACTTTCGAGCCATTGACCACAGTCTGGCCATCAGCGGTCTCCACAGCGATAGCATTAAACTCAAACTGCTTGAGAGGAGAGGGAGGCTTTGCATCACCATCGTCCGCTGCCAGAGGGATCTGTAAATTGACCTCCTCAAGGGCAGCCCAAGAGCTGGCACTAATCTTCGCGAGCTGGCTACCCTGGGCCACCTCCCTTGCGACACCCTCTGCAAGCTTGCGAACGGCAGGTTCACTGGCGGCCTTCCCGAGGTAAAGCCTTAGAACTGCAAGATAAACGACTACTCTTTGCAGAGTGTCCTGAGCTACCCCGAGTTCCGCTCCGAAACTAGACGAGATAGCTTTGGCGTCTAGGGTAAAGATCCGGAGTTTCTTCTCAACCGCTGCCGACAATACGGCAGGAGGTAAGTTGTATGGTAGCTCAGAGGACCATGGGGAAACGACGAGTACTATTGCCCCAGACTTTGCCTGGTTTAGCAATGAGTGGGACTTCAGCAGATTCGCATCTAGGACGCAAATGAAGTCTGCTGTTCCTGAGGGAAACGCTGCGGCCATAGGAAGAACGTCTGTGCCCTCGCTGCGCGGAGAAAGCACAATCTTGTCCGCAGTGACGCCTCCCGATTTGCTGAAAATATCATGGTCGGTAAGGAGGCGGACAGAAACTGTGCTCGCAAAAGAATTCGCTACAGTCTGGGGGAGAGGAGAAAGAGTGGACTTCGGGGTACTGAAGAAGAGAAGCTTCCTGGCTGAGGATGCGTCTAGGTGCGTCGCAGCAGGAACTTGGTGTGAGAGTTCAGTGAGGAGGGTTGAGAACTGAGCCGGGTCTGAGAGGAAGGATGATGTCCTTGTGGGTGTCACCCGGTGGGCTCGCACAAGTGGACCTGGAGAGTTTGGACCATAGAGCGACCCAAAGACATCGACGAATAGGCTGCCTTGGCAGACTTCATTGGGTACATCGTCGAAGACGTGAACCTCCTTTACAGTATCAGGGAGACATTGCTTGAAGGCATTACCATCCCACGGCCTCAACACTCTTACAACCACGACACCAAGGCCACTACTGTGAGCCACAATGGACTTCGCCATTAGCGCCAAAGGCCCATTCAACAAGACAACCACCGTCTCTGTATTTAAATCACCGACGTAATCGAAAAACTGATATCCAGACCACCGAATGAGTTCTGGTACATCCAGTGCGGGAGTCTCCTTGAGCTGAAGAGTGGGGACAAAAACGTGGCCACTTTCGCGGGAGATGCCGTGGTGATCGAAGATATGAACAACGTGGGAGGACGTAAGCTTGTACGAAAGCGCGGCAAGATCTATGGACTCCTGTGGGGTAGCAGATAAGAGTACAACAAGATTATCGGGAAGGATGGGGAAAGCTGCAGAGAGGGATGCCAACGTTGGGGAGAGCGCGAAGCTTGGTCCGACAGTGGTGACTGCCGGGACCTGGACAATCAACCTACTGTTACTAGTAGCAGGGGGCAAATATGACAATGATTCGACCATCGCGGCGAGCCCAGCGGGCGTAGTGTAAGCAGTGAGAACTGCTCCCTTCACCAAATCCTGGCTACTGCCTTCGGAAAGTCGTCCGACGAGACTAAGGCCGGCGCCTGCTCTCGTCTGGAGGCTTATGACTGGCACAGTGGACTCCATGGCCGACGACCATGTTTTAGTCAGTGTTCCGAATCCTACTTGTTCAGCGACATCGTAAATATAAACTGCAGAGCTGGTAGCTGAACGAGACGCAAGTAGTTCGATGATGTGAGATGCCGGTTTATTGAATACGCTAGCTCCGTGAATAGGCAAGTCCTTGGGGTCTTCCGTAGGAGTTCCTATGAGCGTTGCCGCTGCTGACAACGGTGTCGATGTGCCAGAGAAAACTTCGATAGTCATATCCGAGTTCAAAACAGCTGGCTATTCGGAGAACGTCGGTCTGCATTTTTCTGTGTGACTTCGGAAAGCGTCGGAGTCAATGGTGCGAGATGGTGCAACTCGACCGTGATAATCACACCTTACGCGGTCACGTGATGACCTTACAGCAGACAAACAATATTAGCACAGGTGATTCAGAAATGACACTACTACATAATTCAGAGGGGACATCCATTACACCCTCATAATACATCGCTGCAATCGTTACACCCGAATGGTATTGAAGAGACGGTCTCCCTGCGAAATATCTCGGAAATGCCGATTGAAGACAATAATAATGGACTCACGGTGTCACCCAATCCAGGAGATATCAGGCCGTCAGGTGTGAGAGTTGGATCCACGGCTGCTACCCAGATCTGGAATACGAGTATCAGTTTTGGACATAAATTGGGGAACAATAAAGGAATGAGAGACCTCTAATTCAGGATATTCAGCGTGTACATGATTGAGTCCTTCTTCTGATCCGAGTACAGCCAGTAACTTGATCTTTGATACTGTTAGACGGTAAACAGCGCTTCACTGTCATGCAACGCAACGCTCTTACTAGGAACTCCCCAGTCTATGATCATGGCGAGGGCAGCACATGCAGTACCACCAGTGGCAACCAAAGGATCGAGAATGAAACATGTGTCTATCGGAGGGACTGGAGGAAGTTTCGAATAGTCTGCCACAATAATCAATCAGCCCGTATGTCATGTGAGAAATTGACTTCAAATCTCACATTCGACCGGTTGAAGGCTGACCTTCTCTCGGTAGAGTCCAAGATGGTAGATTGCTGCTGTCCTACACGACATGTCCACTGATACGTCAGAAGGTGCAACAAAGTTGTATATCCAGTCACATACGGGAAAAGGGACAAGAGTGCGTCCGTCATGCCCAAGCCAGCACGCAGAATGGGTGTCAGCCCAACCTTGGGCTTAATAGTTGTACCCGTGAAAGGACCAACTGGTGTTTGCTGGGTAGTTTCATCAGCACACAGGAACATTAAGTCGTGAGCACGCATCCGCAGAGAATTCACTCACACCTTGAAAGGTCTCCTCTTCCAGATCGCGCGAAGCTTCAATGCCCAAGATCAAGCTAATATCATGGATACCCTGCCTCGAACGCATTGATTCCCTGACCACTTCACACAACAGCTGTTGCTCACCTCCCGGAAATCCTTTGGATTTGTATTAGTCTGCCGCAATTGTGACAATCGTGCATTCACCAAAGGGTGCGAGAGAACATGGCACCTCTTCAAGTTGTTGGACATGGTTGTTCGGTACAGACTAGGTACATTGTGCCGAATGTCGTATCAGCCAATTGCCAATTTAGGAGCAATCTAGCAAGGGATCCCCTATATGTCAATAGATAGGACTTCAAGCTTCAAGGCCTCAAGTTTCAAGGTTGCTTCAAGACAGTCGTTGCTTTCGAAGTAGGCCAAATCTGACTACGGAATCGAGAATCCTCATCTTCTCTTGTATTCGCAAGGTTTCAGAATGCCACCATTCGATATCACTTTCGACCACTCTTTACCCGTCCGCGATGTGCGAGCTATTTTCTTGAATTCAAACAATGTAAAATGACTGTTGCGATCGTCCTGGATTGTGAAGAGACTCAGTCTGTACCACCGTGTACTCTGGATGCGCCTTACCTTTGCTTTCATCTTGAATCCAACAGAGTTAATTAACGACACAAATTCATCCACATCAGTAAAGCGACTGGCAACTTCTGCTATTTTTAGCTCCCCCCTGGATAAAATTGAGCACGCCAGACATTGTGTGACAGCGTATGACGTACCCGGGTTTCAGAACCCTCCACGCTTCCCGGATGCACACAGGCCAGTTGGTTCCCATAAGGCTAAGGGCACACACAACCACATCCACAACCTGCGCTTCACCTTCAGACATCTGAGACGATGAAGGTTCAGAACCGGGAAGAGGCACATGTGAACATATGTCCGCCTCCACGATATAGGCACCGTCGGATATTAGGTCAAAAGACAGTACTTTCAGCTTCTTCAGAGAAAGGCCGCGAGCAAGCGTCGCATCCCCGCAGCCGAGATCTACTATGATTGTGTTTTGAGGGTAGGATGACAACTGAGAAATGTAATGTGACACAGGATTTGATGGCCACGACTGCACCTGGTGTCGAAAACCGGAGTGATACTGCATACAGGTGTACATGACGATTCTGTTAGAGAAATGATGATACAAATACGCACATCATGAAAGACCGCTGGGTCTTCTTTCATCATTCTCACCGCCTCTGAGCTGTCGGATTTGTAGAGCAATTCATTTATCCACCTGCACCGTGACCACTTGTGATATGCATTAGAACATCATGTATCAGGATACATACCTGAATCGAGCACCATCAAGACTCTCTTTCATACCCCTCTGCAAGCTCGTGAGGCCTGAGACTTCATCAAGTGTGGGCGAAACATTTTGTGGCTGTTGCTCAGATTTTCCACCATCGGGCTTCGAGCTCTTCTTTTGCTTTATCATCTTCTTGCGCAGCCCCGAACCCCCCTTCACTGATTGTTCGACTGCGCTCCCCTTAATGGACCCACCAGGGGGGGATGAAACCTTCTCCTGTCCCTTGTTAGAGGTTGCGTGTTCAACCTTGGCATCTAGCCCCCCAGTGGTCTTCCCGTGAATCTTCTTTTTCTTCTTGGGCCCTTGCTTATCCTCCTGGTGTTTTCCAACACTTCCGAACTTCTGCATAAGCTTGTCTAGGTTGACCTCGACGGATTGCATTTTATCAGCATCTTGAGCTGCGGGTCGCTTACGTTTCTTGGAAGTTGACTGTGCCAATTTTGAGACTGGAGCAGTAGGCACAGACCACCCAGGAACCTCGAATAGTGCCATCAGAAATTAGGACGTGACGAGTTGAAAACAGTCCTGCGAAATTATTGATGTTATTGATCCCGATTCGAGTGCTTTGAGTGGCTTACAGTGGGCTTACAATTGCAATATTGATCAAGGTTCGCTCATTCGCGCCTTCAATGAGGCCACAAAATTTTGTGATAATCAAGTGAATATCTCTATAGCAATTTCACCATCAGACAGGGATTCTGCACAGCAGAACCAGTATCAATCCTCTTGAGGTTCTACGTATTGATAGGTGATCCGCGCTTCACCACAACTCGCGGATACGGTGAGGAGGACACTCGGACGCGTTGCGGACGCGGCATGTAACTTAGGTTTCTCCTACATCATCAGAATCACGCACACAGCATGGATAGGCTCTTCACGCTAGGCCTCGTGCTTCGCACCCTAGAACGAAACACGCGGCAGACAACCTGGAAGCTTCTTAACAGAAGCATGTGATGCTTATTTACCCACTGCCTTGATTTTATCTCGAATCACCCAGATTCTCTCTAGCATGTCTGCCAAAGGCAAAGAGAAGATGACCGCTATGGCGACGGACCGCATCGAAGGGACGCCGCCATCCAAGGACGGCGTACTCAAGCAGTTCATCCCTCGCAAGATGCAGCCAAACGCTGTGCAGAGGACGGCGTCTTTTACTTCTGTTGTAAGCGCTCGTTTTTAAGCGGATCTCTCAGTACGTAACCTCGCAGCCTAGTATCAGCCAAAGCCTCCTCCTTCGCCTTCTATTTCTGCAAATCGAACCAACGGCAATACAGTGCAGCCATCGCTGCCGAACAATTCGCACATATCCCTCGCGCGACAAACATTGGTTTGGCAAATCCTTTTCCATTGACAAATATAAATTCACGGATTCTTGTCTTTACCAGCCTGGCACTCCCTCCCCACGTACGTGATACATCTCAATAATGCCAATTGCAATAACTCAAACACAAGCTACACGACCAGGAGAGGTAAGCCTATGCCCTACGATTAAATAACGATCTAAGAGAGCTGCTCTCTCAGCTAAATGTATACTCTGTCACAAACCCCAGTACAGTGAGTGTACTTACAGTCATATGTATGATCAAAATATTTTCACTGAGGCTCGGGCAGCGCTCTGGAGCTTCCGTCGCTCCTCGGGATCCTGCCCATGTAGGCGTCTTGTTAGTGTAAACTCTAGCCGACTCACATGTGACCTATGTTGTCAAGGAGGAGCTGGAGCTTCTTCATGACAACATCAGTGACGTCCGAGGAAGAAGCAATGATCATGAACTTCGCACGGCCCCAATCATAACCCGTGATGCATACGTTGCGGCAGGTTATCGTGAAGGTGCCACTCAGTACGGTGTCTTAGGCAGTATTTTGTCTATCCAGTAAGGCAACCCGTGGTTTTTTGCATTCGTAGACCGACCACTGATACTTTTTATAGCAATAAAAACAATGTACCATACAGGCCAGTGAACCCTCAGCTCTATGTGAACACGGTATGCAACTCCTTGATGTAAGATGCGTGTTCAGCGTTATCTCATTTTTTGTACCCCCAGAATGCACCCTTCTCTGCTGTGGTCTGTGGGGTTCAGGGCTCGGGGAAGTCCCACACAGTTTCTCTGCTTCTCGAGAGCATGTTTATTCCGAATATGCGCTCAACTGGTACCCTGCAGAAGCCGTTGTCAGGGCTTGTTCTCCACTTTGGAGAGGGGGGGTCCCAGCTCTCGACCTAGTGAAGCTGCATGGATCAGCTCGTCCCACTTTCCCGGTGTACAAACGCCGTCCGTCAAGGTTTATGTTTCACGTTCTTCTCTGAACACCATGAGGGCTGTCTATGCGCCCCTGGGTGATGGGATCACTGTCGAACCATTGTTCTTCAGTCAAGATGAGTTGGATGCACAAGCCTTTCTATCCATGATGGCTGTCGGCTCCTCTGAATCAGCTCCGCTTTATATTCAGGGTATTTTGGTGCGTGTTTCTCTTTTGAGCGACTTTCTTCTATGACATCACTATTCCTGCAGTCGATCCTCCGTGACCTTGGGGAAAACTTCACTTATCCCGAATTTATGCGGCAGTTGGATGTGAAGAAGGAATCGTTTAACAGTATGCAGCTCGCAAGTCTTGAGCAGAGGATGGCGTTGCTCACCTCCTTCATGAACCCAAACATGAAACCGCAGACCCGCTTTGCAGAATCGCAGCTGACGATCATCGATTTATCAGACCCGTTCATCGACCCAGCGTCAGCATGTGGACTGTTTGAAATCATCACGCGTCTGTTTGTCAGAGCGGACGTAGGGACCGGGAAAGTGCTGGTAGTCGATGAAGCCCACAAGGTTTGCACTCTGAAATTGAACTTTTCGGTGTCATTGACGATTCGATTGTCACAGTACCTGTCGCCCACAAAAAGCTCCTCTGGTTTGACTAAGTCTCTCCTGACATTGACCAGGGAGCAGCGTCACCTAGCGATGCGCGTTATCATTAGCACACAAGGTACTTGGCACTTATATCTTCTTCATGTTGGGCCCCCACACCTTGTCTGCCAGAACCTACGGTCGTGCCACCCGTTCTACTTGACCTATGTACTGTCACGATTTTGCACCGGTTCTCCTCTCCATCGTGGTGGGAACATCTGGCAAAGCATGTATCAGCCGACATATCAGCAGAAGACGCTTTTGATCGCGTTGTTAGACTGCAGGTGCGTTGTCGAGCTCAATACGTGGCACTGTGATTCAACGTGATATCGCTGCTCAGACCGGTGAAGCGATTGTGCTTGCAGCCTCTGGCCTGGGAGTATTTCCAGATACACCCGATACTGCCAGGACGGGACATGTAGCCCCAGTGCCAAAACTCGGACAATTTGGTCGCCGTTACGTGCTCATGAAGACTAGACGTAAGATAACGAGAGATGGTGGAGCGTCAATACTCGTGGTTGATGGCTGAGTCGTGCAAGAGCCCCTGGACGCAGAGCGATGTTGACAGGGGGGTTATTGTTTCCGCTCTTGCAGATGTGGCGAAGTTGTGATTAGCGCATATTTAGTTATCTTATTTACGCTCGTCAAGATGTTCCAATGCCATGAAGATGAGCCTTTGCGTGTAATACAGTACCTAGTGTTTATGAAGTACAAATGTATGCATGCGGCAGGTACAACAGTTAAAAGAAACAACAATGTGACATATATGGGACAACTAATTATCAGTATGTGCCAGTATGTGCGAATGTTCCATGCTGCGGGAAGGGAATGCAGGGCCAAAACGATTGAAAGCAAAGGTATTCTATGGTACTTGAAGATATTATACTGATGAATGAAAGCAGGCAACTTGGTGTGGATTGGTCGAAACACGGCGAGAGAAGACTGTGATGGAAATGGATAAGTGGTATCCAAGTCTGCAAGCCATCCGTTAACATACGTCCTTGGGATTATTAAAAAAACGACGTGCACGTCCAACGTCATCAGGTGACCCGCATAGGACTTCCAGGCGGAAGCGAGTAGTCATCTATGTGGACAGCGTGCGATAGTGGACTCGACTCCGCAATACCAGGACCTGCCATTTTCTTATTGCGACGACCAAGTAGGGTTGCACTGTCCATATCTAGCTGGAAACCTCCTTGGCCACCAGGTTGACGGCGACCACGATCTCTTGGGCCTGCGCGACCGTCCAAAAGACTACGATCTGCTTGGTTATGTCCACCAATGATATTGCGCTTTGCGACGGTCTTCGCTCCGGCACCAGGTAACCCACCCTGGGTAAACGGTATTGGTGCACGAGTCTCAAGCTCCCCTCTCCTGCTCCGTGCATCATGTACGAGGACTTTGTCATCGACGTTGTCTTCTTCGTCCTCATTAAGCCCATGCAGGAATCCTCGGGTACCGGCGCCGCCACGACCATTGTATGCACGCCTACGTGCACCTTCTTCTTCCATACGGTGGACTGCATATGTAATGTCGAATGCTTCCTTGAGCGTTGCGAGGCCAGGAGAACGAGCCTCTAAAACGCCACCACGGGCAGCGGTAAGCAGAGGAGAGTCAAGCGGAGGAGAGTTGACATAAGCAGGAGTGGATGATGCTGGTGGTGGGGCAGGAGCGGCAGTGCACCACGGGTGAGCAAGGAACTCATCTATGGTATATCTCTGAGCAGGGTCCACGCATAACAGATGTTGAATGAGATCCTTCGCTGGGCAACTAGTCAATATCGCATTTTAGATAGAAAGTTCGAAAATAATACCAGAATGGCTGATATCATCCCACCACGGACTCAAAAATGTGTAATATCCCCGCGCGACCTTCTCTGTTAAGACGTTGATACTCTCATCGTAGAACGGCGGGAACCCGCAAAGGAGTGTGTAAAGCACGCAGCCAAGTGCCCACATGTCCACACTTTGTGAATAACGCTCATCCTTGACGATTTCGGGGGCAGTATAGCCAACGGTTCCGCATGGCGTCATCGTTTCCTCGTTCCAGATCACTTTTGATAAGCCAAAATCCGCAATCTTGATTCGCCCGATTCCGCCTCCACCGACCCCTGGGATAAATTCGCCTTCATCCTCCTTTTCCTCGTCATACGGGCGTTGTACGATACCATTTGAAGGAATGATGGGTATCCGCTCGAATAACAGATTTTCTGGTTTGATGTCCCTATGACAACCGGATGTCAGCGAACGTCATTGCTCCACAGGAAATGCAGATACCGATGTACAACACCGCGTTCCTCGTGAAGATAACGGATACCCTGTGCAACCTGGAGAATCACGTGTCTTGCTAGATTCTCACTGAAATACGTCAGCTTGACGATCTGGTGGAACAATTCACCGCCCTCCATGACTGCGTGCGATTATGAGTTACCGACACGGGAAAGATGGTGATCGCACATACGTTCCATAACCAGAAAATAGTATTCTGGTGATTCGGAAAATGAGATCAACTTTACGATCGATGGGTGATTGGTTCCCCTCATGATTTGCACCTCTGTAATCTAGATCAGTGCCGGGAATGATCAGAAAAACATGACACGCCTACCTTTCAAAATATTGGCCCGCTGCATGATGAAGATAGCACGGTTAGCGATACGTGGAACTCTTCAATTCCAAACGTCACCTCTGTTACGCGCGGCTTTTTCTTGAACTGGATACTGAGATGTTTTTCGCCGGCCTAACAGAGGGACAACAAGACACAAGCAGAGCAGGGGTGTCATGAACCGAAGCCGATAGGTGGGGGAGTAGTGTGGAGGACAATGTATGTGAACTATGTGAGGGGCGGGGGTACGCATCTACTTACCTGAGAAGCATTCAACTCAAACTTGCGAACGACTTTCACTATGAAAAAGTGGATCAGCCGGTTATAACAGGAGAAGAATCGAAGAACTGAACCTGCGACTGTCTGCCCAGTTGTTAGATCTACCGCCTTGTAAACATTGGAAAATGCGCCGCTAGATAAAAAGTTAGATGTTTAGCACAGTGACTGATGACACCACACTCACTCTCCCATCTTATCCAGTAGCTTGAAGTTATCCAAGCCTTTGTAGGTGGGCATTTTGTTCTTTGGCTCTCGATCCTCGGGTAAGGTCATGTTGATTTGTTGATGCCGGGAGTCAGGTGCAGGCTGAGGCTGTGGTGTATTCTCGGGTTGATGCTGCTCCTTTTCAGGTTGATGCTGTTTCTCAGGCTGTTGATGTTTCTGAGAATCCTGTTCAGCTCGGAGCTTAGCCTGCTGCTGCAACTCCTGTTGTTGTTGTTGTCGATTCTGAGGCTGGTGACTTGACTCTGGCACAGACGCCGTGTATGGCTGGGGTTCAGAGTCAGGATGCCGATGATGATGATGTTTGCGTATGAGATCTGGTGGGTATGAGTTATATGGCTGCCTTCCAAAACAAAACAAAAAAACAAAAACATACTCTTGAAAGCGTCTACGACGGCTGGCATGGTTGGAAGAAAAGAAATTATGATGGGCTACGAATAATCTGGGGAAATGAGTTGGTGGTACGGAGTGCGTCCACTAGAAGCCTTTTTGTCATTCCAGCCTCCCAAGTGACGTCACTGTAGCGTCTTCTAGTCACGCCACTGCCTCTTGCCCGATTTGGGTTGAAATAGCGCATGACTCTATATTTGCACCGAACTGAACTAGGATAACTGTTTAATATTAACATATTACATAATCTCATCGATTGCTTCCAGCAATGCTTCCACTAGTACTTTCCACGTCCCGATCCCTCGGCGGGGTATGAACAAGTAGAAAATTCCGTGCAGGAGAATACCCTGCCAAGCTTACCGTGCTTTGGTTATGCCTGAGCACCGGGGTCTCGCGCACAGCTCTCGGTATTACAAGGGCCGGGCGAGTTCGTGCATTCAACGAGCCTGGTACAGGAACGCCCCGCACGCTTCCACTCGGTGTGATTTGCTCGCCTCTGTCGCCTGTTTGCCTGCTAACCTCATTGGTGGGCTGTCCTACTTCCTCGCGGTTGTTCCCATTGGCCCACGCTATGATAAACACCCCCACAAATGTCGCACCACAGCCATACGTAAATGTGACCATCTGGTGGAATGTAGCCCTTTGAAAGTCCTTGTAAAGGACAGCGGATCCGATAACAGCAGACAGCGTAAACAGCACAAATTGCGTAGGTATGACGATTTTGGAGTCAAAACGCTTTAACGCTCGGTTCAAAAACCAGATTTGGAGAATGCCTGTAATAATTAGAACCTGAACAGGATCAGCACATGAAACGGAATGGAAAGCGAGGCTAAGATACCGCAAGGACGGGATAGGCTATCCACACCGCAAATATTTTGCCCCATTCTTCCGTCAGCAACGTGGAGATGGCCTTAGTGGCTAAAACTGTGAATCCACCTGACACTGCTATGAGCTCATATTTGGTTTGATTCAAACTGGCAATCTCACCAAATATTGCGCAAAGTCCGACGTCAACAACCACAATTCGCCTGCCGAAGCCACTCCCGCTAAGCCCCGCCAGTACGATAGCCCCTACCAGGTATATGATAGTAAACACTACAAACGAACGTTGTGATATAGCCGCAATCAAGGCGTCTGGTGTAAGGGGCGGTGGACCTTCATCAGAGGAAGGCGTAGAAAGAACGACGGTGATCGCTCCTATCATTGCGCACAAGATGCCAGCGAGATCGTGCTGAAAATAACCACATAAACATGGTGATTCGACAGCAGCCCAGGCACAATCTTACCACGCGAAAACGCTCTTTCAAAATGAGTGGAGCGAAGAAGCAGTTGGCAATGAGTGCGAACTGCAATATCAATTAGTAAAGATGGAATCAACTAACAGAATGCACTGACAGTGCCTAGAGGAGCGACCACAGAGGCTGGTGCAAATGCATAGGATATGAAATTGCCCGTTTCTCCAATGTTCATTAAAATGAATCCAGACCACCTGAAACCGTATTCATTATCAGTGGCAGGACCTTCTAGAATTAAAGAACTGACCATATCTTTGAACGTAAGTAGTCACTCTCCGTACCTTCTTCTTCCCAGAGCTCAGGTGAGGGAGGCGCTTGCCTGCCATTGCCGTTCAGTGCAACTATGCGCTCTGCCGGGATCACGTCTACTGGAATCGCCAACGTTTCTTGGGTATGTGATCCATTTTCATTAACGCCATCGTGCTCAGGCTGCCCGAGATGGAATGGAATAAAACGTGATACAAAGCTGGGTTTCCTCAAAGGCTGTCCTGGCCTCCGTCCACGTGCTGAAGAGGTGCTTCTCCTGCTCCTCGAATCATCGCGTCTAGTCCCGGGTGAGGGACTAGTGCCATAACGTGCACGTGAACGACTTGCAGAAGAGCCCTGGATCAGGGGCTGTGTCTCGGACTCATGAGAACAGGCAGAGGGATCGCCAGAAGGCCTCTGATCGTGCGGTGATATGGAACGCAGTGCATCGCCCGATACATGTAATTCGCGTTCCATCCTTGCCTGCTTTTTAGCCTTTTCAAGTCGGATATGTGCAAGTTTTTGTAAATTAAGCGCAAGCGAGATAAGCACGTTCCCCGCAATGGCTACGGTGATGCCGGTGACAGTCTGCAACGTGAGGTGCGGCAGGCCAATACCCGGCTCATCGATGCTGACCGTGTGGTTCCTGCCCTCGGGCCATGATGATACGTCCATGTCCGCAATAAATCAATAATGAACAACAGCCTAAGAGCAGTCTGTGAGCCAGGACGGCATGGTCGACATCCCCTCTAACTGTTAGTGGACTAGCTAATTTGATAAGAACTGAATTACTGACGGAGGAAGGCCACTTGGGGTATCGTTACTCGGCTTACAGGTCGTCTACGACTGCAGACGTCGTGCACAAGCGCTGCAACTAAGTTGGCACGCTCGACTCGGAGTTGTGGTTAGTTGAGGTCATTGACCGTGGGCGGCTAGGACTCGGATAAGTCCTTTTATGATCGCACGTGTTTGGAAGGTCATTCGCACGTTTATTAGTTGCAATGCACACGTCGCGCTTTGAGCCGCAGAGTGCTATTTGCATCAGAGCTACACTAGTGGTCACCCCGTGCTATATCAGCTCAGTTTTACTGTAATACTTCACCCTATATTACGCTCTTTTCAATTAGTCGACACGGCCATACAATGCGCGTACAGCATACCGCCCACTCGCTTCCTGCGTTTCCAGTATATTCATGTGCGTTCGTGGCCTCCGACCAGATGGTCGTCGGAGGCGGAGGTGGCGCTGCCAAGACTGGAATTAAGAACAAATTAGTGAGCAACCGGAGCTATGTTCAAACTTACAGTCTGACATATGTGGGGTAGAGGTTATTCAATGTCTCCCAAGACAGACAGCTCAAAATGCTCTGTGAGCATGAGCTGGAGAAAGGCGAGGACGCCCCTATGAGTATTGCAGCTCACCCAGAGGTCTGTCACGCTACTCTGTTGACGGCGAATTACGTTCTCAAACATTCATAGAGTAGAAGCTTTGTCTGTGGAATCAATAGTTCCCAAGAATGCTTAGAGAAGGGCGAAAATAAGAACTGCAGGGTATTTTCAATTAGTGAATCTGGAAACGGGTACGATCGGTTGCGTTTACGTTTTTCACAATACTGACTATTCCCTATAGCCTAATGAAAGGAGCTACACGAGGTACATTGCCCTCGGGAGCCCTTGAGGACTACCAGGTAGCTCATTCTTTATTGAAATCACTCTATATCTAACACAGACAACGCAGCGCGTAACCGTCATATCACCGGATGGAAAACTCCTGGCAGTAGCCGGCGAACGTGATGTAAAATACAGCACTATCATTGTCTGCGTGGACTAACTCGTGTTGTAGTTGTCTCTTCTCGCATTTCCTTCTCTTTCTCCTGTCGCTCAGTCTGTCAAAGTACCCAAGGGTGAAATTTATGATGTGACATTCTCATCGACACACGTGCGTCCTCACCTGGTTCATCCCATCTCGTGTTCCTCACAACACCTCCTCACAGCTTGTACTAGCCACCAGCCTGAACCTGTTAGTATACGCACTTCCGAAGCCACCTTCGGAAGATAGTGGTGAGAAATCACCAAAGAAGAAAAGGGGAAAACAAAAAGGTAAAGGCAAGGAGAAGGAAATACCTTCTAGGACACCGAGCCAGACTCCTGAATTGCGCCTTGTGGACACGATCGACATTCCTTTGGTTCCTGGTACTCCTGCACAGTCTGTTGTCACATTTCGCGCAGCGCGGTAAGTCAGATAGTATACATTTGCATGTTGTGGGATTATAATAATTTGTTGCAGCTTTCACCCTTCAGACTACAACACATTGTTTACGGCGGTCAATACTGTCGCGCCTCGCGTGAAGAAATCAAAGACGGGCAAAAAGCAGGCTTACATATTGAAATGGAGAGTCGACCTTAATGGAGAGCAGAATTCTGCTCGATCCATATCAATGGAGGGCTCCCGCAAAGCCGGTGAAGGTGGCTTGACGTGTTTTGACGTTAGGTCTGTGGTTATTCGTGTCAAAAGCACAAGTCGTGTCCTTCTCAGACCTTTTCTTTCTTTTCAGCCCCAATGGGAAGTTCCTTGCTTTCGGTTCATCAGACTATTCATTGGGAATGCTGGACAGTACCGCTTTAAGCGTAAGTCGCTCATGAACGCAGAGATCATGCACTCATATCGAAACTTAGCCGCTCTTGTCTATACTCAAAGCCCACGAGTTCCCTATCACTACTGTTCGCTTTAGCCCTACCTCAACGTTACTCGTATCCGGTGGTGCCGACAACTCGATACGGATCGTTACTGTACCAGAGAAGTTTGCTGGCCAATGTAAGTTTTTTCTAATCGAATCTTAGTGGCAGTGAAGTTGACAAGCAATTTACAGCATGGACCATGATCATGTTGATTATTCTGGCCCTTCTTGTCATATTGGTGGCATTTTTGTTGCAAAAGTAGGCGTCATGTCACTATCAGAATATTTATTACAGCGGTTAGTCTACGGACCCCATGTGGGACTTTATCCACAGGCATTTATGGTTCATTATCCCAGCATATATATATTAGAGTAGGCTACAATACATGTTCAAAGCACTTCTCAACCCTCGCAGGAAAACCCATTACGAGTGTTCAAGTCTCTAGTCATAATCATCTTCCTCAACAAGTTTCCGCTTCACACCGTTTATTTGCGTGTCTCCCGTAGTCTGCACCTCCTCCATTGCGTCATCACCTGAATTGTCGTCATCATCATCACCCTCTCCGCCAAATAGACCATCCGCTTCCTCCGCGTCGCTGTTTTCTTCTAGTGCTTCTGCTGCCACGACAGGTAAAGGTGTGCCAGCACCGATGTCAACGTCGGTTGGTGTTATGGGAGCTGCATTGGTGTATGGTATGGCAGCGGGCTCCATATCAGCATCGTCATCATCATCCTGACCGTCCGCTAGCTCCTCGTCATCATCGTCCTCCTCAATCTCTTCGACCTCCTCGTCGTAAAGTTTTGCTTCTGGTGGTGGTTTATTGGGCACGAGATCAAAGTTGACAGCAGTAAGTGTCTCGGATGCAGGCGGGAGCCTGACACCAAAGACTTCTGGCACAGAAGGAAGTGGCGTAGCATTCGTCTGAGATGCTAATGACAAGATATACTGCAGCAAGGCATTTGAGGATGCAAGGCGAATGAAGCGGACAGTATGATCAGCCCACCTCCTTGGGTACACGACCACCGAACTCCCAACCCACGCGGGCTTGTATAGCGAGGACAACATCATCCATCTCTATTTTTGAGGCGCCTGAGCGCCCTGCATGTTCTGCGTATAACTGTGCATCTGACAGTACTTGGGCGGTATATCGGTGGGCGAACTCCAGGAGTTGATGCAAAACGCCTGGTTGGGCATCTTGTACCGTTGGCGTTGACGCGAGGAGAAGAGCGATTGCTCTTGCTGTTGGTGGAAGAGTGTCAGCAGGCTGTTGGGCCGCTGAAGGACGCGCCAGAGACATGATTGATATCAATTGGACTTGACTTGAATAAAGGAGAATGTTGAACCTGATAGTAAGACTGACGGGAATGGTAATTTTGTCTCACAAGTCATCCGATCGCTATATATCCACGCATCATACCCACACGCCCGAAATCCCCGAATTCACCGACCTCAGTGAGGCATTTCTTTATACGAGAGACTACGAAGTTCCTCGCTTAATGAAATACCTCACTGAGGTCTATCAGCTGGTTTGCGTGTGTTTTTCGCCCTCTGCTGTGTCGATTCATGATACAGGACATAACACACGTTACACACACCTGCAGTCGCGGCCCGGGTAGGGACGATATCAATATTTTACGGAAGTAAAGCCGTCGCAGGTGGTTTCTATCTCAGTCTAAGGTTTGGCATTGCCGTCGAGCCCGAAGATTTGGTGACAGGTCAAAAATAAGGACGCCTTCTCTAGGGATATGTCAGTAAGCTGCGGGCCTGCGGGGACCTACGGCTCGCCGCATCCACGTTAAAGCCCTTGGCCAGTTTTGATTCAAACTTAGCGTCGTCTCACTCGTTGTTTCCAAACGGTCGAATTGTATTTAGATTCTAATGTACAGTGTTGAGATGTTACAACATGGTCACGGAGTTTGAAACGCTTTTACCCCCTGACGTGCAAAACACTGACGTTTGACGACGGCACGTCGGCACAAGGACCTGACCTTGCTCATATATTTAGATTTAGAACGATGTTCTAAACGCTGCGGGAAGTCGTCGATTCATCCAAAGGTTTGTAGTGCTCGCTGAGAGACTGTCGCGAAGGAAAACCTAGGCGCGTGATAACTCAGCGCATGGATAACTTTATCAGCGCCAACGGAGCAGCCTCTTGTGCCAACGATCACTCATATATGCATGACATATACGGCGGTTCGGGCCTCGGCGCCCACACAGTTACACAGTGTGACCAAAAAAGTGATCAGATAAGCAAAATCCTTGTCAGATAAAAACTGTGACGTTATTCGAACTCCGAAAACCCTTTCTTAGACGCTCTGAAATTGGATCTTCTCGCACTTCTCTTTCATTATCCACCATGTTCCGCTCAGCACTCACAAAGACTGGACTCAGCTCTGCAATAGCACCAAAGGCTGCAAGAGCTGGTATTGCACCAGTGCTCGCCCGTGGTTACCACGAGAATGTTATTTCGCATTACGAGAGCCCAAGAAATGTAAGGGTCGTATTTTCTACCATTCGGTTGCGACGACTCACTATACTCTCGTCATTCCAGGTAGGCTCTCTACCCAAACACGACGTTGATGTCGGTACTGGGTTGGTTGGAGCACCTGCGTAAGTTCATTCCTTCTCCTCCTGTGTTCACTTTTCAATTCTGACTAAACCTACGGATTAGTTGCGGAGATGTCATGAAGCTCCAAATCCGAGTGGACGAAAGTGGCGTCATTAGTGATGTCAAGTTCAAGACGTTTGGTTGCGGTAGCGCCATTGCTTCGAGTTCATACATGACTGAGCGTGTCAAGGGTCTTACCCTTGACGAGGCAGGGAAAATCAAGAACACTGAAATCGCCAAGGAGTTGTGTCTTCCCCCTGTGAAACTGCATTGCTCAAGTGAGTTTTATGTCACAGTATATTCATGAATACATTTAACACGCGTTGTTTCAGTGTTGGCAGAGGATGCTATTCGTTCCGCTATTCGGGATTATCGGTCAAAGCGGAGTAAGCTGACTGAAGGTCACAAAGCGGGTTTCATCGATGTAACTCAGAGTGTGGTTACCGGGGAGACAGTAGCCACTGCACACCCCGGTATACCTGCATAAATAGACATTTTCTCAGGTCGAGGTTTCTCCATGTGCTCAGGCTGTCTTCGTGCACGTCCCATCATTTTTTCCCACATACATGTTCGCATCAATTCCTGCATTTATGTTCACATATTCTCAAAATGTCCTAGGTTGGATGATTAGTAGTTAGTCTTGTATTACCACGTCGCAATGATAGTTTTAATGCTATGTGTGTTGCCCAGTGCGACCGAAGCTACATAATGTGCTTAAGATAATCGATAAGACGAATGCCCAGCCTTATATCCTGCTGCTGGTGCCTTTCTGTCCCACGAATGAGAAATTCCCAGATGCAAACCAGCGCTCGTTTGCTTCCTTCACTCGCTGAGCAGCAGCAGCCCTATTTGTTAGCTCGAAGCCTATGAAAAGAAGATCAGTGGTGCATTCCACGCCAGCTCCACAAGGGTTCTCACCTTGCACAGGTGTGACCGTAAGCGATGTTGCTGTTCCGGACGTTGACGACCCACCCTGTGCAGCACGCGTAAGTGCTGCAGTACGTAACTTGTTCGCCTTCGAGAGTTTGGCTGCGGAGGTCGACATTCAGGTCTCCACAAACACGAAACGGGAAGTAGGATACTTACCACGACTCTTCGCCTCTCCCATACCAGCCCGGACTTTACCCGTCCCAACACCAATCATTCCCAGACCCTTAGTCTGATCGAAGGCGCCAACCTCCTCCTCAGCCTCACCAAATGCCATCCGGTTCTGCAGCTTCCGGAGTTCCGTTTGTGCATATGCTTCTTTCGCTTTGCGTGCTCTACAAGAATGTCAATGAGAATGATGTCAAATCCCAGGGGCGACTTGCCGCTTGCCACCTCTGCGTTTCTTCGGTCCATCGTTAGGTATGGGAAGTGCCTTTGTGGTTTTAGCAGGTGGTGGAGCTGCCAGCCGATCGATGTGTTTTTCTATTTTTTCTCGAAGCTCTTCCCCATATGAACCTGGGTATACCATCAGCCAAAGTTCGTCAACACCCAAGAACTAAACTTACCGTCTCTTCGTGTCCGTTCAAGGTCCATACGTGCAGCCAGAACGGATTTCGCTCCGACTGTCCGCTGAACCTTGAGTTGGTATTCAGCTGGCGTCTGCTGGATCAAGTCAGACTGGTAGACGAATCCAGTGTGCCGCCGTTGAGTATACGACGAGAAACCTATAGTCATTTTCTTCTGAGCACCCAGCAGCTACACAAAATTTGTGAGACTAATGATGCGGGAGAGTAAGACTGCAGCGTACATGGACATTACATGAGGGCATTTTGGCGAGGGGACCGAGGCCGCCTGCCACACCGAGTAATTTTGCAGCTGTAGTAGTACCAACGATGGCTGAAAGATTTGGTGCCAGAACATTCATTCTTGAGCTGACGTACATGAAAATCTGTTCCCTTTCATTAGCTACCACGTTTATTGCGCAGAAGAGACATTTACGCGCCTTTTTACGCGCCTCCTCAAGTTTGTCTGCGAGGTCACAGGCTTTCTCGACAGCAGCCCACTGAGCGTCAGTGAGTGTTTGACCGCTTGTTGTTGTTGCAGTTATGAGCACACTCATGACCACTGCAGGCGGAAGAACACCTGCAAGGTCAGCTTTTGTGGGGTCCTGCAAGTTGATAGTGAGCAGAGATAGTTTGCGTAGAACCCATTCTTACCTCTGTGTTGGCGAGAACGCGAACCGCGCGAACATATTGTGCAGGGTCTGGAACGAGCTGCTCCAACTCTGGAAACTTCGCCGCATAATGGTCGCGTATGAACTACAGACACGCGTTTAGGGGATGAACATTACTAACCACAAACCATACCTTGTGTACCACGAGAATTTCATTGTCTACATCCACGGATAAATTGTTTGCTTGTACGATGAGAGTGTATTCCGGGTTCAGATGGGCGGGTAATGACATCGCTTCCGGTGTACTGGGATTGGCTTGGTATTTCTCAATTTCCTAAACGCGAAGTCAGCTCAGACCTGGGTCCATTAAAGAGCATCAATGCATGCCTTTAATATGTCTGCCATTCGTTTACTGCCTTCTAGCTTCGCTACAGCGTCGACGTCCTCGATCCCTCCCAAGTCCATTTGCTGTACATCCTCTGCATCAAGTTCGTCTGCGGGCTTCATCCCGCCTTCGAGGACTAGTCCACCGGTTTCGTCTGCTTCGGCTTCTTCGCCCTCGGCGTCTTCCTCTGCCTCTGACATGTCTGCATCCTCGACAGCCTTTCTCTTCAGTCCGTTGGTGCTGTTACTCGTGGAGGGCGCAGCTGGTGTGGGGGACTCCTCAGCATCACCGTCCGACAGATCGTCAATGTCAGCGAGGAGTTCGTCGGCTAGTCCACTCATCAGGAGAACCGTTCAAGGCGAGATTTTAGTACGAGGCGTAAGTTAAGGAGAGAAGGTGCGATGACGTAAGCAAATGAAGGTCAAGTTGTCAATAGGTAGGGGGAAATCGTTAGCTTAATATTGTACTTTGTTACCGAAGGAATATTCTAGGGGGGTATGTAAGTTGAATATATGGTATGTAGGTAGCTGTATAGATTGAGATATACGTATACGTAGATTGTCGACGATTACCTCTTCCAAATCGCTAACGAGTGATTAACAGTTGCTCACTTCTTCATCCGCCTGAAGAGTCTTGAAGCCTCATTCCACCTCTCTGCATACTCCCGTTGATCATCTAGTGCATGAATCCACGAATAAAGTACTTGAGCTGTACGCGGTAGGACACAAGACAAGAATGCAGCCACTTTTGCCGCATCGTGAATTTTCGAATAAGTTACATCGAAAACAGAAAGGTACCGGTGGGTAGCGTCTCCGACCCAGTAGTGCCATTGATCGTCTTGTTCTTCAACAAAGGAGAAGTCGATTTCAAGCGTAAGTTCCATCAAGTTGGGACAATGCTTGAGGAAGCACATGAGTCCGATTGGGGATATCGACGACGGAAAAGGAGTTTCCAGAAATTTGTTTAGCATGAGTTGGATGATATTTGGCCATGCCTGTGCCAATTCTAAGGCGGCAACATCGTCCAAAGAGATCCCACACCCTACATCAAGATGTACGTGTGTTAATCGGTTGAATGACAGAAGCGGGTGGAGATCGTCCAGGTTTAGGACAGAGGGCGAGTCATGTGGACGTTCTGCAACCATAATTTGGAGGTGACGAAGCGAGCAGTGGCTGACGGAAGTGGAGAGGCGACGAAATAATTGTGCCAAGGCGGATGCTCCTGTATGGTCATCGCTGAAGATCGAGAGGTTTATAAGTTTGTTCCGCATTCTGCTCACGAAGTCGACAGCAGATGTGATATCTTGCGCATGCACGTCAAGTACTTGAAGTTGCTCAAATAAAAGCTCGTTCTGGAATCCAGAATTTGGTTGGAGAGCAAATTTAAGCTCTAGTAGAGACGGGAGACGTGACAAATGATCCATAACCTCGCCATCGAGGACTCCACAGTGGATTGTAGTGAGATGATGCAGGTGGCAAAGAGTTTGAGAAACGGAGTAACGAAGATGACTTGATAGGGCCACTGAATGCACGACCAATTTTCGCAAAGAAGGGCACGTAGGAGCAACCGAGGAGATGAACTGTTGCAGGTCAGGAACTGGTGAGATGGCCCAGACCTCGAGGATTAGAGACGTGAGGGACTTGGTCATGATTCGACGTATCAGCCTCAAGTCTCTCTCGTCATAAATAATCCACTCGAGGGATGTGAGATTTGGCAGCAGGGGCTGGGTGGGATCCATGGAGGCGAGACAAGCGAGTAATTCATCGTCAATGTCAACCATCAATGTTTTTCCGCGGCGGACGTCCTGGGTGGCAAGACTGAGGTGACGGATGCGTAAAGCATACCTGCGGAAGATATTCCAGTCATCTTTGGTCAAGTGCCTATGGAGTTTCTGACAAATTTCACGAGTAATTAAACGATGTCCATGTCAGCAATTGAAACAGAGCAGACAGATATCCTCTTACTAAACAAATACAGCCTGACTGAGACTTGTTCATGTCTCCGCCCCATAAATCATGAGGCATGCACTGAATCGCTCTCGCGATAGTGCCAAATTGTTGCCAGAGGACATCCAAAGCTATATCATGAAAAGCATTACAAGTCCTTGCGAGAGCAGCAAGAGTAGCTTGAGCGGTGTGTTTTTCGTGGCTCGTGTCAAGCACAAAAATCCAGTAAAAAACGGATAACTGTATCTCCGAAATAAAAAGACAGTGAGCCATAAGCCAGAGAACTAATTTTCCCAACCTGTACTTACGGCGTACGCGTAGGATTGATATTGCTTTTAGTGCATTCCGTATTCGGTAATTATAACAAGGGTGGTCCGTGCACAGAAGGCCAAAGGTATATAAGGCTGCTGTTGACAGTGTAACAACTCATACTTACCTTGATGGCATAGGCTCCTTCATGTACCCGGGTTTGTGGGCCGTGGGGACCCTTCATAGCACGGCGACCTTGTCCATACAGAGGGTAATCATGGTTTGTATGAGCTCCGGCTCATGCACCGTCTCAATATTTTCCAGTCCTGCTATGGCCACTCTGGCTAAGCAGGCCATCTTTTTTTTCGACTTTTATAGGTCCTAACCCTAACCCTAATATATTACATATATAGTAATATACTTTGTCATCTCAGTTGAATTCTTAACCGCTCGAGTACCAGCAAGTGATGCCAGATGACCTCATACAATCCTGAGCCCCAGACACTGAGCTCACATGCGCCAGATTCACCGCGCTCTTCCCAATCGCCCCCACCTTCTGGTGTCCAGGGTGATTTGGAATTAGAACTTCTCGGGCTCGCAAATGCTTTATACAACCTCGGAACCACTGTCATCAACGACTCTACTAAAGATCGCGATAGACCAGGTGGTGCGAAGCTGGTCGGCCTTGGGGCGTGCGTTCTCTTTGTTGTTTCAGTCGTCTATGATCCTAAAGATCCCAACGCTCAGAAATGAGGTCGTCAATCACCTCATGTCCATCGATAACAGAGCACAAGATATTCAGACCATGATACCTTTTCAAGTTTTGTCTGATATCGACAACGCACGCAACCCCATGCAGTTGACCAAAGAGCGTCTAGAACGAGCAGCTACTGAGAATCAATTCATGAACGGAAAGATAGCAGCTATTGACGTAAGGACCTCCCTCTTTTTACTCCACCCTCGTTGATGCACACTTCTCTTGTAGTCCTACCGCAAGCTTCTGAACGAGGCGTTAGCATCGAACTTCCCAGAGACAGCCAAATATCTCCATCCTAATCAGGATGGCATCAAGATGGAGTTATAGGCCCAGCCCTGTCCCCTACAATCTCGCCATTGTCGCATAACTACATCTCTTCAATGACTCAATGTCACTTACATAAAGAGGGGCGCGCGCTCGGATCAATTTCCCAACTATCCTCTCGTAGACAGACGAAATTGGTTGAAGACGGGGAACATGTCATTCCCTCTCGTTACCCCTTATCATTTTCGGAACAATTCGCAACAATCGGCCTGATTAAAACAAAAGAGCTAAATTTCTCATCGAGGGATGCTCCCGATGGCAATATTTTTTGACCATGCGAAAATAATGCGGGCCCATTCGGGTCACCTACAATACAACGCCGCGCAGAGCATGCCCAGGCGGATCTGCGGCTCTGGTCATCTTTGTGCCAGCGAGATGCTTTACCTATTATGGCCCCTCAAAAGCACCTTAAACTACACTAGTATGCAGCTGCCTCGGACTTCTTTGCTACCGCCGTGGCTTCTCAGTTCCTGCCCTTCCTGGATCATTGGGGCTTTGTGGCGTACCAATATACTCAGCGATGGTCTCTCACCGCCACAATCCATACATCGTCGGATTGTCGCGAAGCGGCCACCTGTTAATAGTATTCAGATCTGATGAGAGACATGTGGGCGGGTGCTAATGCTTAATCACAGTACAGACACAGTGGTATTGCCATAAGCGTAAGTCTCGAGAGTAGGAAATGTTCATTCCGCTCTAACGGCACTCATGTTTCAGGTATTATCTCTTATCTCACGTCCACATTTGTATCCCGCAGTCGCTCGGAGGTGCATTTTACGATGGAATTGTTGGGCCGAAAACGCGAGATCCTCCTTTATCATCGCAATGGTTGTCTCCGAATGTCGCCAATGTACTTGTTTGAAGAGCGCTCCTGACATGGATACATCATTGGCATTGTTAGTCATGAGAATCTTAGTGCGGCTGATGAGGGCTGATAGCCTGAGTATACTGGTTAATGCGGCGGCAACGACTACAAGCACCGGAAAATCAACAAGTCTTTTTACAGCCGTATCTTTTCCGACGAGTCTTCTCACTGTCTATTTTAACAGCGAGAAAAAGTATCCTGCTGCAGCGTCAAATACAAAAACGGTTCAAATCTTGTCTTTGTGAAGAAACGTTTCGGAGACAGTGAGCGGTTGGTTAATGTCGGCCTTCCGCACTTCCACCCGCTCGACCGTCTGTAAAGTGAAAAGTGGTGGCATTGACCCTCGTGATCACTCCTCGGGCCTCCTTATTCTCGCTACTACGGCGCGTGAATTCATCTTCCATTACTTGGGATTTGCACGAAACCATATTGGAGCTAGTGCCTGTGCTGCATCACTAGGCAGCAAAGTGGACCCAACCATATCTGAAGCGGGTAATATACGAAGAGGACATTGGCATGTAATATCAAACTCACGGAAGGGACCCCGAAAACCTGTATCTTTACATCTGAACCGGTTCGATTATTTGTGGAGGCGCCCATTTTGATTTCGAACAAAAAAAAGTGGAAGCCGCATCGCCACTAGCACGCCTATCGCCCCTCAGATCCTCCGTGCTTCGATCTTGGCCCTGTATCACCGCACGATAGGACTCGGTAAGAAGCATGGGCATGTACGCCCGCCCATCCTGGCGCCCGGAGGTCACTCGACTACCAGACAGTAGTTGACTATCGTCGGCACGTTTGGCGATTTACAAATGTGGTTGCGTTGCTCATACGTTAACGTAAGGAACTCAACCTTACTCTTGTGCTGAAGTGAGAGCCTGTGATGGCCGCCGGAATTAAGCCCACTGAAGTACTATTTAATTTTGTTTTTATATTACGGATAGAAATGAGCCCACACCCACCCACAGTGACAATGAGCTATCTTGCAACGTGCAAAAAAGGACATGAACTCTGACCGCAACATGTCATGATGGTGGTCGAGGGAGATATCCCAGATAACGATATGATACCTGATCAGATCGATAGCACATCATACATATTCCCACTCGATCAGGGATGTGAGAACGAGTTGCATGAGTAGTCGACCAAAATATCGATTTCAAAGACACTTGAATGTATGTGCCGGACTGCTGGCTACTCGCATCAACTGTTATTAGTGTCTCGCACGAGAAATGTTCTGATGTTACGCGAGATACATGTGTTGTCGACGTAAGACGGTCCGTGAAATGGCCGGATGAGATCTATGATATAGGGGTAAGCAGATGTGACCCTACTGGCCATGGTAATAGCATCAAGTGAACACCAGATTGATGGTCGCCCCAAGTCTACAATGAGGTGCTTAGTAAATACACCCGAAGTTTAATGAAACACTAGAACGATAAGTTTCGGAGCGCTTGCGTCAATTGGAGAAGTATGACCTTCTAGAACCTACCCCATATCCAAATTATCACCTAACCAAACACACCGAGAGTTCATCACTGGACCCGATAGATGGTCAGAAAGAGGGTTCTCTCACGGATGTACGTACTACTCCAGGTAACCAATTGCAAGCTTGCCAAGATGCGAGTCACATCAAGTTTTAGCTAACATGAATAGAAGTCACATTCACCGAAACAACGCACAGGTAGCCGCATCCTGTTGGATCTCGCGAAAAACTTTTGATCGTCACTCATTCAAATCGCGGTGCATCGTCATTCGAGTCCGCGGTATCTATTGTACCTGACTGCAGGTCAAATGCTTGAACTTAATAGTAGGCAAGTTCAACACGAGGCGATGGGTCTAATCATGAATGCGATCTCCGGTGCCGCTCGATTATCCAAATCAACGTACAGAGGTAAGAAGCGCGCGGCCTGACAACGTGCCCCATGATGATGCTATCAAAGGCGTGTCTATGACGGCCCGTTCCTCGGACACTAGGAGAACAGCTGGTAAAACACGCTGGTACGACCAACTGTTGTGCCCCGTGTGAGATAAGATATGGGCGGGAACAGCCGATACGGCCCAAGGTTTGTTGTCCACCGATCTGAAGATTGAATGATACTTTTGAACGACTTTCGAATTTGGACTAGTGCAACGGGCTCATTTCCACCAATCACAGGGCGCTTCAGCGGTCACAAATGGTTCAAGTCGTCAACGTAAAACTCAGCTTGACCAGATCAAGCTGATAGCCAAAGCAGCGTCCTTGACGTGAACGTGGGAAGCCGCCGGAGAATGGCCTTCAGGTAAGAGAGCGTGACAAACTTATCTGCAAAGTCACCTATAAGCTCTGGTGACGATGATCCTGAGCTTCTTTCTCGGCATCAGAATTTTTTCCAATGGACATATCTGATTTCTTGACGTCACGGATATCAATCAGGTTTACCATTGAGTGAGGGCATAAGAACTTATGGGTCGATTAACATGCAGAGAATTAGATGCTAGACAAATGCAGGGTTGGCAGCAAAGTTTTTGCAAATCTGGAGCAGTTCCGTGACGCGATTGCGTAGTTGAGTGTAGTAAATTATGCAATTTTGCGACATATCGTGGTTTTAGTGCAAGTGATTACGGGGTATCGAATGTGCGAGAATTAAGCGACCCAGAACCAAGGGCTTCGAACGGAGGTCACGGCAGCCCGGAGATATCACGAGGCTCGTACCGCGATGGCAGTACATGTACAGAATAATGAATCCTACGATTGTTATCGGCCATGTGTTAGCGGATCAAAGGTTCACTACAAATGCTAAAGATATACTCACGTTGAAAAAGAGTTCGTTCAAGCAGACATCCCCGTCTTCCCAGTGAGACACCAAATGGGACCTACAAGTAGTGATCAACGATAATCGATTTATAGATCGCGATAATTTCTACCGGCCACCTTGCCCCAAATTCTCCGTGATCTGGACCAAGACCATATACTTACTGTGTCAAGTATATAATACAGGGTCACGAGATGAGTTCGATGTGAGCGACCAGTCATTGCACGTACAATCCATGTGGCTGAATTTCCACCATCCGCTCTTTGACGCGTTCTCCTATCTCCTTCATCCAAGCTTTTACTTGATCACGCTCAATATGTGGCCACACAGCATGCGAAAGCGTTGCTGGCAAGAGTTTCTTCACGTATGCTCGTAACACCTCCGTATCGAATGCGGATCTAGGTGCTTGAGGAGATACTGCACCAGATCGCGAAACAGGGGAACGGAGTCCTAGGGTTGTTGCCATCCTTCCTCCAACGAGAGGGAAATGAGGAGCAATTTTTAAAAGCAGTTAAGCTTGAATCAGAGACTCCAATTGTCAAAGCAAGGCTCGGATGAAGGCATTTGCATTTGTTTGGTTTTATGTTCGCCCGGTCCGCTTTCGTGAGAAGTTTGACATTACGAGGCTCACACTTACAAGCTTCCTGTGCGTTGTCCAAGGTCCTAATCTTTGTCCTAGCCACCCGTAGTCTCACTCTGATTGAAATTGAGCTTTCCAAAACTCACAAATGTCTTCAATATCGTTCCCGCACTCAGGCGACGAAATGGGCTCATCTTCCAGTTCACTACACGACCCGATGCAGGCGCCATTCTACACGCCCCCTGCGTTCGACATGTCGAGTTCCTTTCAAATGAATCCTCTTTCTGCGCACCCGCCTCGTACGCCACGCTCGAGTACTGCTACACAGTCGCACTTTAGGAATATGAGCATGAGTATTAGCGTGTACGACGAAAAGGCGGAGGATGAACAGGACGGAGAGACGGTTACAGCAGATAAGGCAGAGGTAGATGAAGATGAAGTCGTGGAGCTAGACGAGGAGGATGTACGTGTCAAAGAGGCTGAAAAGTTGGTTGGGATACATGAGGTATGGCGAGATATGCTTGTTACAAGTAATGGACGGGACAAAGCATTTGTGAGTGACTATGACATACCTGCTGAACAAGTGATAGAATTTATCTCTGGAGTAGAAATTAATGCAATACTCTATGAATGTGTATCTGCTCTTCCACAGCAAGATTTTATTTCGTAGCGGAAAGTCTGCTTGGCAACGGGAAATTGTACGAAGGCTTATGGCTGCAAAAAATGGATTCTCTTTCACGAGGTGGATATCCTTTCTACTTTGACATCGTTGTTGACAACTGACGGTACACGCAGAAAAATGCTTATCATGTTCAACTGGTTAGCCCCCCTGGGTCAGGTATTAGCCCAACAATCTGTGCCCTTCTCGTCTTCCGGATCCTCCCTCGCGGCTCACAGCTTCACAGTTACCTCCGCGTCATCCTCCAAATATTCGCAATTATCGGGGGGTCCCTTCCTTTCGCATCCGGTCCTCCGAGCTTTGCTGTCGGCTCCGCCCCCTGTTCTCCTTGAGCTTGTAAATGGCTTGTCGGATGATATATACTCGCTTTCCCGACTCGGTCTAATTGGTCCTAAGCTGGGAGGACGCGCGGCTCGGTTTGCTGATTGGTGTTGGTTCTTTACCACATTAGTCGGTCTGGTGGAGAATGGAGTCGAATTGGGAGTCATTGAGGGCCTTCAACGAGAAGGTGAAAGAACCAAATTTTTACTGTTTCAAGTCCTGTTGCTCATTTTTTCTAGTTCAATCAAGGGCATACAAAGAGTCGCTCTCAGGGGCTACTTCTAAGTCGCAACCGAAAGCGTCAAAAATTGATGAACGTGAGCTAACACGCTTACAAAAGAGGAGCTACTGGCTTCAGGCCTCAAGGGCAAAACTTGTCATGGATCTCATTTTCGTCTGTAAGTAATTTTGATTGCACAGGTATTTCTCCCTTGATTGATGTCTTTGTGTTGCAGCATGGGATATCTTCAGGATCAAAGGGTGGAAGGATACTATCCAGTCTCTCACTGGCTTTGCAGCCGCGGTCCTCAGGTAACATCCCTATCATCATGTGCCGTTCATACTCCTAATCGGCGTTTGGTAGCTCCGCAAAGTTATACGACAAGTATAGAACTGCGCTTGTCAACAAGGCCCTGACTAGTTGAACATTATGGCACTAGCTATTCGTGACCCGAATGAAGAAGAGGTGATCGAAGCTGGTTAAATTTCGCTTTTTGCCGTACGCAAACGCAAGCGTTGACATGCTTCCAGCGTTCGACAGTTCCTCGTGTGCTTCATCTATGTTATCATGCATCTTTTTGTTACTACCCATCACCTCGCATCGCATTCGCATTTTTGTTTGTTCTTCAATACCCTTGCTGATATAATAATGTTTGATTTTGCCTTGGTCGTGGATTTATTTATTGTAGATAAACTGATGGCTAGTGAATTTCACTGCGAATCCTAGATGATGGCTTCAACCGATGATTACATGTATTGCTATACGGAAATCACCACGGCCACCACTTAGAGGCAGGGTTGAGTGATGATGAGACTGCCAACGGTTGCAGGGCCCGTTCCTCCTGTAACCTATCCACCTCTTCTTCGAGTTGACGGACTTGGTCTCGTACTTCATCTAGAAATTTCTCGTGATCCAGTTGGCTCTGTAATAACTGCAACCCCTGATCGGGTCAAAGCACAAAATCAGCAAGCATATTGACACGTTGATTCAGATCATGACGCGAGGGAAAGCAGTGAAGAATGCCAGTGACCCACGATGCGAGAACGACACTACTTACCAAGTACACAGCGGAACCCAAAAGAGCTACCGGGATCATGCCCGGCAGCATGGATGCATACCATTCAGAATGTGCGGACCGTGGTCCCGTGGTTGACGAGTATCCACGGGTCCGCTGCTGGGGAACACGTAGAGAACGCGTTCGAACGAGACGCATTAAGGGCGCCATATGATGTTTTTACAAATCGGAAGGCCTTCCGAGAGTTGACTCCAATGGACGTGCAAATAGGTCAGAAAGTATGGGTGAAGGTTTACTTGCCCGCGGTGTTTGGGTGCAAGGCACTTGTGTGCGGAGAAGTCGTTCACTAGCCTGGCGAACGGCGTTTTCAAATGAACAAAGTTCAATATTCAAACCAACGTGGGACTAGTGCCGATGTGATATGGTGCAGAATGACTCCGCTCGAGTCAGAGGACATGGGATTTCAAAAAATAAAAAGAGCGCACGAGATGGGATTTGCTTGGACTTTGTTTCCGAGATCCGGGGCAGTAATTCTAAAGTCTTCAAAGTTGCAACCCCAGTTGCTAGTGAATTTGCCGACGTGTGAGATGGACGAAGCTGAAGTCTCCGTCTCTTGATTACATAAGCAACTTGATCATCGACTTGGATCACGGTTTACTTGGTATCTTGTGCCTATCTTCTGAAGAAAATACGCGCAACAGATAATGAAGCTCTTCTAGTACAAGCATGTCCACTTCTCTTGCTCCCAAGCTAATTCACTCCCACAGGATAAACCAACAACTACTACATATCTCAAATGTGCTGTAGAGCTTTCCGAGCCCCTCCGACTCCTGGGACGATATCTGTATGAATATCTCGCGAGCGCACCCGAAGTCGCTGAGCCCAGTCCCCGCATTATGTACAAAGAAGACTAGTACTAGGCCATCCTTCTATTTGGTTTGAACTTTGCCTCTCGGGAAGGTTAGGCTTAGCGTTGTTCAGGACCCGATGGAATACGTTCTCGACCCGACTCGGCATTCAATGCTGTACCAAGATGAAAAGATAAATTAATCTGCAATCTATGCTACATCCAAGCTAGTCCAACGTTTTAAAGTTGCTCTCTCGCACACCATTAACATTCGCGACTAGAAACTCATATGCGAATGCCGAAGTTACGGCATACGGGGACTTCCTTGGAGGGGGAATGAAGAGCGCGTCTCACTCAGGTCCCGCTGCTTCAAATTCTTTTTTTCATAACCTTGAACCGATCAAATCATCTTAGGCGATGGTGACAAAAACATTAATATTTCTGTTCGCGTTGCACACCCCAGGGCCCAGGTCCAACAGGCCCAGGGAGATGACATCTATTTATGCCAACGTTCTTTGTCTCACCCTCTTGACCCGTTCTCGCAAGTCATCACTCTCCCCAAACCAGCACAGCATAATTTCTGATTTTTGCTCGCCATTGCGTCAGCTTGCTCAACAGTTATTTTTGACCGACGGCACACAGGCTTGTAATGTGTACTCTCGGTTCCTTGCTTCTCGCTTTCCATCGTATGTTCCCATGGGGTGATATGTATTAGCAAACAGGGGCGAAACCCACCCTGTCCATATCTCCGCCCAACATCAGGCCACTTTTCTGAAACAGACGCTGGACTCATCGATGCCAGAGCGAATTGGAAATACATAGATTGCCAATTACTGGTCAAGTCAGTTGACTCGGAGTGCAGCCTTCCGATGAATTGCACGTGTCACGGTACACAACGTGGCAAGAAATGCTTCGTGTCCTATTAGTACCCCCCGCATTAATCCGTATGGGCCGTTAAATCTGTTGAGCATTATAAAATTATCAATGTCACTATAAGTATCTCATTTCCTCGACGACAATCCGCAGCTCCACGTAGCATGTGCCGCGAACTCGCTGAACCAGTCGTAACGATCCCATATAAAAGTGGCGTGAGACACTACCGAGATAAGTCACCTGCGAGCAATATCTTCATAGTTAGCATGCTTGCTCGTTAAAAATATTCCATCGCGCTGTAACCTGTCGTTCCTTCTCTCTGCTCTCCTTCTATCAAGCCATCCTGACTACTATTCACTGTGTGCGCTAAGCAGCGCGACTGCCATTCGGGCGTCTTGCAACCAGAATACATAAGCGCCTAGTAGTTGTTGATCTAGACCTGTTCAGACCTGCCAAGTTATCATGGCCCTGCAGTTGAACGTTGATTCACCGGTACTCAGTGAAAAATCAGGCTCAGGTCCGCTTTCAAACGATATACCTCTCAACTGTCGTTCTTCCCCGCATCGAAACTCGCGTCCATCCCACCATCTTATTCCAATGCGTACTTCTTCGTCTCTTTCTTCTTCGTCGCTTTCGTCATCACAAACCCTACCACAATCGCAACGATATGTCCGTCCGCGCGGGCTGCGGATATGGAACCTTTTCAAACAATGGCTGCCTATCTTGGCGTACGGTGCAACTAGCCTTGGTTTTATCTTAGCTATCGCATTCTGGAAGACTGAGGTTCTTGACGGTAAGTCATCGGTTCCTGTCAGTCTGCTTTCGTGACCCGGTGCCCTAGTGGCCCACTGCTGCAGACTAGTGCAGTTATATCTCTATTCCTCGTTTGCGCAGTCGTGACAGCGTTACATTTCGCATGTTATTTTGCACTGCTTACAATGTTTTATTTCCAACAGGTCTTGACCACCTCTCACACTGGCTGCGAAACGACCAGTATTTCGGCTATGCAGTATTGTTTTGTCTGATTTTCATCACTACATTCCGTATGTTCCGTTCTTAATTTATCATTGGTCAACAATTCACGCATGTGCGTTGATGTTTCTCACGTTTCAATAGCTCCTCTCCCACTATATTCCACACTGATCACATTATCGGGATATACGTTTGGGCCGTGGATCGGCGCTGCTATCTCATATTGTGCTGCGCTCTCTGGTGCTGTTGTTGTGTTCTGGCTATCACGGACGTTCTTGCGCGAGCCAATTGGTCGTTGGCTTTCCTCGACGCGTGCTTTATCCCGCGCAGTCCGAGCCGTCGAACGCAAACCACAGCTATTGTTCCTCGTCAGACTTGCACCATACCCGTATAATGTGCTCAACGCACTTCTTGCGGCCACCCCATCACTCACCATGCGGACCTATGTGATTTGCACGGCTTTGTCCCTTTTCAAAGTCATCATTCATACCAGCGTCGGTGCAGGAATCCGCTCGTTTAGCGCCAAGAAAGAACCCGATGTTCAGGAGGAAGAGGATGATACCTGGGGCAGAGTCTGGACTATCGGCGGGATCCTTTTGTGCATTGCACTTTTCATATACCTCAGTTTGGTAGCGCGCCGAGCAGTGGACGATGAACTCGATGATGATATTCCTGGAAGTGCGTCGGAAGAAAGAGTGGCATTCTTAGATGCAGAGTCGCACGTAGAGGATGACGATGTTGGATCTCGAGGACTACCCCTGACTTTACAGTCACAGAACAACATGAGAGAGGCACAGCTCGTTTCTCCACACCACGTTGTGTCTGGTCTTGCTGCAGCCTAGTCGCTGCCTTTTCCCTTTTAAATGGACTCTAGACTTGTATATTATTACCCAAGGATATCATATAAGTTGATTAAAACCAAAACTTGTATGTTATGTATGTATTTTTTTTTGAAACAGATTGTACTTTTTACTACTTTGGATACTTAGCCTATCTCCGTCGTGCCATATGTCGTTTTTTTTGCAAGTCACGCTCGCAGCACCAATGAAAATCGCGTGCGGTATCTTGTCTGACACCGCCAATGGGCGAAACAGAGTTCATAAGAGGCCTAATGTCGATCTACACAGGTCTCATAGTAGTTGTCTTAACGAGACCATACTGTGATAAATAGCATGATCCTGCCCCTGACCTGACGCCCACCCTGCAGCAAATGCCGTGCGCCACTAAAAATGCCATTGATCCAAGCTGTGCAAATGCCAGCCCTTGTACACAGGGTCGCCCCTCTTTCCTGTTGGTACGATCATTTATGAATGACTCCACGATACAATCACGGAAAATCCACAAAGAATATGAAAACTCAAGGCAATGAAAACACTGCGGCAGTGTGAAAGATTGGTCTGGGTCCAGCCGCCTGCCACTGCCAGTGCCCCCCCTTCGGGCAATATCACCTGTCGCGCAAACATCCGAAGGCCGGCAGCAAGTTGAAGTTGACGCATTACGTTACCCGATCAGAATTCTGTGCATTCTCTCTGATCAGATCACGCCTAACAGTTATTTGACGAGATCAACAAGTCGCTTCCCGATTTGGTACATACTTATGCGGTCGCCGTTTTTGTTATCGTGAAATATTTGTTGGCCGGCGGGAAATTCGTGGAAAATCGGTGGAACATGATTGGGAGTTTTGATAGCGGGGAGATTGAAGGAGGAGGGGATGGAGGGAGTTTTGCGTTTGCAAATTCGCCAAGTGCACGGTCGATACGGCAAGGTGTGGCATGGCCATCAATTCAACCATGGCATGTTGATTAAGCGGATGACCTGTCCATCATTCAAACATTGGACAAGCAAAATGTATTGCAGATACTATCGAGAAAAACACAGCCGGGATATCAATGAACGGGGGTAACTGTATACGGGGTAACCGTATGCACACGAGAGCCAAAGCGAGAGGTATCAAAGTGGGAGTGATGATGGGGTGTGGTACTACAAATGAGGAGCAACAAAGTATACACGCTGGAACTAGATGAGAGAGCACATGCAAACGCAGCCAATCGTTTTGTAAGGTTCATGAAAAAGATCTTCCAATTTCGTATAGCTTCCTAGAAGAAGCGGGTAAAGTGAGGTGAGGAAAGGAAAGTGGGATCGTGAGGGCAAACGCAAACACAAAACGGCCAGAGTAGTCCAAAAGTCAAAGATCAGATATCAAGGAAGGAGAGTTGAATTAAAAGGCAATCCGAGCAACAAGTCTATTTTCTCCACGAGAACGTTGCGTCTAAAGCTGGTTCACGGTTTTGGTATATTGCGGAGGAAGGTGCTCGTTCATAGCGACAAAGCCAAAATCAGGCGAGACTGGACCCATTCAAGAGACTGACAGTCAGTAAGCCAGGCCGTGAGACATCGGAGGGCGCAAGGGGTAGTCGCGCGACTCACAACGGTTAATGTCCGCTTCCCCTGCGCCATATCCGTCACCGAGTGGTGGCGTGTTCGCCTGAGACGACGAAGTGTGAGAAGCAGCACTGATCGACGATGCGCTTGTGGAGGGGCGCTGTCCAGCCTGATGGTGACCCCAACCACTTCGTCCGTCCATCGAATCGATGGATGCACCACCAACAGCAGAGTATGCAAACTCAGCTTGACCGGCAGGGAAACCATACGAGTCCACAGACGGCAACTGGATCATGCTGCGCACTCGTGGCATGTTTCCATCGTCAGCCGGATTAGGTGACGACGAAGGTCTCTCGTTGGAAGGATGCTCATACGGAGACGGGTATGGACTCATAGCCTGACTGTGGCGACGGGGACGACGAATGCTGAGGGACGATGGGCCATACTGCTTCGAGGATGATGGTGGGCGAGACAATGATGGCGAAATGGGGCGGTGGTGACTCGACCCGGGACGCGAGTAATCGGCTTGATGGTAAGTGTGGTGCGATGGTGATTCCTCATACGGCAGAGATGACACTGATGAAATGGAGTATCCCGTGGTTGGGCGGCTATCCGGAGATAGCGAGGGCGGGCTATTGTCACTCTGCATCGAAACACCCGAATAGGTGGATGAGTAAGAGGTGTTGATGGTCGGCGTTGGGCGAGGACCATAACCATTGTTGTTCGGTGGGTTCAACAAGGAAGACAAGCTGCCCGAATGGTTGGAAGTCGTGCTGTTTGGAGAATACTGCCAGTTCTGGTCAGTATAGGAATACTGCGAGGGAGGGACAAGCATGTCCCTGTTGCTAGTATGCTGAGGGTGATGATAACCACTTCCTGGACCCATTGCGCTGAACTGAGCGGTGGGAGATTCCTCTGCGGGAGAGATGGGCTGCAAGTGAGACTGATTGTACAAGTTATGATGAATGGGCTCAGAAGGGACAGTAAGGGGAGGTAGGTTACGAGCGTGGGAGTAAGTCGTGCTCCAACCTGGACTGCTCTGATTCAAAGGAGTGAGGGAGCCTGGTGCAGAAAAGCCACGAGCGCGACCACCGCCATTAGGCATTGTGCCCTTTGGACCAACAGACGAAGGGACGGTGAGAGGAACTGGACCCATACCGATGGCGGAACGGGGAGGGGGTATTGATGGGGGCTCCTGTGTATCACGCTTCCTTGGCTTTGGAAGACGTGGGGGGACGCGGCGTTTGAAATTAGCCACAACCTCAGGGGGGGAGTGGCGGTTGAGGGTGGGATGGGCTGCGGTACCGTATTGTTAGTAAAAAGAAGAGGTTTGAAGTGGCACTGACGCGGACTTACACCATGTGCTTGCGTCTGGATCATCAATAGCAGGGTCGACGTTGCGCAGGTTCACTTTACGCATGAAGCCATAGATCTAATGGACGAAGTCAAGTCAGTTACAGATTCATTTCAGTTAAGGGTTAAGTGGGCTTTGCGTCGACAGAGAAGGATGGAAGCACATCAGACACATACATTTAGTTGCCGGGAGAAGCTTGCAAATCTCGATTGACGGTAAATGCTTGGGAGGACATGTAGAGCCAACTGCTCTGGTCTCTCTACGATGATATGTTCTCCTGCAGGATCCCAACGAATCATATGATGGTTTTCTGGACGTTCAAGGAGACTATAACGCGTTAATGGATAAAATTGTAGATGTAAACGCGAACTTACGCGTATAGTTTTGTTAAGAACGTAGCCTGAGGCTTTGCCTCTGACTTTGGAGGAGGGGGTTGCTGCTGCTCATGAACTTTGAGAGAAGTAGGAGGACTATCCTCTGTCGGAGAGCCATTGCTAGAACTAGAATGAGAAGCTGATGGCTGCTGCGGGTAAGTAGGACCAGTTGTATTAATCTGAGGAGGATAGTCGGTCGGACGAGACCATTGTTGAGCTCGTTGATATTGAGAAGTGTACAGGTCCTGCATGTTGTCGTTGTTCGTAAAGTGAAAAGGAAAGGAGGAATTGAAGAAGTGCGAACTATGTAGCTGTTGTCTAAAAAGAACCAAAAATGAAAAGTAGTAAGTAGTCTCGTCGATCGAGACCTTTTTGATATTTTATAAAGGTAGCTAAGTATAAAACTAGTTCAACGGTGGAGAATAAATCATCAACCGAATTCGTCAACACCGAAATTAGGTTACGAATAAATTTACGTCAACATTCCATATCCATTTTTTGTTACCGCTTTTTCCTTTTTAAATAAAACGTAATCAAGGGTGCCGCGGCCGGGTTCGGAAATCACCTTCGGTAAATACATTATAAACAATACAAAACAACTATAACATCTAAATTTGGTTGTTATTCCACTTCCTCGGCGCCGAGGCTATCCTCGTAAGGAATAATCCGTACCAAATTTCCATGTGACAATTTCGAGTTGCCGCGCCAGATCTGAATCTATTGTTTTCCATGTTTTATTTCTTTTCAGCGGCACTTCAGGCCTCAAGTACTCCATCCTGTAAAACTTATAGATACACGTGTAATGAAACTATGATATGAAATACATTTAACAATTTTTAATAAATGATCCCCTTCACGGCCGCCACTTGTTCGCTTACCTCTCATTGGTTCACTTGGCTCACTTTAGCGCTAGCTGGGGTCCTAATTAATTACTCAATTTAGTAAGCCGCCCCATAAATTGGTTCAACTTAACCGAATTAAGACTTACCGCAACCAAACCTCCAATCTTCTCACTCTGCTTCTCCTCCTCAGCGATCCGCCCGACCTTTAAAGAACCACTCCCCGCGCCCTCTATCTCCTGTCCCTGCTTACATATACCACTCACTATCACTGTCTCTTCCCATACCCATACTAGATATTACCTTTTCCTTGCGGTACTCGACTACATTGTAAATTCGGTCTCAATCGGATCATCATCGACACTAAACCAAACGCACATGCTCAGCATTATAGTCAAATCCCATGGAGAAACTCTCACTTCATCGGCTGATCCCCGAGTCATTTTTCACATACGCTAGCTAGTACTTATCCGATGCCCTACTCGTCCCCCATTTTCAAAATCAGCAATCGTCAGCGGCTCTACTGCGTCATGATCAACTAACTGATTAGAATAGATCGTAAAGTGTCGGACATAATAGCACTAAAAGCGAGTGATAGATGGTTGAAGCAGCGGTGCAAAGATATGGGTGTGTGTTGAAATAATACAAGTGAACCTTATTTTTCCCTAGAAACAAAAAAATGCAAAAACTATGCTAGCAAAGTGTCAATGAAATGAAGCAGCGGATGGTATCAACAACGAAAGAATAAAGTATCATACCAATATCCATCATCTACCGGCGATCGCATCCGATGTTTCGTAGCTACCGTGGCATAGTCTAGACCGGAATATGGCAGAAAAAGTTCTTCAGCTTTCCCCATCATAGTGTAGCGTGACGCTGTTGAACGCGCCGAACAGATCTCCATCTGCTGGTACGTCCAAACCATCGTCGTATCCCGGTGTCCCAGGGCCCGCCGGTACGCTCGCACCTGCTACACCTCGTATTTGCTCCTCTAGATGAAGCGAGCGTGACTCCTTTAGGTGTCGGAAGTTCACCGCATCAAGACCATTACAGGACGATGGAATGATCTAGATAAGATGCGCGTCAGTCAAAATATCTATCAAGCTGTATCGGATCAGACGTGTGGACTTGTCTCACAAGGTTCAACACACGCCATAAGCGCTCAACACGCTTGTGGACACACAGATATATAAGAGCATGTCAGACTCACCGGTGGCCGCTGGTGACGCAACAAACCCCAGTTCATTTTGGAAAACCATTTATGCTGCTTAACTTCACTGGCTCCACTCCTGCTGCCAAACCTTGTTCGTTCATCTTTGTCGAGTAACCGAATGACGATATCCTTGCAAGCGCTGTACGGCAGGACTTTCGTTAAAGTTTACTCATGACCCAAGTGTTCAACTCTAGCCCACCTCGTAATTTTAGGTGCATCCCGGAAATGAACTGGCAGAGACCGGATGTTGGAAAAAGTATCGTTCCTCTCCTTCCCCTTGAAGGGCGTGGTGGCGAACTGCACAGGAGCGTCAATGATTGTTCCCACAGCAAAATCCGATCCAAACTCCGCCGATGGTGATCAACGTCAACTCACAATCATTTCGTATATCAAGATACCAAGCGTCCACCAATCCACCGCAGCGGTGTGGCCCTGTGCAGCTATCACCTCTGGCGCGATGTATTCTGAACAACCAAGCCGCATACGGTTAAATCCTTGATTGTTGATAATTAAAGGAGCCTTACCCTCGGTACCGACAAACGAGTTTGTCCGAAAATCCGCTGTACATGACATCGTATCGATCATAGGTATCTGTAACATAGGAAGAATGTGTGAATTATCACCACATGGACGACAAGGGAACGGCTTACCCCGTTTGGTCCTAGCTGGTGAATCGTCGCAGGACGGCCCCCAGGATGCCCAGATTGTTTAGCGAGATCGAAATCCGACAACATAATGTGGCCGGAGTGATGGAGGAGGATATCTGGACGAAGTTCCAGCAAGTACGGAAGACGCGGTAAATGAAAGATGAAAATTACAGCAAGATGTGGCAATAAAGTTAAGCGTTTAGTACACGTTGGCGATCAAGAGGAGAAGCAACCCACTTTCTGGCTTGAGATCGCGGTATATGAAGCCGTTTAAGTGAAGGTACTCCAAGGCCGCCACGACCTCCGCCGCATAAAATCGCGAACCATCTTCCGGAAGGCATTTGCCCGGACGAGTCTGTAACGCGCGGAAAAACTCGCCACCCATGCAGTACTCCATACAAAAGTAGAGGTACTCTTCCGACTGGAAGGAGTGATAGAGTGTGACGATGAACGGGTGATTTGAAGTGGCTAGAATTTCTTGCTCGGTTAAAGCACGTTTTATCTTTTTTCGTTCGATCATCTCCTTTTTGGACAGGACTGGGGAATCATAATTGAAGCCAGTTTGAAGTTTCATCAAATCACGGACCCACCTTTCATAGCAAAGAGTTTGTCAGTCTTCTTTTCTCGCACAAGGTACACACGTCCGACGTCGCCCTTCCCAAGCATTTTAATTTTCAAGAAGCTTGATGGGCCGACCTCGACCTGTAATTCACCCCTTTGTTTAAGAAAACTGTGCTTGCAGAGAAGCTTTATAACGTACCTGCCGAACTTTGATTGAATTACTGGAATATGTCCGTCTGAAAGCTTTTCCAGGACCATCATGCGCTCCGTTCACAATTCTAGTCTTTGACAGATGTGAATTACCAGGATACCGCTCGTGCCGATTAGATCTCCCTCTTGAAGAACCAGACGACAGAGTTTCCAATGAGTCATCACCGTGGTCAGATGACGTAGAGGGTGCACCAGGTACTGGTGGAATCATATCTGCAGGTGCTAATAGACCATTCCTTGTAGGTGCTGACGACCGGCTACCGGAGGAAAAAAGGTGCTTCGCGTTTGGCGCGGACGCTACGCGACGAATAAAGCGCGTCGCAGACGCGCCCATGGCCCGAGGAGACAAGGGCCCCGAGCGGCTTGAATGCCCGGTATAATCCTGTGAGGGTGCGAATGACTGCTGGGAGCCCGCACCCGTGGCAGTCTGCGGCTTTGTTGGTGACTGCGGAGGGCGACTCTGCATCATACGCTGTTTCTCCGACTTTGTCCGTACGCGACTTTGAGGAGCTTGTGGGGTGGCCATTCCTTTCGTTTCAACATTCGAAACAGACGACTGCTGCAGATGCGGTTGGTACTGGTAAGGGAAGAGTCGGGAATCAGGCACAAGGTACGGTGAGTTCGGTACAGCTCCCACGTTTGAATCGCTGGATTGGGTATTCGAAGAGTTGTAGGAGGAACGCTCGTCGATAGGGAGGAATGAGCCGGGAGTCAGTGACGGACTGGGTGCTACAGGTATATGTTTGACTGCCTGAAGAGGAGAGGAAACTGCGCGAGGCGAGCAGTCAACGGCTAGTATTGAGCCATTGCCATTAGAACGATGCTTCTTTGAGGAACTTGGTAGACGAAAAACAGATTTCCATGAAGAGTGTGACGGAGTAGACGGTGGAGACGGTGCGTGCATGATGGAGATTGTTGATTCGCGGTCGATCCCGAGCGCTCGATCGGATTGCACAACAAATGCTAAACTTCTTCAACAAGTTCAGTTGAGCCTCAAGTCAGCAACAGCAGACACGGACTGCAAAAAAGACTGAAGAAAGAAAATTGCTTTGGTATCGGGGGAGGTACAAACGCTCAAATTGTTGTCCCCTCAACATAACGGTAGCAGAAAATGGTTAAGCTTAGTAAGACGGCATCTTCCACTTCATTTAAGCTTACGCTACATACGAGAATCATTTATTCACGTTAAATTTATGGTTGACTTTGCCCTATGTAACCGTTGGTCGAGACCGTAGGGTCGAAACGAACCTTTCCCGAATAATAAAAATAATAATTGGCGTGATTGCTCGAATTCCCCACCGGACACCACACCATTTCGCGTTCAGGTTCAGCAAACTTGCTTGTCAGAGTAGCTTGTCACGCGATCAACGTGTCCGTCACAATGTCGTAAAGCCATGATAGATCCGTGTCATGGTCACCGTCTGTTGTGCGGCTATTCTCCCACCCGATCATCCAACACTAAGCGGCTCAGCTTGGGTACATCGATTAGCAGCATGAACCTTTGCTGAAGTACAGTCGAGAAAGTAAATCTTCGCGGAAATGAAAGTGCTGCGACTCGAACGTTGCAATGTGCATACAAGTGTAATAACACGAACGTAAGCCCGAGCAAAAATTTCGTGTCATTTGTCAATTTGCAATATTGCCACGAAGGCAAACTTGGCAAAGGTACCGCGGGCCTAGTTGGATCGATCCTCGTCGGAATGGGGTCCGCGCAAGGTCCGCGTGCAATAGGTATCCGAGTCTAGCCGCCAGTGAGGGCACCGCACGCAATTGCATTTGCGGATGGACCTCGGTAGTTCCGTTTAATTATCAGTTTCAACTCCATACACAGCAATAAGCCACAAGCATGCTGGCTATCCGATGAGTTCGATTCTGCGGGCACGAGGCAGTGTACTAATGATCCGAAAAGCAGGACTCGCCTTGTAGATGGCGTACGTTTTGCAAGCGATGCTTGCCGTGCACCATGGACTCTCACGAGAACTTATCTGCGGACCAACCAGCTCCCTGCATCCTGTCAAGATAGTGAATACATACTAGTAAGTTACTCCATAAAGGTTCACCACTACCAGGAGGAGGCTGCTGTATCATAAAGCTATACGTGAGCTGCTATCATCGAGTGTGAGGGCTGTACGGGGCGATATCTTCGTGGGCCAAAACATGTACGGCAGTTGCCAAAAGTCGATGTGCTGGTGAAGGGAGAAATACAGCGATGCAGGGACTCCTGTAACATTATGAAGCCCCAGAGACCAACAAGCCGCAGCGCTCATTCCTACGGGCCGGCTTGACATGGGAATTACGTGGAACCCCAGGTGCATCTCCGTTGTCTTTGACAACAGCACCATCCATCACTAAGCCGAATCTGGGCTTCCATAGGGCATCATGCATCATGCACTGGGCCCTAACAAAGCAATATTTGCCCGAGGCAGATAATCAAGGATATTACTTTTCTGATATGCGGCAACTGAGCGCCATCTGTGGCGCGAAAGGTTGTAATAGCTGCCCAAAACTGGGACCATCATGATGAAACCGCATCAGCATGGTTTCGTATCATCTAGAAAGAAATGATGTTAATACTAGGGAAATTGCCTCATACACATGACCGTCCACGTATGACCGTCCACGCGCATCCTGCGAATAACGAATGGCAAGAGGGCGCTCCACTTACAAAAACAGAACACGGGTCTCCATGAACGTTCCGTAACGTTGAGAACCTAAAACTGTCACGTCATCAATCCTGGAGGAACAGACAGCAAGTAGTGCGATCCTTTGGTAGCAATGCAAGAGGCAAAGGGAATGTACTTCGGGAACATAAGATGACTCGAGTTCGCCCACGACGAGACTGTCTCATCATCTAGATAAGCATGGCGTTTGAAACGACGATTGCATCAGTGGCCAGCATAAAGCATGGGCGTCTAACTTTTAAGTAAAATTATGGAAGCAAAACACGAATTTGGTAAAGATGGAATTTTCCGATCCTAAAAACAGAATATGTCGCGGAAACTTAGGCATGAGCGGACTGCAGCACCACCGTGACCTATCTAGAGACATTGGTGCCTCATGTGCCTCAGATCATGGCTGGTATGACTTCGTGTCGAATATCTGGCCTGCGAAAGACCAAAGAAAATATCCCGGCAGCGTATGAAGATCGTGTGAAAAGCAATGCGAACTCACTCACCCGGTTGGTTCGAAGAGGGTCGAAGATTCTGGCAATATCTATTATATTTCACCTGCATGATCCCACACGTTTGGCTGTGGATTACATGGTCATGGGTCCAGAGGTAATTTCAAAGTTACTAGTAAATGCCGTAGTGTGTCGACCGCGTCTCACGGAGATTGTGGTACATACTTCATCCTAGTACGAGGAATAGGTAGTCACATCAGTTGGAGAGTGGTCGGCCCCGAGATGGCCAGAAGTACCTAGAGTGCAGCTTAAGCAATTCTGGGCTGTACAGATGGCGTACAGACGAAGACAGGCGTGACAGATGTGTCAGTTATTCAGATCCGAATCTGAGGAGGGCCTACTAGCGTCCGGAGAGTGCGGATTGAATGCTAGCAGCACACAATGGCAATAAATCTTGGAGCCTGGCAGGTAACGTTGGTCTTGTTGGTGGAGTTGTTCGTTATGTGGAGAAAATTGGGTTGATATTGAGTGATTAGAAGGTCTTGAAGGAGTTGGATCCACTCGGATGAAAACCTTTAGGGATTTGTTCGCATTCGGCCGGTCCGGGACCGATGCGAGCGGAGAATGACACGGGAGTGGGCTACATTGAAGACGTCGCTTGAAATCAGCGGCAGTCAGATATTTCTTTGGAAGACCTAAGCATGTTCCTGCGCGTCAATCATCCAGAAATTCTAATTTCCCTGCCTTAAAATCACCACCACTGAGACTCTTCTGCCCGCCCTGTCGCCCTTTAACAAGACTCGGATTCATACCTACTCGGATACCCCGCAAACGATCGCACGACCCCACGGATGTCATCGAGGTCATCGTCTAAAGAGTCCCAGCCGTTGCTCTGTCACCGTGATCAGGAGTCTTCTTATAACTCTGTGCAGGCCTCAGAGTCGAGTTTACCGATTGACCCGCCGCCGCTAAATCAAGTCTCTCGTGTTGAACTTTTTTGGATCCTTGCAGGTCTTTGGAGTGCGGTGTTTCTAGGATCCTTGGATGGTGCGCTCTAGTTTGCTAACAGTGAGAAGAATGGAACAAACCCCAAACTTCCGTCAATAGGTACAATTGTGGCAACGCTTCTCTCACCAATAGGAAGTTACTTCAGTAAATCTGAACAGTCTTCGTACCTGGGGACATCATACTTGCTCTCAGTATGTTGTTTTACCCCTCTATACGGTGAGGGCAACGAAATCATCGTACTATCATGCATGTCCATTTTAACTCCTATCAGGCCGACTATCAGACATCTTGGGTCGCAAGGGAGCCATGCTCCTCGGACTGACTCTATTTGGTGCGGACAGCGAAGCCGGTAGCCATTTCATCTCTCTAATATGAAATTTAGGATCGGGTACTATTGCATGCGCATTCGCTCCCTCTATGGGGGCGTTGATTGTTGCGCGCGCCGTCGCAGGAATGGGTGGTGGAGGGTGCGTGCAGCGGAATGGTTTTTGAAGGCTCATTGTGCTGACATTTGTTTCAGAGTAATGACGGGTATGTTGAGCGCCATCATATCAATCGCCAGGGAAATTTTACCTTGTTGCAGTCAGCAGTATCGCCATCAGCGATCTAGTACCCTTGTAAGTTCGCGTTTCACAGAGTAACGATACAGATTATTATTATTGTTATTATTAGGAAACAGCGTGGCCTATACCAAGGAATGACTAACATGTAAGTGGTTACGGAATTGTTCACTGAGCTTGAACGAACATGCTCGATCAGTTTGTTTGGTCTGGGCGCTGGCCTCGGCGGTCCATTTGGAGGATGGGTGAATGACACTCTGGGTTGGTTAGTAGTCAGTTGGAATGTCTCCATCCCGCCTACTGAATGATTTCAACAGGCGGGCAGCATTTTTATTGCAGGTCGGTAACCTGGTATCTTTCTGTCTCGTCCTGGCCTCACTCGAACTCAGGCGCCGTTGTTGCTTGTATCTTTTACTTTGGTCGCACTCAAGGTCAACATAAAGTTGCCCAACGAGATTGAGACCCAAAGCACATATTCCAAATTGCAGCGCATTGATTTCATGGGATCATTCACGTTAGTTGGTGCAGTCGCCGGATTATTGCTCGGCTTTAGTCTTAAGACTACTGAGGAGCTTCCGTGGTCACATCCCCTAATATTGGGGCTTTTCTGTACCAGCGCAGTTTTCTGGGTCTGCTTTATATTAGTGGAGGCTTACTGGGCACCGTACCCTGTGATGCCCCTGCGCTTAATTACGCAACGCACCCCATTAGCGATATCTCTGGCCAACTTTTTAGGTTCTATGACTGCTTTTTCGACGGTAAGGGCCAAAAACTTTACACGATGCCACTTAATTAAAGCGGCATCTTGTCCAGATATACAATGTCCCTTTGTATTTCTCAGCCGTTAGGCTTAACTCATCCACGAATTCCGGTATGCTTAGGACTATTTGTGTTTGCACTCGCTAAGTAATATATGCCCTTTAGGTTTACATTTGCTTCCTCATTCTGTGCGGATCTCTTGGTATTTTGTGTCAGGAAATGCTCACCTTCTTATAGATTGCTTTATCCACGGGAAGCATGATCGCAGGCTGGTGAGGTCCTGATGATCATCCATTATTCTCACTGACTCACCGTCGTGATTGTAGGATGATGCGACGAACAGGCAAACTGTATTACTTAACGTTAGCCTCTGTTGGCTCGACCATCATTGCCAGTATTTGTCTTGCTCTATGGGATGATAACACATCGCAGTACCATCTATGGTTAGATATTATCCCGCAGGGTTTTGGAATGGCCAGCTTAATCACCACTACGCTAATTGTCAGTATTTCCTTCCTTCCCCATTCATACACTGACCTGGTCCCGAATTTGCAGGCCATGATCGCAGGCGTTTACAAGGAAGATATGGCGGTTGCAACCGGCAGTAAGTGCTACTCGACTACCCGGAGAGGACCTCTGAACTCAGGATGTGTAAATTACAGTCACATATCTTTTCCGAACAACTGGACAAGTTCTCGGTGTTAGTTTATCAGGGGCTGTGCTCCAGAGCATTCTGCTCAGAAAATTGCGCCAGCGAATTACTGGAGCTGGTTCATTAGAGGTAAGCGGCATTGGTGTGCACCTATACCGTCCGCATTTAATATGAATTCCCTTTGCCCAGATCATCGAGGAGATACGGTATGATATCCGATAACAATGCAGTGTATACACTTACAGATGCTGTGTTCAGACACTCGATAAGCTCGATCCCTGACCTCGCACCTGCATACAGAACAGCTGCAGTCGAGTCGTACGCCGATGCTCTCCATGTTGTTTTCATCTGTCACATTGCGATCAATATTCTCGTTTTCATTGCATGCATACCCATCGAGGAGCACCCCTTACCGTATGTGATTGTCACGTCCGATCATGCCCTGCCAATGCTAACCTGTGCCGATATTTCCAGAGGAACACTTCAGGAGCAAGAAGAACATTATAGGAACCAACAACTTGAGGAAAATGACACTGCTGAAGCAGTGGACTCACCTTAGATATTCATTTGACTGACTAACCGTTTGCGTCGTGTAACTATCCCGCAATAACTCCAGCGACACCCAAGCACGTTGGTACGACATTATGTACTCATTATCGGACACCCCAAGCCTTCTACCACCGCGCAGCCTTCATATACCTCATCACTCTGGGACGTGTAGTAGTAGACGGTAGTCATGTACACTGTATACTGTACTGGGCAATGTAGAGCAATTGTCTAAACCTCCACGTCGGGCCTCCTCGTCCGCAATGATGGCTTAAGCTGGTGTGTCCTCCGAAGAGGACCTTTCTTGTATCCACCTCCTCGGCATCTTCTCTACCACTGGCGCAGGCCTCTTTCCCCCTACTTTCCCCTCCGTATCTGCGTATCGGCTCCGGTCAGGTCGCACGGGGCATGGTAACACGTTGGACGCGGAAACCGTCAACACAGACGCAAAAAATGTGAGACCGAACAAAGTTGAAACAAATGTGCGGCGTTGTTGGTATGTTAGACGAAAACTTTTGGAGATGGACATTCTACAACTTTTCGTACGACCTATGGTCAGTGGACAGGATCAAAAAGCGGACGGATGGTTTACGCACCGACACTCTGCCCATCCTCTCAAGTAATATTTGTTTGCGTCCAAGGTTGTTCGACGCTAACTTTTGAGATGTGCCGGATGTCGCCGACGATGCTAAAGGGGTGATGTTTGTGCTTGTTTTCCATCAGCCTTTAACCACCTTCCGGTCAAAATTCTATACTAGTCATCATGCCTAACGCTCGCGTACTCCGAGACATCAAGGCCCGCAACGTCGTGAAGGCTAATGAAGTCCTCCGCAGGGCCTACCTGTATGTCGCGCGGAACGAGACCCTGTCCCCGCAAGTGCGACACCAAGCTCAGCTGCAGCTGAATACATTTGGGAAGTACACACGTCCGACGACGGTGAAGAACCGTTGCACAGAATCTGGACGTGGTCGGGGGATTATCAGCGAGTTTGCACTTTGCAGGGTATGTGACCTGCTTGGGTTTTTTCGAATGCGTCCTCATCTTGTAAATTTGACAGTACCAGTTCCGACTGAAGGCGCTCAAGCTGGAACTCCCTGGCGTGCGCAAAGCTTCTTGGTAGATGGAGGTTACACGTACATAAGAGTTTATGGTCTGGTGAGCTTACGCGTGTTTAATCGGCAAAGTACGGAGTGCTCATGGCACTCGGTGCAGCATATACCTAGTCGTCCCTACGTGACTTCTTTTGCATGTATCCTTCTGTCTAGACGTAGCTCGCAGTATATATATATTACCGCACGAAGTCTCCGCACGTACAATTATATACAGTAATAAGTTTACAAGGCTTTAGCTTGAAACCACACCAGTCCTAGGACGGCGGAGAGTCCCCTTGAGCACCAATATCAGATGCCAACAAATCGGGTTCACCGCGCTCGCGCCTCCAGCGATTACACACATTCAGAGTTACCTTATCGACGAGGTAACTAGAGAAGAATGAGCATACAATATGGGCATTGCACAGCTTGCAAGGCGCACCTGTATTTCCGTAACCACCACTCAGCAAGTTCCCAATTATGCTGGGCAAGAACATCGTCTCCGTGAAGTTTGACCGCCTTCTTGTAGTCAAAAAGACAGTCCGCTAACGAAATTCGCCCTGAAAGATATCAGAATATCACTGCGCTTGAAAATGGCTATGCGATTACCTCGAAGAAGGATGATACGGTCTCGGAGCTCAGGATATATAATACGGTCAATAACACTTTCTGTAAAGGAATCAGTACATGCCCAGATAGAAGGCAAAACAAATATACCATGATTAATCGTTCTTGGGGATGTCTGGTGAGCATATGACCATCAGACTTGGGAGACTCGCGCTCACCTCTGCACCAGAGTTGGTCGTAATGAAGCTGGAAGACAATAAGCACTATTTCTCATGAAATTGTCGAGGTGATATCTAAAGGGGCACTCAGATATGAGTCACAACAGGAATGAATAAAAAAACTGACTGGATCAATTTCATAGCCTCGATCTTTTTGGGATCTCGAAGTTCTGCCATATCGTGATCGTCAGGCTCCTCAGCGGAGGGCTTTTGAGATAGAACCCGCTGCGGAAGAGGGACAGCCCCATTCGTTTTGTTCGTGGAGTAGGACATTGCCCCTAAGCGTTGCTCGACGTTCATATTCATTTGGGGCACATAAGGTTGAAAATCAGAGGCAGCATAATGACTCGGTGTACTAGACGTCGTAGTGGACATGAAGACGGGCGAATTCCCTGATTGCATGAGATCCGAAAACATAGTGTCCTGAGGAGAGCGTCCTTGCGGGGGTGGAGGAGGATATAAGGAGCTAGCAGGAGGCACCGCAGAGCTCATGGGTAGCATGAGTGGGTAAGAATCCCGACGGTCACCGTTTTGCTCTGAGTTACTCATACCTCTTGCCTTCTTCGCCATTCCAGGCCCACTGTCGTCGTCTGATGGGCGCTTTCCTGTGTTACTCGGCGTGCCAAGCATTGAACTCATGGCGTTTGATGTTTGCGAAGTCTTGAGGGAATGTTTGCGGGTTTGGAAACTCTCCCATGCAGTGTCCGTTTCTGCCTTATTGACGAAACTGTCGAAGTCTGCCATATCCCAACCAAGCTTCACGAGCAAACCACCGGCACCATCACCAATAAACCCCGATACACTCTTTAAGAGGCCGCGAAGAACTTGATTTTCGGTCATAAGATCTATAAAATATAGACCAAGGTAAGTAACACCGATACAAACAGATATAATTACATACCCCTAAGAATTGCTCTGCAGTCAGTCAGAGCTTCATCTTGGGACGCAGAAAGCAATTCAACGCGTGCTTCGAGGTCACGGATCTGATTGTTGAAAAGTGCGAACTTAGTACGACGATGCTGGGACTGATTACGAACCGGCGCACCCTTTGCTGCTTCCTCAAGCGAAACTCACGCTGGGCGATACGATTTTGATCCCGACGCGCTGCCTGCGAGCTTCTCAGTAGTCAATTGGTGCTTACTACAACTAGTCTGAAATAGACAACTTCGGATTTTTTTTCCTGCCCGGTTTATTCGGCTCCCCTGGCTCATCAGCGTGATCGAGATGGGACTCGATATCAGAGTCCTGCAGAATAATTGAGAACAGACAGTAAGTAATAAAAAGGAGCATACTAGATCAAGATCTCCAGACACACTACGAGGTGCATCATCAGGCATTTTGTGGAAATGAAGTTGGTCAAAAGTAAGCACTAATTGTTTGGCAGTGCAACAGTATTTGCAAGGCCTGCGTAGTCAGCACTAGTCAGCGTCGGCAGTGAGATGAATGCTGCGATGCCGACTCCAACGACCGGTTAGCTTCAATAGCCGAGCCGCTTGACATAATCATCCGTGTCCGACGCCCGGCACGCTAGTCTAATCATGTGCCCATGTCGCTGCCAGCCTGTTAGGTTGATATTGGTCACAGGCCTTCAAGCTTCGGGGGCGCCAACGACCTAACTAGTCCTAGTCAGCATTCGGAACCGCGCATTTACCTCTCTCTCAGCATCAGTCCTGTCCGTACCAACTTAGCATACTGACTTTGTTGCTACTTTGCATTCTGTCATCCACACAGTACTTGCTCTCATATGCACTCGGGCTGCACCTCCCTGCGTTTTGTGTATCGAGCAACGGCAGGTGTGAAACATGTGTGAGTGGTTCTATGACATGACAATTGTATCCAGCTCGTTGTGTATCACTCGGCAAATTTGATCTTGATAAAGCTGATAGCGGGCCCAATTTTCTCAACATTACCTCAGTTTTGTACAACATCGATAAATTACGTCGGCAAACATCTGCCTCGAGGCAGCCTCTACCAAGCTCCTGCCCCCTTAAATCACGCTATCCCCACCCAGTCAGCATCTGAATCTTCCACTTTGACACATTTACACAGCTCCGATGAAATGGGGGTTTAATCTCAGCAAATTCCGCGTTTGCTGACCTGTGGCCTTGGCCTGTTATCGTCATCTTACAGCGTTTTCCTCACTGAATCACCATATTCTCATGATGACCCTTAACATTGATATCTGGGCGTCGGCCATATTTCATTCATACAAAACATCCGAGCCATCGTTCGGGCCGTTTAGCCTCGAATCAGGCATGAATCAGATCCAAAATACATGGGACCATCCCTACATTCCTACACTATCAGCTAATGTACTTGGTCGAGTTCAGATTAAATGTGTGTTGTGTACAATTCCATCTTCCCGATTACCCTGACTGATGCGGTTGTTCGTCGCAGGGTGCACGGATTCGGAATCTAATCGGCTTTTGGTCCTGCTTGTGTCCATAATTCGAATTGACGTGACACGTGGTTTGCAGGGTGTGGCATCGGTGATCGTGGTTCTCATACCTTGGTGCGTGGTGTTTCCCTTGGTTCGACCAATTCGGCGACTCCTTTATTCGCGTCCGTGCGCCACACGTCAATAATATTGTTCCAACCAGACGAGGCTGAGGGAGTCTTTTGGTGTTTTACCTGGGGTGGACCGTCGGTGTAATAATGCCTGACTCTGTTCGTCGTGGTGTTGGATATTGCATATTAACTCATCCCGAGTAAAAATTGATAGGCACCTGAAATTAAAAAGTTTTTTGTGCTGCAACGGCGGTTGTTCTCGAGATTCAGCAAACCATTGCAGTCGAGATCCTTGTGCGTATTACTTACACGCTTCAGGGACATTACCTCATCTTTAGCAATCGCTTATCGTCTCCATGGCTCATTGTCGCTCGCCCGCGCACCGACTCAATGGCTCTTAATCGAGTGCGTCATAGTATTCATAGATGTGACCTCAGCTCCCAACCATATATTCGTTCGGATCAACAGTTTCTGTCCGCCCAAAAACAAAGCGAGATTCATTACTGCAGTCATTTAATATCTTCTTGGCCTTTAAAATCTTATAATCATGTAAACCAGTCTCGCGACTTGGATTAGGATTCTTTCTCTCAAACTGAAAACTCAAACTCCACAAAAAATCCACAGCCACTATGACTGCTGAAACTGACATGGTCTTCCGCTTTGTCAATCCTACCGACGACACGCGGACTTTTCGAGTGTATCAGGTGGTAGGAACAGCACACGAGGAATTGGAACTATACAAGGTACGTCCAGCTCACTCCTCTACTAAATTCATGATTTTGACTGTCCTCGCAGTTTTCACATTCAATGACCGGTTCTTCTGGCGGAACCACAACTTATCAGCGAAAAAAATATGAACAGTTTGACCTTTGAGACTGTTGGACAAATCAGTTGGAGCTCGAACACTATTGCTTCCGTGGTATATTTTGGTTTAGAGGAGGTGAGATTTATGACGTTGATGACCCAGACGCACTCTGTTGATGACTTGGTTACCAGGTTTCCGTCAGAGATCTCCGGAAGGTCAAAAATGCTACCAGCCAGTAAAGTATTTTGCTCGAGCTCATATCTCCGTTGCTGATTCATTTCATGGATCCTAGTTCACGCAGATTTAAATCCGGTGTCGGTGCAGGGTATAAGTGGAAGATATCAGAGAATAGGACCGACTTATATGTACGTGTCACCGAGATTGGAACATGCGCCTCCTAACGTGCCCATACAAAAACAGTGTATCGATTCACAAGACAAATACATTGCATCGTGGTCGAATCACGAGAGGATACTAAGAGTGACCCCACGCGCCAGCGCAATGTTAGATCGGCTGGTGGTCACTTGCTTCCTGAATGTATGGTTCAAGCGGCTTGGGCGGTGGTAACGAGGTCGTCAATGTCAGGTGTCTATCCTTATACTGTATAGTAATCAACTTAATCGCAACAACTGTAATCCGTGTTTAACGTGCGAGTACACTGAAATAGCATCATCGCTACTCACCTTTGACATTCGTTTCGCAACCGGGAGACATTACCGGGCTTCAAACTGAACCACTAATGGAAAAAGGTCAACAGTTGCTTGGTTTCTGGTTTCAAGAGCGACAGATACGTACTCCGCTTGGTCCGCTTCTTGTACATGATACGATGACCACACTCACGACAACGTATAGGTTCCCTGGACTTTATTTCATTCTTGGCGCCGCAGTCTTTTTAAACCTTGATTAGATTGTTTGTAAAGTGATGCTCACAGGCAGTCATGAGTACCTGCGCAAATGTATTCCATATCCTGCCGCGGTGCAGGTACGAAGCTGCCACCAGCATTTGTAGTTTGTTGTCCTGGCTGGTTCATCGCAGATGTGAACGAAAAAGGTATGGCAGTCGAAGCGCGTGACTCTCGCGTGATGTGTGATACACACACGTGAGTCACGTTACGGGCGCGCGGGTACTAGCCTCTTTGCATAGAGACGCTATAGAGACTCGGCGATCAGAGTCTAAGTGCTCCCCGTTATGATGAAAAGAATCCAACTTGAAGTTTTTCAGGTTTGGGCAGGTTTGGGCCTGACTGATGGAAACAGCGTTGCAGCGTGGAGACTGTCACTCTGCAATCAGTTATAGTACCTGCTCGGTTCGAAGTTCCAAAGTTCTGTCGTAATTGTCCTTGTGCACTGCCAGCTCCTCGAAGCTCGTTCATTGTTCGCGGAACAATGAGGATTCGTATGTGATATATGCTATGTACCGTACCGGTGATTGCAGTATTAGTCTTATTCTCCAATAAAGCAGTGTGACCAAGCTCAATAGCGCCCACACCCTTATTCTCGATCTCCTTGCCGACCGGGCTGGAACCCTATTGATAGTGCAAACCTTCGAGAAAAATAAAGTCACAAGTGGAACTCCTGAGTTTCGTAGGTGGCGACCGTCCTTCGTGACAACCGTGGGCCGTATCCAAGGCGTCAAAACATCTTTATAACTATGGCCATCTTACTTGATTGCCCATCGAAGACTATTCCCCCGACGAAGCACTACTACGTCTGAGATCGCCGTGTGCTTATGGCCGCTCTCCCTTCTTTCATTGAACTCATGGCTTCTCTAGGCATAGATGATACTAAGCCAGAAACTCCGAGCATAGTCAGGACTCGAGATCGTTCTTCTTCATGTTCTTCATGCTCTTCATTGGGCAGCTCTACTGACGGTTGGAGCCCCATCCGTTGTGCCCGTGACATTGACTCAGATAGGCGTCCAAGCGCTTCTCGTCGAGTCAGAGCAGTAAGATATTCACCGTACATTTCAGCCAGTGTGAGTACCTTCCTTCACCGATCTGTCTGTCGTCTCATTTTTTCTCGTTCCTTCCAAGTCTACTGCTAGACAAAGCAGTAACGTGTCGTTGACACACAGCCAGAGTGATCAAGAAGATTCTAGCAGAGTAAGAACGTCGGCTTTCCCCTCTCAAACCATTCTCACTGGAAAACAGTCTTCATCACCAAATCCTCCTTCGTCTCCTCGGCATACACGACGGCCTTCACCTCTTCATTTCTCCAAGAGAGAAAGGCCATCCATCACTCCAATCTCGTCATATGTTCGTCGCAAGACACCACAAAACTCGCCCGTCGTCCTTACTTTCGCTCAACGGGAGTACGTCGAGAGACCGGAAGTTATCACACCACCATCATTGATGCCAATGTCATTGCCCACCATCCCTCCAATCCCACGCTAGTTTCTGTTTGGATTAATCAATGGACATCTCCACTTCTATTCCGCGGTCTGATGATGGTACAGCTGGTGTACGATGTAGTTGCCGCGTATCCCAAGGAAGGCTTTATGGACCTTTTAATTCTCACATACACGCATACACAACTTTCCTTTGCATTTCGTCTCAGTTCCCTCGTTTCCTTCTCATAGTTGTCATAACTTCGCTCTTTGCTTGTGAAATTTTCGGTCTCATGACTACTGCATCTTGATCTTCGTAGAGAAATGTGTAGGTTTAGATGAATCATACGATTGAGGTTGGCTACGGAGGAAACAATCTTCCCCGCATTAGACATTTAGTCGTGATCATCTTCTTCAGGCCCAGGGCAACTCTGTTCCAAATCAATAGCATCTCCATACTGCGTCCCGCACCAGAAACAGTATGAGTATTTCCCCCGGAGATATTCAAGAAGGAGCTTTAAGCGGTCCCGCGGCTGCAAAAGATTTAAAATCAGGTACGCGTCAAAGAACAACGATTCCATTAAAAGTCTACTCACACCCAGCCGTAAGAAGTAAACTGCTTCCTCGATGACTTCTTGCGGGAATTGTTCCACCGTTGTGGGTGTTTCGCTGTCGTCGGCATCTTCATCTTCATCCAGTGAAGTAACCGGTAACAGGGCATCGGCTACCATTTGGGCGCGTAGGCGTGCCGCATGGGAGACATCCCCTGAGGCGGAGCGTAACGGGGATACTTGCAATGTATAAGTTGATAACGCATCCACGAGACCATTTGGGATAGAATCAGGGTTGTTAGGATCCAAACAGAGGACGTTGAACTATCGCGCAGAGCAGTGAATCTAGTATCCCCGTATACTTATCTGAATGAAACGCACTGTGATATCCGCCTTCTCATCCAGTGTGAGACATGTCTGTCGTGCAGAGGAAAGGCGTCCTTCTGCTCGCCGTTCTTCGTATTCGCGGCGGGCACGGTCCCGGAAGCTCTCATGGCTGGCTGCTTCCGCCATCTTCGCCATTTTTGCGAGGCGATCTGCGGCACTGGGTGACCGAGCACGCTTCCCTAGACCAATACCTTGCTTCCCTGCAATGATAAGCTATCGAGTCAGTTATTTTACTTCCATATGCAGGGTTTCGGCGAGGACTTGCCTCGCCATTCGTTGAGGGGCAATGGTTCAACCTTGTGTCGAGGTTCTCCTTTCAAATCATCTCCAAGATCCGCAGATTCCGACTGAGCCCTGGATGTACCCTGCTCAGACTCGTCCTCGGACAGGCTAGGACCAGGTAAGGGAACTGTGGTCTTTGGAGGGCTATCCTCGGTCTTTCCCAACGATTGCCCGACCTTGAACCCCATTTTCATCATGATGCCCAGTGCCTTGCTCCCACCTACGGCCTTCTCTTCCTCCTGTGCGCGCTCAAACAGGCTCTTGCTAAGCCCCTCTTCCCTGGACTCTTCCTCCCTCTGCCGCCGACTCTTCATTCGGTTCTGCTCATTCTTGACTCGAGACTGCTTCAAAGCTTCTTGGCGTCTCTGAGCATACGTTTTCGGCACAGACTCGGCTGCGACCTGGATAAGAAACTTGTCCGAGAGGTAATCATCCTCGTCGGCCATGGATTGACTTCCCAAGGTGGCCAGGGTTGGCAAACATGCCACAATTACTTACGCACACGTTCATTTTGGGGATCATCAATGCAATTTGAATGCAATAGCCATGGAAAAACTTTCGTAATCTTAGTAGACATCGCAAAAATTGACTGCAGCTGCAAGCGACTCTACAAAATTTGATGGAAGAAGGACACCAAATCGCCAGAATGAAAGCATGACTTGACTGGTAAACATACGCGAAAAATCATAGCGCAAGCGAGATGAACAACACTAAGTCACGATGAACTTGCATCGGAAATTGAACATGCGTTAAGTTAAGGTAAAGTCCACGGGACATGGGACCAGAGTCACATATGGTGTGATCAGGCAGCGTACTCGGCTTCGTCGGCCAATTCATAACGCGCAGAGTTGACAGCGATCTTGACAGCGATTGCACGACCGCCAACCTCCTTACCTTGAACAGCCTCGATTGCCTTCACCTGCTCCTCCTCAGTGCCAACATCGACAAAGCCGTAACCTTTGCTCTTCCTGGGTGTTCCCCACCGGCGACGAACCACGCGGGCGGAAACGACATTGACACCAGCTTCAGTAAAGAGCGCAGAGAGAGTTTCATCGTCTACGCTGAAGCCAAGGTTGGCGACGAACAGGGTGGTCTTGGAGGGCTCGCCAATGGGGTCCTCACCGACAGCGCGGGGTGGACGAGGAGCCCTAGGCCTCCTGACGCGAGGTTTCCTGGGAGCAGGTACGGCAGCGTCAGGAGCATCTTCGGCAGCAGGGGCAGCCTCCTCGTGTAGCATTTCACCTTCCAGAGGAGTGGCCCTACGCCTGGACTTGCGCTACAAGCGAAATGAATTTTGATGAATCACTGCGTGTCAATTACATACGCTATTCTTTTTCTTTTTTCTCTTGGGCTTAGCTGCTTCGTCAGTGCCCAAAGCAGCAGTAGAGGCAGCGGCATCCTCCGCCTTGACTTCGCCATTTGCCTCAGCGTCGGTGACTTCACCAGGGACGGCCTTGGCACCGCGCCTGTTGGGTCTCCTCTTGGCCCTTCTCTCCTTCTTTTCTTTGTCCTTTTGGTCGGCTGGCTTGGCAATCTCGACGATGACCTTGCGGCCATCGAGCTCCCCTAGATTGAGGAGGTCAACAGCTCTTTGAGCAGCCTCTGCGCTGGACATTGCGACAAAGCCATAACCTGTGGATCTGGGACCACGCAGGATGACCTGAGCTGTGATACTGTAAAGCGAAGAGAAGTTAGATTTTGCGGTATTAAAAAGCTGTGCGGGAACATACATGTCGCTCTGTACGGGGGCAAAGAAAGTCTTGAGCCCTTCATCCGTTGTAGAGTACGCAAGATTGCCAGCGAAGACCTAAGTTATTATAAGAATGTGAGGATTTTTGAAGAAGCAATAGAAAAAAAGGATATAGATACTTTGAATGGGGGAACTTCTTCGATGACATACTCTTGCGCAGCCGGAGGCACGCCATACTCTGTAACCTGGGCGGCTTGGGCGTCGGACATTTTTTGAGGGATTAGGCGATTGGGATGAAGGATGAGCGCAGTGATGAACTATATGATGAACCGGTTTCAAAAGTTGACAGTTGAAGAAAAAGAAACCGTTTGAGCGATTTTAGACGCTGCCCTTTTTAAATCATTACAAACACGTTTCACAAATGATATTATAACTTGGCGCCAACCTCGTGTTTTAGCCTCGAGGTACTGTTCGGTTCAATATTACATAGTGCGCTTGTGGGTCTAACGTATTACAATAATCTACTCATTTACTATGATCGACCTCATCGTTGAACACGACGAGCTAATACTACGACGGTGATGAATTCTGTCAATGCCATGGCAATTGATATTCGCCGTGCGATTGCTTACATAATTCAATCGTTAAAATGTGGTCTTTTTTCGCCATCTGCATTGTTCATTCAGGTTCTTTCATTCAACACGTCGAGCTTACGGCTCTTCCTCACTCATTTTAGACCACTCTCTCTCAATTTCCGTGTTTATACCTTTATATATAAACCATCCGTCTTAAAGACGATTCCCTCAGTCTGCGTCCCGAACAACGACTAGAAAAAATGGCCGCTCTCAAATTATTCAATCTTCTTGTCCTGGCTTCAGTCGCTCTTTTTGCACTCGAATCTGGTCCTACCTCTGTCAATGCCTTGACTACAGATCGTTCTCATGTCGCTCGTTATGCTAGTGGCCATGAGGCCGTAGCAGCGGCAAAGAAGAAACGTAACACCAGTAGCTGCAAGCCTAAGCCAACAAATGCCAACACCACTACGGCAAGTACTCCCACTCCGTCTTGGTCTTCGTCATCGTCAGCTGGAGACGCTTCTCCTTACACGTCGGCACCCTCGAGCTCGAGCACTTCTATCTACGTTTCCGCAACCCCTACCTCTACTACCCCCACTCCTACCCCCACTTCTACCCCCGCTAGCACTTCAAGTGGCAAGAAGTGGGGTTTGGCCTGGCCTAATGGCGATACTGACTACCTATCCACCTTCGCCGCCCTTTCCAATGTTGGCTAGTACGTACTTGAAAATTTCCTCTCATAATTTTATCTAATCATAAATAACACAGCCTTTACACTTGGAGTCCTTACTTACCCACCGACCTCTACGGCCTCAAAGGTATTCCCATGTTATGGGGTTATGACCAGGTTTCCGACTTTCAAAGCTTGGTTGTCGCTGGCTACGCCAACTACGTTCTTGGCATGAACGAGTGCGTTCCACAGACCTATATTTAACTCCAATTTTGATGGTCCTGATTTTTCAGGCCCAACGAACCCAGCCAGTCCAACATGAGCCCCTCAGATGGTGTTGCGCTCTGGCAGCAATATATCAACCCGTTGAAAGACGAAGGCTACTACCTTATCTCCCCTGCTTGCACCAATGATCAGACTGGTCTCGACTGGATGGCCAGCTTCTTCCAAGAATGCTCTGGTTGCCATGTTTGTCTAAATCAATCATAATTTGATCCCCCTTCTGATTTTTTTTTGCAATTAGGTTGATGCCGTCGCCTTCCACTTCTACGGGACTGATGCTCAAGATTTCATCTCTTATGCCACCCAGCTGTACAACACATACAACTTGCCCATCTGGGTTACCGAGTTTGCTGACCAGGTATTTAATTTACACTAATACATCAAGTTTCCTTAGCTGACATATCCTTGAAGAGCTTCAGCGGCGGTGCACAGGCTACCCAAGATGAAGTTTATGCTTTTGCTAGCACCGTCGCCAACTTTGTTGACAGCACTTCCTGGTTTGAAGTTGCCTTCCCCTTTGGTACGACTGATATTCATTTCCGTGCCGCATTTGCTGATTTGTCGCACGTCAGGCGTTATGAGCGACCTTCAAGGTGTCAACACTGCCAATGCTCTCCTTTCCAGCGATGACACCCCCACTTCTCTTGCCTACAACTACTTTGGCTAAGGTATATTGGTCTTGATCATGACTAATAATACATAGCCCGCGGGGTTCAGGCTTTTGGACCTATCAGCTTCGCTGTATTCCCGGTTACGATACCCTTATATCTCATGCCACTTGGATTCACTTCATTCTACTTATCGTTTATCTCACTGTTACCCTTGTCTAGTCGCAAGCTTGATGTAGCGTGCTGGTTTCGCATGTCGCCGTGCGACGCAATTGACTGGAAAACTCGCGCTTTTGTTGAACAAATGCAGACTTTATATCCGCAATTAGATGTACTGTTTTTTGTAATGGCGTGCAAATGACTGAGCGAGCCTCAGTGACTTTTTTTTGCGATTGGCTGGCATATAAGATATCAGTGTTAAGCCTAACTGGTTGGTTGCTATGTACATCTCCGGGGCAGGTCAGGCCGTCGCGATCAATTTAGACTGTTCTACAAAAGGAAACAGCGATCAATGTTGAGTCTCACTCTCATGCACATTGCAGGTTTGGACATTTTACCTCTTGCAAGATTTCAATCAAAAGCAGACCTAGACCTAGCCTGGAACGCTCTGGAGGGCTCTAGATTGCATTTCGAATGTGATTTCACTAGTTGCAAATTGTGGTAAAATATCGAGACCCCCGCTGTGTCAGTGAGTGAACGGTGAGCGCACACGTGTTTCCAGCGACGGGATCCCGTATACGGGGCACCGTAAAAGGGTCAGCAGGTCGGCCTTGTAAGTCCGACATCGCGTATATAGTCCTCTTGCCCGAATAATGCAACCGTAGTATACGACATGGTCAAACATTTACCGCCTGCAGTTAAGCACCTTCTGACGCTCCGTAACCCAGAAGCTTGGCCAAGTCCCTCTCTTGGAAAACTTCATGGTGTGTTCAACCGTACCCTAAACGAGGCAAAACAGAGAAACGCTGAAAACGGATGGCTCGTCCTCTCGGTACGTATGCCTCTTGCGAAATTGCTCTTCTAGCTCCATTCAAACGGAGATAACAGACATGCACACTCCTTACCACCAACAGACCGTCTTCTGTTGGCCACTTGTATCGGTTCGTTACCAGGAGTGATCCAAACTTGCTTGAATCGCGAAAAAGCCTTGCGGAGGTCGTGTACAAAGCTGCCCTCATGCGAGAAGCCGCACTAAAGAGCGTCATCTTCGTTGGCGTACCTCGAGTGAGTGTACTTGCATGAGATTCAGAAGCTTGATGACCTCGGATACTTGCGCCGCCGAGGTCAGGTGACTCAACGTAATTTCAGACGATTCTCTCCTTGACGGGGCTAAAGGACGCACTCGAAGAAGACGTCTACGCCGCGTTACGGAAAAACTCCATCAGGTACGTGGTATCTGAACACGAGGCATCGTCCCAACGTTATATCTTTTTTTTTTCGCAAATTTTATTCAGGGAAGCAACTCCGCAGACCATCGAAGCGACCGTCGCAAGGGGCCAAGCGTTGTGGAATTCAATTTACCAGCCTCATGCGGTAAAACTGTATAATAAGTTAGGGGACCTTCATCCTGATTTCATCAGTACGTTCTTGATTCCATTTACCCCATGTATCAACCTCGGTGTAATAGCGCCTCGAGTTCTATTTTTGTTACACATACTACAAATACGAGTCTGATCCACTTTTACAGGGTTTATCATTCAGGCCTACGGTACGGTCCTGTCCCCCTTGCCGCGAGGGGACTTGGAGCAAGGAAACCTCACCCGCGCTCTTGGATCGGTAGTTGGCATCGCTACTCTCCGTGCCGAGACCAGAGTCGGACCTCAGCTAATCAGCCACGTTTTCGGTCTTCTCAAGGCCCGCAATGAGGAGAACTTGAACGACGAAGACAAGTATTTATCAAGCGACGAAGGCACCGAATGGGTTGTACGTACAATAGATGAGATTGTCGACGCCGTAACATCAGAAGAGGCGTCCCTGGCCAAGGGGAAATTGTAGATACGATACGTAGGCGTCATTTGGACTCAGATTGCCATATGAAATCAAATGACGGTTTGATTATGGCGCCTTTGCGCAGTGATTGTAGGCGATTGGTAGCACAATGAGGTATGCTTGCATCGTGCACTTACACGTGAGTGCCGGAAACGCGTGTTATCGATCATCGAAAGATGTCAAAGTCGCTGTAGATACTGCGCCCCCGGCTCGTTCGGAAGGAAATTTTCTCTCGTATGAAATGGATAGCATTACATGTATGGAAGAGTTCGACAATGATACGTACAAAAGGAATATGGGCCAATTTACAGTGTGAATAAGATTGCTAACATGCGTTAAAAATGACATCAAAGACCAAATGCCTGGCAAAATCGGTATAGCATGGCGGTCACCGTGACCGTGTCCATGATTGGGGGATGCATCTGAAATGGGGAAAAATAAAATTGAGCCCTCGCGTAGCGAGTAGGGTAACAAGTACTCACGATGGTAGCCGCTCCAGCATTTCGCAGAAAGTGGAGCTCACCATAGACATCCCCAATTTGATACCGCGTTGGTCGTGTAGGGCGGAAGACTGCAACGATATTTCCAGCGGAATCTTCCAGCTGCGGAGGCAATAGTTAGTTTTAAGTTTGCCTCCGGAGGACAAGATATCAACACTCACTACAACATCAGCAGAGCCGGGGGTCTGCCGCCAGCGGTATGTTAGACCATCGGGTGCGTTGAATATGCGTGCGCCCTATGGATATTGTAAGCGATATCGCAATCAAACATTTGATGCAACTGACCGGGTAGCGTGGATCCGGGCGAACCAAGTCGGACATCGGAACTGTATTCTGAGGGAACGCGGTCAGAACAATGGGATCCAAGGACACCATGAGTTTTATTGTACCTTGCCGATCACTGCACGGCCGAGGCCGCCATTCGATGCCCATTCCAATTTTGCGACGCGGTCTTCCTTGTTAGCCCGTACCGCTCGCCAGAGGGTAGTAGTACTCTGCCCACTAGGGGCTACTACAGTCTAAGGATGTCGATCAGGGTCCATTTTGACCTATGAGCGTTGCGGAGCTGCATACCGCAAAACGATAGACAACACCCCAGGCGTTAAATAGTTGGCTCTCTCGCGGATCCTGGCTGGTCCACGAAAGTACTTCGTTTGATGGTGCTGCCATAGCGTAAACAAAGGAAGAGCGTTGTCGAAGTTTGCGAGAGTAGGTGTTGGTTTTTGCCAGGTGCTGGGGAGTCCGACGTTGAAAACCCGGTCTTTTATATTGTGGAATAGCTTGATAACATCCGCATACCCCTCTTGTTTTTCACTTGATCGCGAATATTCATCGACAACGTGGACTTGTGACAGATAAAGATGAGGACACAACAAACGTGTAGACGAGGAAGCGTGGTGTCGTTATGTGGTCTGGAGACTTGTCTGTGGAGCAATGGTCCGATGCAGCAACTCAGGTCGAGGCCGACATGATCGAGGAACAACACGCGTTCAACACACAAGCGCTGATTCCTCTGAGACAGGTAGATTAGCGTCGAGAGGTCACCCGGTATGACACATTCGACCTTCTATCTCACAAGAGCAAAAAGTTCGTTTATACACTGAGTCACCGAAGGATCAGCAAGCAGTCTGGCATGAGAAGGTTGCCGAGAATACTCATGGAACGCACTAATCAAAGAAAGAAATAAAAGGACGAGGAGATCTTCACCAGTCTACACGCGGTAAGGAAGCCTCTCCAAATGGCAGGTCGGATACATGACATTGGCGGTGGAACTAGACCTGAGAACGTGTCCTATGAATGCGGGATAGATGCGGTTAAACCTGACCGAGGCGTGTCAACAGCATGGCGGGAAATCCCATAAACAGGACAAAGGTACTAGTGATAAGCCCATGACCTCTGCTAAACGCTGCGGCAAAAATACCGCCTATGCCTGAGGATGGAGGGGGTGGAGGAAGTTCAAATAAAGTTTCATGAATTCTGAATTAGGCAACCTGGCCTGGAGTTAATGGAGCGCTCGCTAGAAGACAACCTCGGTTTACGAAGACCGGAGAGTCCTTGTTCAAATGAAGAGAGAGAAGCGTAATTTAAGGTGAATGAACTCAACCTTGCTCAAGTTGCTCCTCGTTGCATCAGGCACTTTCCATTTCATCTCTTCATTACACGATGTAGATTAGTGAGCATCCAGTCCTTTGACTTTGGAGTACGTCCGATCATGGCCTATCATACACATATCGACTGGGGGATGCGGTGGCGACCCCGTGTTCTAAGGTCTCAATGAGAGATCGCATGTCTTGATTCAGATTGATAAGGTGCGGCACGCACGAGTCGAATCTCGATCGTAAGCCCATCAGGAGAATAATGCAACACCACCAGTTGCGTACCTTTCCTGTGACAAGAGGTCACGGCACAACCTGTAAACCCAAACTTCTTGCTGTGCCAATAACAGTGCTTGCAATCGACTCGAGCTTCAAGTGCTTGAGATGCGTATCCTTGGATTTAATTTTTGCAACTTCATACACGTGTTTGAGACTAATTGTTCCGGTGACTTCATGACCAGGTCGACCAGTTCCCTTTTCTATCCCCGCAGTTTTTTTCAAGAGGTAGGTCGTTGGTGGTGTTTTGGTGATGAACGAAAAAGTGCGGTCAGGCTCGACGGTGATTAAAGTGGGAGTTGGAACCCCAGGTTCGATATGCGCAGTTCGCGCATTGAACTCCTTGCAGAAATCCATAGATTTTACACCACGCGCACCAAGCGCCGGACCGACGGGTGGTGTAGGTGCAGCCTTTCCCGCAGGAACCAGGATGCGCTAGAATAGCTTTATTACTCAAGCGAGAAACGTTGCAGAGAAGTACTTGCCACCAGCTGATCTTTTGCCTTCAGAGCCTTGGACATTGACGCGTTGGAAGGAAAGAAGAACTGGATATTTTCCGAATTCGGTCGTTTGACCCAAACAGTCACAAGCACAACTGCCACGCGTTACTTATCTACAGCTAGGTCATCGTAGTCGACGCACGCACGGTCATTCGGTAATCTACTCATGCATCCCCATGACCCTAAGTCTTCTGGAAGCTCAAAGAATATCTGACGATTTTAGATGCAGTGTCCTTCTTACGACGTACTACATGTCTTCTGACCTAGGAGGTCGTCATGTGCCAGTGTGTCTGCCAACTTCCAGTGCATCTAAGATTAATACCTGGCCAAGGGAGCAATCTACCACCATTTTGGAGACGTACATCATCTGATGTTGGAATCCTCACATCAACCCTCGGCAAATGAATATACTCTCCAGCTGCGCTACAGCCTCCTTGCAGGCAATGGTGAGGTTAACGTTCTTCTATGACTTAATTCTTCTATACTAGGTTCCCTCATTCTCGAGCCGATCAATGCTTTTTTTGTGCGGAAAGAGCTCACAAACATACTACTGGATCATCGGTTGTCCACATGCGGGCTCCGTCCCGCTGCTTTGGTCATCCTCTTCAAGTTCATACTCCTTCAGTGGGCGAATACAATTATTATCGCTCGGATCAAGCGGAAACGATGTATTACTAACCCCATACATGTTCTGGGTCAGAAGATAAACGCATGCGCAATCTCACGCACGGATGGACCATTGGCGAAGTGGGCCTGCGCACGGCTACCTTGCCGTCTCTTTGCTCTGACGGCGGTGGCGTGTCAGAAGTTAGCGCCGAACGATCGTATGCAACAAAACCTTCCATTACTACAATTCAAGTTAGGTTTGTCCCATTTGATGTATCGTTTCTCGAGGTTCATCACATGCAAAGTGTTGATCACCTCCGTTCTATTCGCAGATTTAAGATCTAAACTGTGAATGGTTGGCAGAAACATTGGTAATAGAATAAACATGCGTAGTTTGCCAGGCTGATTTCTGTGAGGTATCTACGAGATTGCGCCTCAGGGTGACGAAGAGGACGGAGGGACAGCTAACTATGCAAAAAGTCGTTCAAAAACGTCACCACACCGTCACCAAAAGTCACAACGTGGCCATCTGAAACCACTGTATGCACGACCTCTTTAGTAAGTTGGCTTTGCCTCCTCGTCACAATGTTCTTCGTTTGTCGGAGTAAGAAAAAACTGCCGTTCGATAGCAAAAATGAGTGTACCTTGACGTTACGGAAGTCCCACAGGAGAACGGTGCCATCTTGATGACCACGCACAAAAAAGGTGTGGTGGATACTGCCTTTCGTGTATGATTGCTGAAATTTTGCCTTAGTATTGCGATATCCAAATGTGCAACATGGAGCTTTGTCGAAGCCACCCATCCTGCGGTCGAACATCGACATCTGATGATCGAGATGTCGGACCTGCAAAGCCTATCAAAGTCCAATTCTACAAATTAAGGGAGCATCTCACCTCCAGCAGCGTTAAGTGTGGTATTTGGGGGTGAACATGTATTTGGTTGACATCGTTAGAGACCTGGGCTGCTCTAGGCGTGTGCGACCGGGTAAGGTCCGTAACATATAGTTTCTTCGTGTCAGAAGACACGAGGGAGTTGTCGTTGTGGCGATAGGCCATCGCGGAGACGCCAGAATCTAGAAAGATATTAATTTTGGTGACAGTCGGCTCTTCTAGAGATTGCGCATCGGCGCTCCACTTAAAAATCCGTCGGTCATGACCGCCTGTAAAAAATTCAATGGAGCCAGCTGCCGCATTCATTGCGGCGAGGCACCTTACGCCCTCCCCGGAAGGTCTTGACATCCGAGGAGAGCTGACATGCGGCAAAGGTCGCGAATTCACTCTGCGAGGAGCTTCCGTCTAACGGACCATGAATGTCTCGTAACACGTAAATGCAACACACGCACAGTAACTGGAAGGAAACTGACTTGACTTGGCCCGCTATTGAAGCCAAGAACAACAGTGTCACCCACAATACATGCATCTTCCACATGTTGTTGGACTCCCGGGTTAGGTAGAGAGTTCAGAGTGAGACGGAATCTGATTAGTTGAAGTGAAGATGTGACGAGGCGGAGATGGCATCGGAACTCACTGATCCCGACGACTGATGAACTGGGCGTCTGCCCGCATACTTATCGCAACCAATGGTAGATTGTCAGAAGCCGGGATCAACAACCTCCTGGAGCGCCCATATGGAGTCTTCGGCAGCGGCACTCGTTTAAGCGCCGGCAGTCTAACGACTTCCTGATCTGTACTCGATTCCGACGACAGTGAACTCGCCCGTTGCGATCGCCGCGATTGCAGCGAAAGAGTGCTTCCATGTCTATCCTCCATGGATGTCGTAATGCCAGAAGTGTGATGCTCATTTCGTTTACCAGGTTGGGACAATACACTACTGCGTGCAGCTGAGGTGCTTCGTTGACTAGCGGGTCTCTGTCCTCGTAATACACCAACTGTTCGCGTAAGAGGGGTTCCGACTTCAGTTCTCGACAACGAGGCCTCTGCAACCTCGTCAACGTCCGCAGGCTCATTAGATCTATCATCATCAGAGCTGGAAGCCACGGAAGAGCTTCGCATACTAGACCACCAGTCTCCACACAATTCGGCCATTGCTTGGTCTCGGCGCGAAGAAACTGCTCTTGACCTCGATGAATTATCTATGTCCTCGGATGAGGAGATTCGCTCATCGTCAGAAATCCTGTCGTGCGCAATTGTTTCACTCTTGAGCCGAGCATGAGGCTTATGTGAACTTTCTTCCGGGTGCTCGTTTTTCGTCATCTCATTGCCTCCAGCAAGTTTGCAGGAGATGATTTCGATTTCGGAAGATCCTGCGGTATGGCTATTATAGGTAAGCTATTGTGCAACCCATCGAGTTGTGTAAGTGCATCATACCTCAGGTTCGTATAACGCCGCACTGCGTCGGCAGGTCCAGATGTTGAAGTTTGCAGTTCAGGCAAGGGTGGAATACTGCCGAGCGATGTTTGAGAAGCAGACAGCTCCGAACTCAGACTCGGTCCCGATTTGTGGTTGTTCTCGATACGAGGGTCCGAGACCCTATCAGCTCTGTCACTCAGTAGTTACGTGTGTCTGAAGAATACATACCAATGCATCACAATGCCGTCATCGCTTCGCACGAACCCAAGGTCAGCGCTCCGACGTGGACGAGTCTGATCAGTGCAGACTCACAAGACCAGTGGCAAGCCAACAACCCTTCGACCCTGGGCCAAGAGGAGATGCTGCCTCTCGCGGACCATTGTTTCAAAGTCTTCATGGCTGAAAGCGGAGACTCTAGTGCCTGGAGCGTACTTTATTGCCTCGACTCCGTAAGTCGCTGTGAGTGGGAGGGGGTGAGCGTAGGGCATACACCCATCTAAATCAACGCTTTCAGATTTATGGCGTTTCACTGGTCCTTGTATTGGAGAGCTTGATCTTTTGAAAGTAAAACTTGAAGATATGGCCATGCGGGAGAATGCTGAAATGTTTTGGCTCTATGTTTAAAGTACTCGGCCAAATTGAGACGAAGATAAACAAGTATACATACTGCTGATGCGAAATCTCATCCTCAAATCATCCTAGGTTGAAAATACTCCCGGCTTCTGAACCAAGTCTCTCTGCATGAGATCGGATGGAAGATCGACAACCCAATGAAGTTCGTTTAGATCGAAAGGGAAAGTCCACCGTACCCGCTATCACAGTTGCTCGTCGTGGAGGGCACCGTGGATCCTTCAGAGGCTTTGGTACTAGTCGAGGTCGTGCGCCATATCGCCCATTCAATCAAAGGAACTTCGTCCCCCACTCTACCACGTCTCCTGCGTGGAATCATTCGAACAAATTTTCCTCAGTCTCTTCATTGAATACACCGAGTAGTTCATTTGATCATGTTAAACAAGAGCATTTGGGCCATCTAGAACAATCGAACTTGCGCCCACCCAAGCGAACGAAGTTTAATTCCCAGCAGTTTTCCCAAGGGGAGTCTCAAGGCTCAGAGAAACACTTCCAGAGGCGAAGATTTCCCCATACCAACCTTCCTTTACCTTCACAATGCCCGAAAGTCATCTCTGGCGATCACGAAGCGCAGACTGTTTTCTCCCCTTACAAAGCAATGCACGACGATTGCTCTGTTCCCGCAAAGACCAGTAAAGGTGAATATCAAAATATCCTAAATGACAGTTATTAATATACGGGCTTTTGGTTTCTTTGTGTAACAGCCGTGCAACGCGATTTGCCTAGTGGTAGGGCGCATATTGTTCGAAATAAGTCCCAGTATGATAAGAGTGCGAATAGCACTCAGAAGGTTGCAATGGTGACTTATCTGTACTCGATCATGATTAACTCCCTTACTGAATCGCAGAAAAAGGGCTGTGATTCTGGATACGGCGAGGAGACCCCTAAAGTCAGTCCTATCGTGGGTGCAAGTAGCTCAACTCGAAGACTGCCACAGCTAGCGAAATCTTCTACGCCCTCGTCATCGGAGGTGGTTCTAGGCTCCTACCCAACACACATAGCAATACCTCGAAAAAAGAGCTCCGCTATACCAGGCAAGCAGAGAGCCTTTTTATCTCGAGTTGTAGCTCCTCCAGAAGAGATCATCGACCTTACTGTTGATCCTCTGGACACACGTGTGATTATTCCTCCTCCCACACCGACGCGTTTCTTCCGCTCTGGAGTCCTAAAGATAAAGTCGGTGTCTTCTAAAGCACCATCAGCAACGGATGTCACTTCTGCGGCAGAACCGATTGTTTTACTCGATAGTGATTCCGATGATATTGACTCACTAAGGGATCTTATCAGCAGAGATGGCAGCACGGTTGCGAAGTCTCGAGAAGGACCAGTTCAAGCATCCTTCGAGACGCTAGTCAACGGCCCGAACGAGATTTCCTCCTCAGTTCCCGCTTTGGTGCTCAGCCCTGGTCCTGGTCCTTCTCGTCTTCCTCTCGACACCCACGATAAACCCCGCCGCGTGCTCAGCGCACACTGGAATTCGTCTCTTATAACTGTAT